TGTGGCATGCTCTCACATGTTCCCGCACTGACCGGTTTTCACTGGGATTCAGCGGCCACATCAATCACATGGACAAATCTTCTCTATTTGTGCTGGTAACTCAAAGTTGGATGCATGCAATATGGTGATCCACAGTTTTCACTAGTGATGTGCAAGGCCCGGCTCGGCTTCATATCACAATAGTGCTACAACATGTCTAATGATTGAACAAATACATCTTTGTCATCAGAATCTCGCTGCACTTCTTCATCATCCAATTCTTCGCCCAATACATCCAGTAAGTCACCCATCTGAGGCTCAGGCTGGTCCAAGTCTCCATCACCCTCAGTAACAATGGAAGGATCCTCGCGAAACAACAACCCTCGTCTGATCATGCATTTGAGGCACTGAAGTGCCTCAACAATATCAGGTTTCAGACGGTTACGTCGCTTACTAATTGTGATCCCTGCGGACGAGAAAGCTCGCTCGCTCGATACAGAGGTTGCCATTATGGAAAGGAAGTCGCGGGCAAGTGATGCCCACACAGGGTAGCGTGGGGAGTTGATACCCCACCATTGAATAATGGACATCCCTCCGAGATGGTCCTTTGAGTTCAAGTATGCGTGAAAGTCATGCAACCACGGCTTTGATGGATCCGCGAAGTCAAAAAGTGAAGCCGAGGATGTGCAAGACAGAGTCGGTGGATCCTGGCTTGGTGCGTCAAGTGCATCTTCATCACCGTCGGAAAGCTCATTAAGCAAAACATCTAATTTGTAGTTGCCAGTGCTGGTGCGAAGCTCCATAGATGCTGAGGACTTCGCCACATCATCACCATACATCTCACGATATCGTTCCTTATACTGCAAGAAGAAAGTCAACAACATTTCTTAAGTCAGAGATATAGACAAACGAACCATTGCTTCAGCATTCTCAAGTGCCTCATGCAGTAGATCATCCCCCCAATAACGACGGATATGAGCAGCCTTTTGTGTTGGGTCAAGAACTGAGATACTCAAATAAGTCGGTGTAGAAGTAAATTGGACGTGAGCACACTCACGCATAGCCATGATGTGAGCATCTGAACCTGCGGACTTCGTGTAATACAATCATTTATTAGTGAGTTAGCGTGATAAGAGGACAACATAAATGTACCTTTCTTTTGCTGTTTTTTCGGTGGTTTCACTGACACCGGGGGGTCTCCTTCTTCCAAGTCGTCCTCGTCAGAAGCAGGAGGCTGTGCAAGGTCGACATCCTCGGCATCAGGACTTTGTGCAACCTGTTTTCGTCCTGTAGGAATTGTCAATGGGTTGCAGTTAGTAAAGCACATAAAACTAAAAAAAAACTTACCTTTGATGAGCCGTTTGTTGGTATGGGGGCTCACCAGCTGGATTTTGTCGTTGTTGGCCCCATCTAAGTCAGTAGGGTCCAAGATAACAGCAGCGCGGTTTGCGATATGAGCTATTCTGTGGGAAAGAAGCTCTTGATCAGCTGCATTGTCCGCACTAATCACCTTTGCTGATGGCACAGCAACCCGTTTAGGACGTGGTGCAGGTGCTTCCTCAGTGTCGGAGTTGATGCGTGGCACCATTGGAAAATAAGGTTAGCCGGGCGATCAGCAAAAAAGGAGGGGTGATCCTGTAGTATGGACTGAAGAAACTATGCAGTTTCTCGGATATCACCGCAGGTCATAGATACTAGATTTGGTTGGCTGAAAGCCAGGGCTCAAAGGCCCGGCCCAGGCTTGAACAAACCTGAGGCCAAGCCTTGAGCCTACATAGGCCGCACCCTAAGGCCCGGCTAGGCTCGGCCTAAGTCGGCTGGGCTGGGCCCGGCCCACGGCCTGAAGCCGGGCCTTGCACATCACTAGTTTTCACTCAACTTATCATCACAACTTCGTAAATTTCATGCTCAACTATAACGAGAAGAAATACTTAATGCTAGACAGACCTCTCTAGAACAATTTTTCGCCATATAATTAGCAGATACTCTTAGCTCTAGGTAATTTGATGTCACACTTTTGGCGGAGGTCACATTGTGTCACGAAATGTGACATACATAGTGTTGCATATTTCTCATAATGCATGAACTTTTGGCGGTCCCGACCGTATGCATTATGAGCAAGTCTACTGTACTGAGTATTTGCCATGCATCTCGCTTTACATGACCAAAATTCTCTTCATCGCCATCAACTGTGAGCTCTTGCTGACAGCAGCTGGTAGTGGTGCTGATTCGAAGCTATTGCTGACGTGTCACAGGTCATACCCGTCTTGGAATCTTCGAAGCTAAGGTTCAGTTGGTCACGCCCAGATGATGTCGAAGCTAAGTGCGTATCTCTACAGTATTTCGCTAAAGGCTATGTGGTTTGCTAGCATAGCTATATATTCTTTCATACATATGGTGCATACTTGTAAGATGCATATCAAAACGACATGTCCATACCAGCATAGCCTTATGTTCTTTCATACACATGTTATGCAATGTAATTCTGAATCTAGGTGTATCTTCATTTGTCAGCTCCACCTGGTCATATCAATTTCAGGTTGTTTTCCTGATGTTTCCGCAGTGAATGGAGTACGCAGCAAGTCGCGCCTTAGCTGTTTCGTGTTTATATACTATTAAGTTACATCTCGTGTCACAGTATATGCAACTTATGCGTATATATTGGCTACTGCGCGGTAATCTTAAATATGTATTGCGAGCTGCCAGAGTATAAGTAATATAAACTGTTTTCATTATCAAAACATCCAGGACGCAACAGCCCGCACGAGGAGGCCGAGCAGTCGGCGAAGATTCAGCACCAGATTTTGCCCGGGCCAAATGTCATTATGGAACAGGCGGAGGTCCTGCCTCCCAGCAATTCGAGTGCGCGCCATCCTACTCACCCATATACACGTTCAAAACTTCGTGTTTGAGTTTGGAACGCCAGTACGTACTAAGCCTAGTCTGAGTTTGAAATGGACTGGCATTCACCTTGCACTCACTATAGACACTTTAGCTTTTGTTATTGCAGCCACTTTTGCAGATGTCTAAAAGAAAACGCGCTCAACTTCTAGCTTCTGAATCAGAAAAAGATTACGCTGACAACTCTGACAGTTCCTACGACGAAACCACGAAGACTAGGAAGGCGCGTAAGAAGGGTCACGAGAATGATGATTCTACCTTGGTCAATAGTATTTCAGGTCATCCAGTGTCCATGCATATCATAAGCGCTGTTGGGCCGATGCGAATCGCCCTTCTGGAGTGGTATGACAGAGTCCACGATGCTCGAAAAATGCCCTGGCGCAAGAAGTTTGACCCTTCGCTCGACGTTGAGGGACGCGCGCAAAGAGCATACGAGGTAATTATTCATCTTTGAACTTGCAAACAGTTGCTCAGCGTTGACTGAAGTAGATTCTTAGGTCTGGGTTTCGGAAATTATGTTACAGCAGACTCAAGTCGCGACAGTAATACCATATTATAACAAGTGGATGACGAAGTACGTTGCCACACTCGATTTTCCGAGTCATCTGGCCTAATCCCTCTAGATTCCCTACCATCAAGGACCTTGCAGCATCTGATATCGAGACCGTCAACTCATTGTGGAAAGGGCTGGGCTACTACTCGCGTGCGGCGCGCCTGCTGAGCGGTGCCCAGAAAGCTGTCAAAGAATTACATGGTCGCTTACCTGATAATGCAAAAGATATGGAGGCAAAGATACCAGGTATAGGTAGATACAGCGCAGGCGCAATATCTTCTATTGCGTATAATCACTGTGTACCTGTGGTAGGTTATCTTTCTCCAGAATCACCTCACTTCGGTGTCTCAATAGTTCTTAGCTTGATGGCAATGTACACCGACTGCTTAGTCGTTTCACAGCGTTGCATGCACAGCCCAAGTCTAAACGAACCCTAGATATCCTATGGGCAGGCGCCGAATCATTCATAACACAGTCAAAGCGCCCAGGTGACATAAATCAAGCTTTGATAGAACTAGGAAGTACCGTCTGTACAGTCCGAGATCCTGCGTGTTCGGATTGCCCTCTGCGTCCACGGTGCAAGGCATATCAGAGGACACAGCCCACAGTTAGCTTTCTAGTTCAAGGGTCTGAGTCACCTCCTAACGAGTTCATTTCATAGGCATCACATACAGGTATCGTAGAAGCTGATATCGAGGAACTCTGTCTCGTTTGCGATCCTATACCATCCGATGAAAACAATGGATCTGTGACTATATATCCAATGAAAGCTGAGCGCAAAAAGCCCAGAGAAGAACTTGATTCTGTGAATGTCATTGAGTGGCGAAGCAGGGACAGTGGAGATCGCTGGTTTCTACTGGTCCGCCGACCCCAAGGAGGTGAGTAAAATCTTAGCCGAGTCATGCTTCCTCCTGACTCTGGGTACAGGACTTTTAGCCGGTTTACACGAATTTCCTACACTACCGAATTTATCAGGAGCAAAGGTTTCTGCATCCAACATGGCTAAGATACCGTACACATTCCTCCAGGAACTCCTCATGCACCCACCATCCCCGAACGACAACGTGTCCTTAAAGACGTTATCGAACTCTGACTCATCAAATAAGGTTCCAAAGGTAATACAAGTGACGTCTGCGGGTGATGTAGTCCATATATTTTCGCACATCAAGAAGACCTATCGTGTTCAGTGGGTACTGCTGGAGGGAGATGAGCTTCCACGACTTCGCACAGTTGTTTCCCTAGATCAAGGCGGCAGGGAAAATGGTGATTGCGGCAAGAAAAATCTCAAGGGAAAGAAGCAAAAAAGGTCCGAGGTATCCGAAGTGGAGCTTAATACAATTCCACAGACATCGAGTGCTCGGTGGGTACCGCTCACCCAAGTAGAGGACGCAAAGTAGGCATTCCCGCGTGTTGTACTTGTCATTGCTAATGATGCTGTGATTTCGTTCAGCATCGGCACTGGTGTTCTCAAAGTGTGGAAGCTCGTTGAGAAGCTATGGACTACCACTCGGTGATTATATCATATCGAGCCTGTTTTGGAAATGCAAAAGTTTATTTTATCTGACACACATCCTAGTAATTAGCTTCTAGGCTCATTACAGAACCCACAAATATTATGTTGTGTAGGAGCACATGCAGGCTGTGCTTACGTGGATGAACACATAAGTCGACATTGCGAAGCTCCAACAGTAAGGTCCCCGATCTTCAACATACTTGTGTGGATGAACACATCAAATTAGCTCGCGAAACATCAGGCAGCAGAATACTCCAAGACGCATGCTTCGGCAAGGTCCCAGACTTTCTCTAGTTTCAGACCGGCGGCAGTGCTATTCCGAACCAATCAGGTGAAACCAAAGGCAGCGATCGAGCATTACTCACGTGAGTGTCAGGAAGTCTTGCAATGTTCGCTCCTTTGCGTTGTGCAAGAACAACATATTCATGTCTTGCTGGTATGAACGCATACTTCCAACACCAAAGTTTGCAAGAAGAGGTTCAGGAGCCTGGGTGCGGGATCAATGAAGATGGATGTGGATCAGTGGACATGACATACCGCAACAATTCCGAGCTCTGAATCTTCTGTTGTTGCCTGCTTGCGGCTGAGCTGGCGGAGCACATAGTCATCTATGGTTTCTCAGACTGTGGGACGATGATTACGCTATATTTAACACGTACGGATGAGAACGCGGCTGTTTGGACCGAGCGCCTTGCGAACGTTTGAAAGAATAAGCGCAGATTCGTGATCAGGCCAGTCGTGGATGATATTCCTGAGCTGCGGTCACTGTTAACTTCGCAGGTTGTCGCCTACAGAATTTAACACTTACATAGTAGACGTCCTTACCCTTCACGGGTACTTGTTCGAAGAAGTTCAAGTCCTCGAACTCGACTCTGTTTTCTGCCAAGGCTTCGGGGCATTCTCTCGCCCAGATCTAGATTTCGTCAGTTTGGTAGCAAGCACATTGTCCTGCTGACTTACATCTCTCGCCTGAACTAATGCTTCCGGAAGATCGTGGATCGTGATTTTAATGTTTTTGTGCATTTTAGCAAAAGGCAGAGAAAATGCTCCGATACCTCCTCCAACATCAACGACTGTTGAGTACTTTTCGAATGGGAATTCTATTATCAGGTCAGTACAAAATTCTTATGTCTTTGTACGCTCAAACACCTACGAGTCAGGACGGAGAGGGAGCCCATGATGCTGTTCAGAGCTCTCATCGCGATATGATAAGACTAATAAAGATGTCAGAATGATCGCACGAAGGAAACAAGATCCCTACCTCGCGTAGGCCGTCCTAAGAGTAAATTTCATGATTAAGGCTTTCTGACGAGCAATATTTTAAAACATACATTTCGCGCCATCCAATCGAAGATCGTGCCTTCCGTTCCATTTTTGTTCATAGCGTACATCGCAGGTGCAACTGTTGGTTCATACGAGTACGCAATCTTGGGATCTTTGAGTGTCTCATAGAAAACTGCTGCTCCCTTGGCAGTTGCTTCCACGTGGAACAACATAATGTTTTTGACAGGATTCTCGTCGAGTAAAATTAGAGACAATCGGTTGTTGGCAAAAACGTCCGTGTCGACTAGCGGAGTCTGAGAAGAAATAAAACTAAACATGAAATGGCTCCTTACCTTCGTTGTAGCAACCTCTCGTGGCTAGGAGGCGCATTATCCTGGCCAGTTTCTTTGGCTCGATGTTGATTTTTTTGGAGAGCTCATTGATGTGAAGACCCTTGGGGTACTTCAAAAGAATGTCCGAAACACGTTCCCGAGCAACTACTCGCACGCAAGCATGATCATACACTTGGACAAGCTGCGTGCAATCTGATGAGCAAAAGTTAAGTGCATTATATCAACAAGTTCTCACGTTAACGGCAGTATGGGAAGGTGGAGCAAGTGTCGCGCATATCTGAGCACAAGCACCTTCAAGCGTACGAACGGCACTCTTCAAAGCCACTTGGTCGACCGCATTGTCCAAAGGGTGGGCTTCCGCCTGGTCGATGGCGGGTACATCACCGTACTGCTCGTACAACGCAATGGCATCTCGTGCGGATGTGTTGATCAGAGTCAGGAGTGCCTCGAGTTTTGCCTTGTTGGCCATCGTCGTATATTTGTAGGGAGCTTGTGGACAAGTGAAACGGGTGATGGGAAGACTGAGAAAATAATTAGCAAGTCTTTATATTTTTCCACAGGAAAGTGACTGAGAGCTTTACTCCTTGAAGCCTTCCCTCTTTTAACATTTTCTTCTAGTAGGAAGACGGCTAAGGGCCCGGAAGCTTCTAATGATCCCAGGAGGTGCCCTACCCCAGTCATCTAGTCGGGTTAGTCCCACACGCTCAATGGCGTATCACAAGGTTAACGGTGCAGATCCCTATCAGGCTGCCGGACATGAGATCCACAGATTTCCTTAGCGTACGCCCGAAAAATTGATGTGCGTGAATTGGTTCTAGTTCTCCTGAGAATTGATAAGCTGACATCGGAAGCCTGGAATCCCAAATGGTCTACGGCCTCAGTGCCATGGGTTGGCTGTACTGCACTCGATATTTAGCAAATGAATAGAGTCTTGAACGTCAAGTGCCACTGAACAACGGCGAGTTTCGAGTGGTTTCCGAAATTGCAGTAGTTGATATTGGCTGATGTAGTCACATGGTCCGACATGATTGAATAGTTCTTGCAGCACAAGACGTGCCACAATTGCCTAGAAATGTGTGAACGGCGGCCTGTCAGCAAAGTGCTATCAATACTATCTCGATGATGGATAGTGTGACAGCGACAGCGGCCGCGTCTCACAACTGGGTCTCGAATCCCAAGTAGTCTGCTGACACCGGTCCAGAAATCCCGGCCCCTTCTCGTTTGCGGCATGTGCCGTGTGCCAATTTATGTAAGCTGAGAACTTTTGAATGAACAATTACCGTATATAGACATATTGGCCTCTCTGGGTGTTTGATATATCCTTTGCTCTTTCTCTGTGCAAGCGACAGCTCCTTAATATCTTTGGCGATTCATGAATTCGATGATGGCCTTTTAACACGACTGCGCGGTCCAAAGTACAGACAGAAAATGTGCGGAAAGGTCAATGGACTGAATACCGCCGTAAAAACAAGAAATGATAAACGAATTGGCTACGTCAGCTCGATTTAATGCTTACATAATTGATAATTGCACCTGCCGAGCCCTGCCGCAGGCTGTCGCTCAGAGTCAGTGCCGCACCCCTCGTTCTCTAAATACAAACCCCTCCTGGGATGGTGTTACTTTTCTTGGCTCGGTTCGTGTGTCTGCGATCGCTTCTGCGTGATGAGGCTCTACTTCAGTAGTGTCAGATGACGGCTTACTTTTTTAGTGTATGAGATGCGTCAGTCGCTGAAGACTCAAACACTAAAGCACTCACGGTTGACTCCAAAGGCAAACTTGAAGGTACTCGGCGGACGCTCCGGAAGGTTCAAGATTCCCAGTGAAGAGGAGTCCAGTGAAGAGAAGTGGAGCGCAACAGAAGGTATTGGTGGACTCGGAGGCTATTGCGTGAGGGACATAAATACAGGACGCATTCAGCGTTCGCTAAAATATACTTACTCCCGTTTGGCAGGTGATGGTCGCCTTCCATTTCTGGATTGATTGGGGTCAGGTATCGCGATGATGTTTCCAGTGACCTTGGTTCATGGTATAAAAGGCATTCGTTTAGGCGACTGAATTACCGCGTTAAGGTGACGTCGATCATCCTTGCCCCACATGTCCATCCAGGAAGAGAAGAAGTCTGAATCCTATGCAGAAAATGTGGTCGCAGTGTCGAATGAAGATGATGACTTCAGGCTGTTGACTGCAGACGCCAGGAAGGCGGGAGAACGGGCACTGGTACGCAAACTGGACCGCCGGCTGATGCCCACTGCTGTGGTCATATTCATCTTGAACTACATTGATGTATGCAAACATCCATTTACGAACCTCAGCGTGCTCACCTGTACTATGCATAGCGTGTCGCTGTTACTACTGCGCGGCTGCAAGGTTTAGAGCAAGATCTCGGATTGACCAGTGAGTAAAGTGGACTACTGTAGTATTCATGCTTAATTGTTCTACTAGCCGTTCAGTATGAAACCATTCTGGCTATCCTTTATGCTACTTATTGCCCGGCACAAGTGAGGAATTTTCTGCACAAAACTATGCGATCTTACTCGCAACATCTCATCTGCGACTAGATACCCTCGAACATGGTTTGTTTGTGTGCTATTTTTTTTATGAATGCAAGACTAATTTTGATTGTCAACAGATTTTGGGCTATATTACACGGTTGGTTGTGATTGTAAATATTTCGATCTGGTCGATACTAAGAAAGCGCGACTCAGACCATCAATTTATATTGGGGCCTGTGTTGTTGGATGGGGCCTTACAAGTGCTTTGACTGGGGTAAGCTTTGTTGGGAAGTTGCAACTGCGACTCGTGCTGGCTAACCGCCGCACAGGTCACAACTAATTTTTCGGGCATCATGGCTTGCCGTGTATTCATTGGTGTTCCTGAGGTAAAGAATTCCTCTCTGATAACCATGTGTGCGCTGAACGAATGCGGTTCTCCACAGGCTGCGTTCTATCCTGGTATCATGTACCTGCTTTCGCGATGGTATACCAGGAAGGTAATCATCACGTGCTTAGAATCATAAGTCGTCACTCATGCAACACATTCAGGAGCTCGCCCTGCGATCCGCCGCATTCTATTGTGGTTCTTTAATCTCGAATGCATTCGGAAGCGTGAGCTTGCTGTCTTCACAGGGACTTATGACGCCTTCATAGCGATCTTTTTTAGTTAATTGCAGCTGGAATTCTCGCAAAAATGCAAGGCGTACTGGGACTTGCGGCCTGGAGATGGTAAGACAAAGTCTTTATTCTCAGAGGCAGTGCCCTAACCGGAGTTCCGTATCGCAGGTTGTTCTACATAGAGGTATATGTTACACCACCCCTGGATCTTTTATGCTAATAGGTCGCTTTCTCGGCATAGGGCGCCATCACCATGTTTTTTGGCTTCTTGACCATGTGCGTTTGTGCGAATTTCTATTCTTACTCAAAGTTGATAGCCACGGTTTGTTCAGGTGGCTTCTTCCAGACTTTGTAAGCAGAATATTTTTAGAACGAGTTTCGGCGGGTCTGACATCGCATCACATAGCCCCATAACACTCGATGGCTTAACGCAGCGGAACGCCGCTTGGCTCAAGTTCGCCTTGCAGAAGATGCAGGGGAGGCCGACAAGGATTCCGACAACCTCACGTAAGTCCAGTTCGAGTACCATCCTTTCATATTACTGACAAGGTGTCACTTCATATCACTTTTGTTATTGACGCATCGTTCGTAACGTCACAGCATTTACGACGGCTTATGGCTAGCTATCAAGGATCCAAAGACCATCATTTTCATGTTCATGACCTGCGCGCAACTTCTAGGCCTGAGTTTCACAAACTTTTTCCCCACGTAAGTATATAAGCAGTCTTGCAACTATTGCGCTAATATCGAGCGGGATAGCTTGACTGGCACGCTTGGTTTCAACACTACTATCACACTTTTGATGGCGGCGTAAGCACGACATCCCGTTGTTACATTCACAGTTATGGCTCACTGTCATCTGATCGTTAGTCCTCCGTGGATATTCACGTCAGCTTGCTGCGTAATCAGTGCATGGCATGCAGGTACATCTGATTCCTGATAACGCACCACACAATCATTTTGACAGAATGGATAGATAGGGCTGGAGAGCGATTCTTCCATATCGCCGGCTGGTGGTGGGTGGTCATTCTTGGATATATCATCTCTCTATCCACCATGGCTACGGGCGGGCGATACTTTTCTTTGTTCCTCATGACCACGGGATATTGTGGTAAGTTCTGATTAGAACGCTGAATGCAAGCTTGACACGGTTTCGAAAGGATTTGCCTTGACGTTGGCCTGGGTTGCAAATGCCATTCCTCGTCCACCGGCAAAACGCTCCGCGGCCATTGGTCTTGTCAATGGATTTGGAAACCTGGGCAATTTGTGAGGCCTCTATGATCAGTGTAATGTCGAATTGCTTACAAGATTTCATAGGATTGGGTCGTATGTCTGGAACGCTTCGTGGGGTCCTGAATACCATCAATCCATGATCATAGCATTGTGCAGTCTCGTTTTGTCCACAGCCCTGGGGTTCCGTGAGCAAAATTACAATTTGACCGCTCTGTTGTACTCACCTGTTGATAGTGATGCGGTGGATATTAATCAAAGAGAATAAGAACATGGACATGGAGGAGAAAAATATGATGGAGGGCCCTGGCCGCGAACGTATCGAAGAGGCTGCTAGATTGGAAGGGATTACATTCGAGGAGGCTGTGAAGAGAAGGAAGGGCTTCAGGTATCTGTATTGATCTTTTTTGCTTCAGATCAGTTTCTTAGGGTCATTGACGCTATGTTGGATTTTAACTCGTCATAAGCCTGAGCTTTCTTTTTGTTAGCTGGATTCTATCGGGGGAAGAGACTGACTGGTAATGCATTGATACTAGGATACTTTAAGAGACGCTTGAGTCATGTACCATAGATAGAGCAACTTGGACTCCTGTAACTTGATTGGATTTTGTACACTAATTTGTATACCCATGCTTCACGCGGTGTAACGCTCGTCAAAAGCCATCGTCGGCTACGCGATGATGGCCACCAATTTCCTCGTCATCACAGTCATTTCTTCATAGTTACCTTCGTTCTTTTAGATTCTCTGACATTCTATGCCCTACAGTATTTAAGCACGTAGTTTACTTAGTTGTAGGGCAGTTGATCTTATTCCCCCGAATAACACTTTGGTTTGTACAGTTATCCTGTCTGAAACTTAAGTCTATTCGAATCCTCGACTCTCTCGTGTGAACGTATTATTATACGCCACACGCGGCGAAGTATACATAAAAAACATATGTATCAGGTACGTAATTAAGATGCATGACTTTTACACCCGAAGTTCTGTCACATGCTGCAGTGTTCTGACTCGGAAGCTAGATCTTGAGCTGTGCGTGCACTAGTTATCTGCAAATTTTCAAGCTGGAGTCGACGGCATCTTACACGCGTGTTACCAGCGTGCGCGCGCTATTACTCTTTCTCATGAATGACCGATGATCAATCAGGCCGGAAGCGAGCCCAACCTAGAACCGATCTCCACGAGGATCACAAACCTTCTACAGAGCTTTCGGACGAATTAAACTGTACCCCGTACCCTCAATTCATTCTCAGTGACCCATTTGTTTGACTACCATCGCGTTCGTTGGTGCCAGCTCGAAACCAATATCAAGATCATGGCACACCCCCTCATATGGAGAGGAAAGACGTTCTTCTATCCTATTGGCAATACATCTGCAGTTTGCCTCACACAAGATCTTTGTCCAACTGAAAAAGCAGACGTACTACTTCTTGGATGCGGCGACCCGAGGCATATCCTTTACACAGTACATACAAACAGTACTGACTCGCTGCAAGGTAAATTAGCACGTTCATAGGAACATTTTGACAGAGTGGCGCACTAATGTTCCGTGCCCAGCGTCACGAAAACTGGACTTCACTTGCTGCGATCTTGAGAGTGCAGTCATCGGTGAGCCCAAATTCAGCTCTCGATCCGTATTATTGAACGAATTAATCAAATAGCCCGTAATGTTATCTTGTTCACCCTTCTTGCCGACGAAGGTGCTGTGAAGAGAGTGCCCCAAATCTGGAACATTTTTTTCCACTTTTTCCTCGACAAAGCCTCCCATGACCTGCTCATATCACACTGCAAGAAGTTGGTGGAGCTATCCAACGATCTCGATAGCTGGCACAACGGCCCTTATGGTCGTTTCCTTCGTATGTGTACTGGAGATACTCTCGCCGAGTTGCGGCGCCTTTGGCAGCTCTACGTCAAGACGACGACTTGCTCTCCTAGCGAGGCAAAAGCATTTGAATCCGCATATGCTGCTGACGTCAAGGCTTCTAAGGCGAAGTTCGAATCCGTGTTGACAGCAAGTCGGGCAGCCGGGCCGCTGTCGATGTATGCGCTCAAGACGGCGGGTAATCACTACAACATTTATTGGGATACAGGCATATGCTCTGCCGTCCCTAAGAGACCCTCGGAGGTGTCACATCCAAATCCGACATTGGCCTTCTCCATGGTCGGGGACAAATTTGCTGTCCACTATGGAACGGATCCTCTCTCTTGCTTTCATTTGGCAGAAGCGCTTGCGCCAGCTGTCGGAAGCACTCGCCACCCAGACCAATGCACTCTGAAAGACATGGTAAATGTCTGCAAGACGCAATTTTCTAGGTGGTGTGCTTCCGTGTCCAAAGTTTTGGGCAGTCAAAATCCGTCTTCTCCGATCCCGCTCATCATACGTTACTGTGTGGGAGATGCTCTGAGCTTGTGTCAAGCTCTTTACTACTCCCGCACCGCGAAATCGACATCCACGCCATTCCTCATTGCTCCTTGGAAGACCTCTTGTATCACTTTTGATCCTAATGCCTACGGAACTAGCACGCAGTCACCCGCGCCGACCACATTCAACGTCATCGATACTTCCAACCTTCTTGATCACGTCGGCGTGTTGAATATTGTCCCTGTTACTTCTGTCATTCTTCAGCGAACTCCATCAGCTACGTTGTACACGGAAGGTCTCGCTTCGGGCAGCCCAGAAGACACGTTGGCCGAACATTTTTGTGGAGATATTGCGACTATGGGTCTGCTGCTCGGCTTGATCCCCACGTGCTTCGTATCGCAATTCACCAATCGATCAAACTTGCATGAGCACATTGTTCGTTTATCGCCAAATGCAATCCAGAATCACGAGCGTCTTGTCTGGAGACTGATCGGCGGTGCTGAAAAACTCCTGACTGATCTCGACTGTCCCATTGGCATCGCCGCGGAGCAGCTCGCAGGCGTTTTCTTCAATATATATCTCAACATGTTTTCTCATGAGAACGTGTTAGGAAGGTTGGCCACAAAAAAACTGCCTGGGATCGTACATTACCATCGTCGTTCGTTTGTGGAGATTTTGAGTGTTGTCAGGCGGAGGGTGATCACAGACTGGGATTCGACCATGAACATGCTTCACGGCAAGATTCAAAATGACAGGACCCTCTTGACCGGAATGAACTCTTACCAAGATCTCTGCTGCCAGCTGCACCTTCTTGGTGTTTTTGATGTGGATTGGCTGTCTCTACAAAAGGTGCAAGAGATGCATCGTGTCGAAAGACCCTTTGTCTTTCGTAATTGGAAGGTGCTCCCGCAAACCCTCTGTGTCGTTCTGGTCGTTCCTCGGGATCACCTCCAGCCGCTCTTACCCGATATTGACGAGACCGGAACACCTGTGTTGCAGTGTGGCCTGTGGGGCGTAGCAACCCAGAATATCTTCACTGCCATCAACGCAGTTTTCGGTACCATTACGACCAGCGGCCAAGGTGATGGCAAAACTGCAGCTTTCAAAGAGGACGCCACTGGGCGTTATGGAACTTCTCCTCTAGTGGTGTGGTTCTGGGTACCATCTATTGCGCTGGTGAATGAGCGTCATTTATCGGTCGTATTGGCTGTTCTCTCCACCCCAGCAACTTACACGCTCGCCGCGAAGCGGGGGCTCGACCTTTCCATATTCCGGGCAGACCTTGGAGATGAGAGACTTGTACACATTCTACGACAACATCCTAATGCTGTCCCAGAGAGTCCTGAGAAAAATGCGCGAATCAGCGGCTGTCCCATGAAGACATCTGGTGCATGCACATCTGTCACGTTAGACAAAGAATGCAAGACACCTCTTTCATTCACCACTCGTGTGGACATCGTCGAACCGGAGATGAAAGATTCCCTGACTAGCGGTGCTACTCCCATTGTGAACCAAGTTTCTATGCATTCAATCGCCATCGTTCTTGGAGACAAGGCTTTGCGATTCCCTTTCCCACTTCCTATTGATGCCAAGAAAGCCAAGCTTCGCATTGCACGAAAGTCACTATACATCGAAGTACGTTTTCTCTGTCTCTATCTCTCTACAAACTCATGTAGGACTCGGCACAGGTCATCTTGCCCCTGAAACTTGTTCTTGGAGACACCGACTCAGACATGTTCCCTGTCATTCCGCACGGAGGCGATCTTGCACTCTGGAACATGCACCGCGTCAACCTCGATCAATGCATACCTTTCAGCATTGCTAATGAGAAAGCTCTTGGCTGGGTCAACCCTCACGTCTCTCTCATGATGTCTGATCGTGAAAGACGCATCTCCAGCGGAGTGACTACAGGGTCAACGCTGCTTGACGTTAAGCGTTCACTTTATTTCATCTTTGGGCACGCAAGCGGTCTCGCAGAAGGCAAACCCCCTCTATGCTACGCCTTGCAAGTGACAGATGAATCGGAGATCTTTGTTATGTTTTACATCACAGATCTCCGCTTAGACGTCGGCTCGCACACCATAGTCGCTGATGCTTGGGTGATGCCATCTTCTCCATCGTTTGAGAAGTTCGAGGCTTTCAGCAAGGTTTCTAGTCATTTGAGACTGAACAGCAATATGAAGATGGTTGGAATGGGTGTTGAGGAGAGGAAGGCTTGGATGCACCTCCTCGTGGCTGCGACGGAGCGGTGCCGTACCTGGGAGCACAAGGCCAACTGCGAGTACCGCGTACAAGGCACCATCCCTCTGACGTTGGAGCCAGGCGAGAGTCCTATTTGCTCGTGCGGTGCCGGGGTAGGGACAGAATCGTTTGTGAAGAAATACCCGATGCTTCGACCGCTTGCGCCGTGGGTGACGAGGGCAGTGATCAGTCCTCTGTTCGCGCTGTCGTACCTTGAAAGGGTTGGCAATCTGGAAGATATCATCGCTTCAGGGACTCCACCGACGCCTACACCGGCAGCAGTGGTGCGTAATGTGTGTGCCGCTTGTGGAAAGGAAGGTGGTGCTTCTGTGTCGTTGTTGACTTGTAGCCGGTGCAAGGTTGCGCGGTATTGTTCACAGGGTTGTCAACGCGGGGACTGGAAGAGGCACAAGAAGAGTTGCGTAGTACCATCTTCCTAATCATCCATCACGAGTAGTTATGATGTGAATTATTTTGTGCTGTTAATCTGCGAATGGTGCTACGGCACGTATATGACGTGTGCGTAAGGCGCAATGTTTCGCAAGATGATAAGTATATGTTCCACGTCAAAATTGACGATAAGCTTTAGTAGTAATATTGCCTTTGCTTCGCAAGATTATATTATTTCCACGCCAATAGGCCTTCCTTCACAATGTACCTAGGAGTTCCTAGGCGGCAATCTGCTGTTAATTGCATCTCTCAAAAGGTAATTTACCAAGGGTTCAACGGTAAGGTGTTCCTGCTCCACCATCGACTTTTAGATCCCTAGATTTTGATTCAAACCACAAAAGTCGGAGTGTCGCCTCGCACCTCGTCGCAGTTTATAAATGCTTTCCCAACCACAGACCAGTTGTATCTAGATTCTGATTGTAATGTTTAGGCCTGAAGGCATGTAGTAAGCAACGGTTGAAATATACTCGCGGAATCAGAAACGGCTTGGTTTCAAGTTAAAGTTTGAACTCTATTCCAATGAACTTATTAAAAGAGGGGGTTGGGCCTACCACTTTCTAGGAATCATCACTTTAGAAAAATTAGAACTGGGCAGCATTCTTGATATGCGGACCTGCAAAACACTGACATTTGATCGCGGCACGTTGGCATGAGGACATACATAGATTAAGATTTAGAACAACGTTCTAAATGCTGTGGCCATCCACTTTATCAAGCGCATAAAAGCAAAGCGCCTACCTACTGCCCCTCCAAATTTATTCGATTCCATATCCATCCTCAACAATGCGTTTCTCTGTTGTTCTCACCGTTGTTGCTGCTTTGACAGCATCTATATCTGCCAGCGATGCTGCCAGTGACGCCAGTGCGAGTTGTCCTTTTTTTTGCGTGAAGGATAGTACATGCTCACACTGCGAAGGAGGGTTTTGCGTGAGTAGTCATTTGTATCCTGGAATCAACCACATGACTCACTGGCGTGATCACAGAGCTTCTTTATATGCTACTAGTATGGTAGTGAGTCGTGTTTCTGCTTTCGTACTGGTGCAGTATGGTTGATGGCACGACGCATGGAGCCTCGTTCGTGGTTTCAGAGCCCTTGTAAGCTAGGAGTTTTAGAGAGTCGGTTCTCTATTAGCTTGCTTAGCGAAAAGTAATCAGGAAAGGATGGGGTACTTACTATAGATCTGGATGTGCTGTTAACAATTGTCGAGCGATTATACAATTTCATCAAGCGGTCTCGATTCAACTTTGAAAGAGTAGGATGCACTGCTTACTACTTCGCAAACTGGCGGGTCCATGCGTGGATACCATGACATGACCATAAAGGGACAGAATGATGGTGTACGAAGCAGCAGGTGGGCATGAGAACACGAAAGGACGAGCAGTGCGGACGAGACAATATGACTGCACGCAACGAACCGCATAGGTACAGTTATATCATGCACGTTTTTTGTGTCCAATTTCTGTCCTATTGAGAGCATACTCTATGGATCGTGCACGATCACGACTGTATAGTCCGAATCAGTCTCACATGACGATAAGATGTGTTATCCATGAAATGAAAGTAAAACTTGACGTACTAGATGCTTGCCTCTTGCCGTTACTTAGTGGTGTTTGTTAGAATAACCAGTAGAAAGATTATTTTGACTGTGCTGTATTGACGCTAGTGAGGAATTGGGTTGTGATCAATATGTCGACTAAATTCCCCTGCAACTGAGTGATTCCTTCAGAGACGCTCTGGCTGATGCTATCAAATGCAGGAGTACGTTGATGACTAGTAGTTAGTGATGACATGGAACACTCGCCTCGCGAGTTATGACTATATGCCAACAAAGTGTCGGATAAAGCGGCAATCTCGACCAGTGATATGTGAGACAAAATGGAATTGGAAAGTATTAGTAAAGTAGAAGCATGAGTTCGCTAAAGCTAAAATACTCGTATCGAAGCTTTCCATTGGGGGGACATCGTTCGAATATTCAAACGATAACATGCGCGGGGGCATCTTGCAGAGGTTTGCCTGATCATGATGATCATGATGATGGTGACTGATGCAGATATGATTGATGGTTGGTGCGGGAAGTTGATGGTTGGAGCCTGAGGCCCGAGCTGGTTGTACCTTGGACTATGTACAACTGCAACTTGAAGCTTGAGTGAATATTTTCGAATCTTCAACTGAGCCGATGACGTTAACTCTCCCATGGCTAAGTTCTTGACATGTGACGTGTGACTGTGTGTGACGTTATTGAGGGTTGTTCTTCCTGGTGTTTGACTTCATCAAGGTATTTTACTTGTAAATTCACCGTCTGTGGGTTCTGCTAACAATTCTTTTAAAGTCGTAGCTGCTCAGTCAACAAGTTCTATTTCATTGCTTTACCTTAACGTTTTCTGACAAAATGGGTGGTGCTGGTGCGTTGTTTCGCTGACGCAAGTCTCCTGGCTGACGGCTTGCTGTAGGCTGGTTGTTCTTGTTCTCTGTACTAATGGCAGCTGGTTTGCTCTTCACGATGGTTTTCTTCGTCAGTCTTCCCTTTTATTCTCACTCATTCAAACACTCATTTCGTTTGCCAGATCATCATGTTCTCAGACCTTGAATGCGATTATATCAATCCCATAGATCTTTGCAACAAACTCAACCAAGTACCTCGCTCTACCCCTACCTATAATATACACCTACTGACACACTCAGTTCGTCCTACCAGAAAACATTGCACACGCTTTCCTAACAGTCCTCTTCCTCCTCTCTGGGCAATGGTTTGCGTTCCTCCTCAACCTCCCTCTCGTCTTGTATAACGTCAACAAGTACGCCCAAACCTTATCTAAGGTGTTTTTTGCAGTCGGAGCTGACGCGTCCCGCAGAATACGCAACAAGAATCATATGTACGACGCCACAGAGATTTTTAGAACTCTTAGCGGTCATAAGAAAGAGAGCTTCATGAAACTAGGTTTTTACCTTCTTTCATTCTTCTATTATCTCTACCGGTGGGTCATTCTTTCACAAGTATCCCATGGTAACTGACAAGATTCTAGGATGATCGTTGCTCTTATCTCTGAGAGTGAATGATTGCCAGGTGGTGGCTTGATGACGAATACCTTTCCGGATGCTTGAGGGTAAAGCCAGTGCACGTAACGTACAAGACTCTTGCTGTTGTTTGGTTGGCTATCATGATCTATTTTCTTCACTATCACTTATTATGCTTGAGTTCACGTCATTTCATGCCCATTTCAAGCAAACATAAGTATTTGCCTGTGCTTTGACTCTTGCGTGAAATACATTGAGATGAGAGGTGTAATCAGCACAAGGGAAAATACATATGCTAAGATAATTTGCGACCCAAGATCATGCAGGCTGGCCAAGCCTCAGACTCTTTCAACCATATCATACTATTATACCCATATCCCATATCAATTATCAATATCCATCCCTGCTCCTCGGTCCCCAGCTCTCCTTCCACGACCTCCCCGTCCACGACCCCTTCCTCCACGATGCCACTTCTGCCCATCCGGACGAGCATTCGAGTGCGAGTGTTGAGTATATAGCTTCGGATCCGTACCCGGCGGCGCAACCAACACACTCGCTCTCGGATCCGAAGCAATGATCGAATCTGACCGCATTTTTCTGCACAAACGCAAATAGCATGAAGATAAAACTCCCAAAACCAAAACAACTCAAGACCACTTACGATGAACTCCCCTCCTCCCCACCATCCATAAGCACGTCCACACTATCATCCATAACATCCATACCCGCAAGCCTCCCCGACAATCCCACTGCTTTCGTCCCTACGATGCTCACTTGCAAAATTTTGCCGTCTGCAGGCTGCCCGTTGAACTTATTCACAGCCGCATCTGCCTGTGCGGGTAGTTTGAACGTGATGCGGACGATGACGTTCTCAGAGGCTTTCGGGGATGCTGTTTCAGACGAAACTATCGTACCACATCGTTTGAAAATAGCCTATCAAAACAACCAAAAAAAGAACCCCCAATCTCAGTCTCCTCAAAAAAAGAAAGGCACGAAAACGCGCACCTCAACATCAGCAGCAGTCGTACCCCTGACAAGTCCCCTGATTTCTACCACATTTCCCAACGGCACCGCACTCGCACCTTTGATGCTCAAGCCCTGTCCCGAGGCTTTACTGTCCCCTGCTGCGTCCCTGAGCGCACGCTGGGCGAGGCGCGAATCAGGTTTGCGAGGCTGCGCAGCGCTTAGTGTGAGTCTTGATGATAGGCTGGGTTTTTCTGGGTCTTCATAGAGGTCGTGGCTCCATTGTGCATCTGGGTCGCCTTTGGGGGTGCGGTTTGGGCGGGTCTTTGTGAGATAACACGATGATTGGAGTGGGGTGGGTGGGCGTGATAAGAACGAAAAAAAGATGGGTGCGGGAGAGGGGATTATTCTTTTGACGTGTAGGCTATAGAAAGGTGTACGCACGTATGGGGATGAACGACTGCCTGATTTTGTGCGGACAGGGCCTATGGAGGGGGCTCCGGCTCCGTGGTCTATGGGGACATTTAGGCGTTCTAGGAGGGACATCTCAGCGTCGAGTTAATGTCTTTGCAATGAATGGCTTGGAGGATAGGTAGGGTATGTAAGAATAAGACTCTTGAGTTGCGTGTAAACTAAAGTACCGTTTCGCTCAACTTAAGCTGTGTGTTGTTGTTTGCTGTGTGGCACTGCAAACTGATCATGATCACGTTTCACGAATTGAACGGCTGTATATAATTGATATGGAATGCATGAATATTCTGCTGTAGGAAGGTTCTGGTAATTGTAATCTGTGTACTGGCAAGACATTGCTATCCTTGAGAATTTATACTCATGTAGCACATTGGAAGTAAATGGTTCGGTCGACTGTCCCTTTCAGGTTAAAACCCCAGATCATAAGTATCAGTGAAAGCAAAACAAAGCGAGGACATTAGCAGGAAATATACTCCAGGATGACCGTATCCATCCTTGTTTTTCGTGATTTGGGCAGTGCTGAGTGAACAAAGAGACATGTTACGCGCCTTTCGGGGTTGCAACTATCATTTCAAGATGCTGAATGTAGCAACCAATACTGCATCGATCAGACTAACCAGAACGCAACATCGCAGACTTAGCGGTACGATAGGCAGCTATCTCGATGAAAAGATTTAACGTCGGGTGGTAAACCCTGGGACTGTATCTCCGGAGACAGCATCGATTTTAGCAGGCGCAAGATGGCACGTTTAGGTGGGCGAAGTATCATGGTAAGTAGGAAGGCTTGCCAAGGCGAACTTGGGATGTATAACGGGAACAAGATTTCGACGTGTAAACTTGGGCTATAAATAAACCTTGCTGTCTCTGCTTCACCAATGTGATGTTAGATTTTATTCATCATGCATCAGCGAATCCGAATCCATTAAAAATTCCTGTTCAGGAGCTTCACTGTGATACGTAGGGGTGGTCGTCCAAATCCGTCTAGTCATTATTGTGGCTCTGCGTCCAGTCAATATGTCAATAAAAAGATCCGAGTTATGCACAAGTCGTTCCTTTGCAATTTCGAAAGGTACTTCCCAAATAAGTTTAAGACCCGAAGAAAAAGGCGCTAAACGGCGGTCTCCTGGTAGAGTTCCGTATCCATGCGCTGAGACCATGACAAGCGAAGCATGTGACATAAGAGGCCCGATCACGGAGGCCTGACAAACGTTTCGACATGTTTCTCTATCTGATGAGGAGCACTGGGGAAATCTATGACGAGCCTTGAGGTGACACGTTTTGCCAAGGTACCACAAATGCATCCGCTCCGGAAGCTTGATGCTGGCGTATGGAGCGTTTGTCCAAAAGCTTCCGAAGACTTTTACAAAGCTGGCTGATGAATCGATGATGACGATGATGATGATGATGATGATGTATTATCCCAGTACACGATATCACTTGACACGACATCGGTATTAAGCTTTGGCGTTGAGGAGAATGGGACGCCCTGCGGCCCCTGCCATTTTCGTCGTTGCCCACAAGTATGAGCTGTCACACTCGGAGTGAGGCCTCCATTTACGTTGAAGCTTTCGTGAGCCCTGTGTATTACTAGTAAGCGAGCGTTCACATTGGTGGACGTACGATGCTACGCGTAAGGTCCGCCTAAAGCCTCGACGAATTGTTTGAGGATGGAGGCCATTCCACAGTGGAGTGATTCGTGTATAAAAAGTGCCCATGAGGACGAATCCGAGAAACGCTTGGACGCCGGATAGCTGAACTTGAAAAGGTTTCGGATGCAATTCGGATGAGTTTTAAAGTTGGCAACGCCTTTCGTTTTCAATACGAACAAATAAGCATGAACTGTAATTCACTTCGTTGGCAACTTTCAGTCACCAGTGTTACTTGTGTATAATTTTCTGCAGCCCGGCGACAACTCAGGTCGTTCCATTGCTAATGCCAATTATGGAGATTATTGACATCCCGTTCACCAATTCCATCGTTGTTCATCTTCAGCATGTTTCATCATCAACACGTTGTCTATCGGCGCGCCACGTCAAGGGTGGACTCAAAGAGAATGTACTCGCTGATCGCAAGATGACCTATATATTCAACTGCGGAGAAACCTTGGGAGAGATGACGACAGACCATTCCCCACTAATATTGTTCATGGCCTACTGTCACCAAGGGAGGGTGGACAATTTCAAAACCTAAAACCAACATTTGGAAATTCTCTCGGTCATATCGATGGTTCTCTCTCGACGTATGACGTTCCTAAATCAAAATCAAGGCAAAACCATTAAACACGACCTCTTTCGCCTTTCGCCAAGCCAGTTTGCGAGCCTATGCCCTGCTGGCAATTGGGATCGTCACCAGCGCATGCGTATCAAATCAACCTTTTTCTGGTGATATGATAATGGGGCTATCGCAACGTAGAACTCTGATCATACAGTAGATCCAAGGCTTAACTTGATCTGAGCATATGATGCGAGATATCTACCATAACCAAATATGATTAACAACTGGAAGGTGACGAGACTCTTTGACTCCTTTTCAGGTCACGCACATCTCAGGTAATATTGGCAATGCAGGGTCATGCAGGATCGATTTCTCAGCCACTCTTAAGCAGCCGCAATTCATCTGGCCCAGATGATATGCTATTACATTCTCTTTCCGTATGATTTCTCAACGGTCAGAAGAATCTATACAGGGCGAAAAGGAGGACGTCGAAGGGGTTAGCGCAGCTGATCTCCCACCTTTCCACCTTCAGCTCGATACTGGTAAGACGTATACCAAATTTCGTCAACAATGGTGGCAGTTGTGGTAAGCGAAGCTATTTTGCAAGTGATATGATCCTTCATCGAGCCGCGGTCAGGTTACCTCAGGACCCGCCATCACCAGCTCCCCCGTCTCTGGAGGATGCAGCAGTGCGCAAATCCTCTATGCTGATTTTTTCTCTTAACAACAAAGTGATATACAGCTGACGCCTTTAGTCAATGCGTCCATTTTTTCTCAGCTCACATATTCTTGGGTAACCGATATAATGGTCCATTTGAACCCCGATCCTAACCTATACCGTTCTGAAGCATAGTTTTAGGTTCTTGGATATCAACGCACATTACAAGCGTCTGATCTATACAAACTGGACATATCCAAAGAGTCAGCCGTCCTTGCTGCCAAACTTGAAGCTGCATGGCAGTGGCGTGTTAGGGCAGCAGCCGACTGGAACGCACGTCTCGAGAGTGGAGAACTCAGGCCATCTCTCTTCAAGCGTATCGGCTGGGCCTTGAGTGCAGTTTCTGGGGGAAAAGGCACGAATTGGTCTGAGCGACGTGCAGCGTTTCAAAAACACTGGCAAGAATCCGCAGGGCGGAAAGAGGCTAGCCTTACTTGGTCCTTGAACGAAGTCTTTCTCAGGATGTTCTGGATAGGAGGTGCATTCAAGGCATGTTTCTTCTTCCTGAATTATCGCTATCGTAATAATTTTACAACACTATCAGATATTTAGCGATATGACACAACTTATGTGTCCCATTGTCCTTCGGGTAAATAGCAACCTGTGTTTGGACGTCGCAACCTCTAATGTTTATTCTTCCCCTGCAGCAAATCATCGTTTTTGCGGAAGAGCGTTCCGCTGCAATCATTGCAGGAGAACCTGTCCCTAATATCGGTCGCGGGATCGCCATGGCTGCTGGGCTCTTTGCGCTTACCTTGACGGCCAGCATCTGCAACCACCAGGTTAGTAAAACCCTTGCGGGTTGAAGATAAGCTCAGCTCAGCCTACGCATTTCAAGTACTTTTGGCGTTCAATGTCAACAGGCGTACTGGCTAGAGCCGCACTGATAACATGTATTTACGAGCGCGGAGTGAACCTCACAGGCAAAGCGCGTGTCAAACTTACCAATGCCGCGCTGCTCAATCATATCTCGACAGACGTGAGCAGGATTCATGAGGCTGCTCAGTGGGTTGTGAGTCACATACTGAAGCATTCGCGCATGTCGTTGACTTATTCCTCCCTTGCTACTAGCACATGTGTTAGTATATGGGACTAGTGACATTCATATTTAGGGATGACTTACTGTTGTTAAGCCTGGACCACGCCTATCCAAACAATAGCTTGTTTAACCATTCTCTTAATCCAGGTTTGTTGTACGGTACCAAGACTTCAGTTTGTTCTAACGACGCATCAAAACTAGCTCGGGCCGTCTGCGCTCGCTGGTTTCTTGCTATTTGCCCTCATGATTCCCCTTCAACGGTGGACAATGGCACTGCAGCACCGTATGCGCTTAGGGTCAATGAAATGGACCGATCAACGAGCCAAGGTCTTCCTAGAGGTACTCGGTACGTAACCTTGAAGCTCTTGGGACATGCAATGATGTTGAAGAGATGCGCAGGGGCTATACGCGTTGTCAAGTACTTTTCATACGAGATCCCATTCCTTGAAAGTAAGCATACTGAGTTGAGGAATATCAACGGCAACGGCATGCTCACGAACGCTGCTTAGAAATACTTGAGCTTCGAAAGAAGGAATTGCATGGCATCCGGTGGATTCTTCATGCGAATTCGGCGAAGTAAGCTCAGATCGTGATAGCATGGCAATGCCTAGTGATACAATCCATCCAGCTTGGCGCTCGCTTCTTCTGTCCCAGTCCTCGCTGCTACGCTAGCTTTCGTCACGTATACCCTTACAGCACATGACTTTAACGTTGCCATCATATTCAGCTCGTTGAGCGTGTTCCAGGTGAGATCATGTCCCACAGCGTACATGGCCATGCATTTAATTGACTGATAAACAGCTTCTCCGGCAACCAATGCTCCTCATGCCTCGCGCTCTATCGGTTATCCCTGATGCATCCAGCGCGATTCAGCGGCTTACGCACGTGTTCCGTGCAGAGCTTCTTTCTAGAGATACATTTGTAATCGACAAGGACCAAGAACCTGCGCTTCTGGTAAAGGATGCGACGTTTGAATGGGAGTCGTCCGCGAAAAATTCTGATGGTGCTTTGGGCTCGAAGAATCGCGCACCCGGCGACGACAGTCCACCGAAGGGCAAGGACAAAGGCGTGAAGGAGGACGTGGCGAAGGTAAAGCCCGCTCCTGGAAAGGAAGCACCTCTCTTTAAGATAAATAATGTGACTATGACCATCCAACGAGGCCAGCTCGTCGCTATTGTTGGGCCTGTCGGAAGCGGCAAGGTAATCTTTTCGAATGAAAAGTACCTGAAGCGACTACTGACTCATGAACAGTCCAGTTTATTGCAAGGTCTAATAGGAGAGATGAAGAAGGTCTCCGGGCATGTCTCGTTTGGCGGGCGCATTGGTTATTGTCCGCAGACCGCGTGGATTCAAAATGCTACATTGGTTAGCATGGCGTCGCTCTTGAAGAGCGAGTCCAATCTGACATTTTCCCCCAGCGTGATAATATCACTTTTGGCCAGCGTTTCGAAGAAGACAGATACTGGCGCGTTGTTGAAGTGGCTTGTCTACTTCCTGATCTCCAAATGCTCCCAGATGGAGATTTGACTGAGGTATGGTGGATGAATCCAACTTGATTACACTGTTTATGCTCTATCTCAGATCGGAGAAAAGGGGATCAATCTCAGTGGTGGCCAAAAGCAGAGAGTGAGTTTGTGATATCTCCCCGTGATAGAACTCGTATTTGATCTTCCACATAGGTCAACCTTGCCCGTGCTCTGTACTTTGACCCTGAAGTTGCTATCCTTGATGATCCGCTCTCAGCAGGTTAGCAATGTTGTTGATCTTATGTCTCATACTGACGAATGCTTCAGTGGATGCCCACGTTGGAAAATCTTTATTTCATGATGCCATCGTGGGTGCCCTGCGAAATCGTGGCATCACCGTCATTCTGGTCACACATGCGATTCATTTCCTCTCTGAGGCAGATTATATCTATACCCTTAAAAACGGCGAAATTGCAGAGCGCGGGACCTACGAAGAATTAATCTCTCGCGGTGGAGACTTTGCGCGTTTGGACTTGGAGTTCGGTGGTCATGTGTCGGAGCAGAATGATGAAGGTCAGGCGGAGGAAGCCACTCTGCAAACAAGCATTACTATCGAGGATGTGAAGTTGAAGTCGGAACAAGTCAGAGAAAAGGTTACTGGCAACGGCAAACTCGAAGGTCGCTTGATCGCCAAAGAGAGGCGGTCGACAGGCTCTGTGCCCTGGGGAGGTACGATCAAGCTCATCTGAAGAGTTTCCCTGGATTGAGACAGTTTCAGTGTACTGGACCTATTTGGTTGCAGGACGCGCTTCAATAACAGGTCCCCTACTTCTTTTCTTCGTGGTTGCGATGCAAGGAAGCCTTATCTTGAACTCGTACGTGCTGGTTTGGTGGCAGAGCAAGTCAGTGTCTTTTTATCGACTTGATTCCTTTCTAAAATCCTGGCGCAGTAAATTTGAGCGACCAAACTCGTTCTATCAGACGCTATATGGGTGTCTAGGGGTTGCTCAAGCGATCTTCACATTCTTCCTGTAAGCCGGTTCACACCGCAGATCACGGCATGCTCATTCAATGTAGTTGTATCGGAATGGACATCATTTCTCATTATGTGTCTCAAAACCTGCACCACAAGTCCATATTTAAGGTCTTTCATGCACCATTGTCCTTCTTCGACACTACAGTGAGTAGTTTTGTATAGGAGCGCGCAAACAGATGCATAATATTTTCATGTAGCCTATAGGCCGAATCTTGAGCATTTTTGGCAAAGATGTTGATAGTCGGCATCTCATTAATTTGTGCTCTTCTATGCTTTACTAAAACTTTCGCTCAGGTATTGATAATCAATTACCATGTGAGTCATTTGTTACCGCACGGTGAGATGCCACTGATGTATGGTCTAGATTCAATGAGATGGCGTATGTTAACCGCATACTTTGCTTACGGAAACTGACTATGGAGATCCAGTTGTCTATATGCTGTCCAGCTTTATGGCCTCTATCATGATCATCTCTGTCCTTGAACCATACTTTGGTCCGTAAATAGACATCATTTGCAAGGATATGGCTCATTCTTGTCTAGTTATTGTGGTGTTCTTCATCGTTCTTGGTTATAGCTACTTCGCCGCGTTCTATCGAGCCAGTGCTCGTGAGGTTAAACGCCTGGGTTTGTTATTGTGTTCCTGACCTAGAAATCCACTGCTGATGATGATGATGATGATGAGGCGCTATGCTTCGCTCTCTTCTATATGCCCATTTTTCGGAGACTTTGACAGGACTTCCTACTATCCGAAGCTACGGAGAAATGAAGCGATTTATTGCCGCCAATAGATACTACGTTGATCTGGAGGACAGAGCTCTATACCTCACGATTACAAACCAGAGGTAAGTGTCCTTATACATATCTTAGCGGTCGTTGGTTCATTAGCTTCTCTCAGATGGCTTGCAGTAAGGTTGGACATCATGGGAAGCATATTAGTTTTCATTGTAGGAATCTATTCGATGACAAAAACTGTGACCTCATATTCAACGAATGCTAGGTTGCTCTTCTCGCGGTGATGGACATCTCCGGGATAAACGCAGCCCAGATAGGGTTGATGCTAACATATACCAGTGGGTCTCTCGATGTCGCCACTAAAGTACACGTGATAAATCTTGTATCACAGCCTTCCTGTCACAAACGTGTAGTCAGTTAACCAAACTAGCAGCAGATGTTGAGGTGAGGCGTTCCTTATCTTTTTACACAGGCTATTCAATCGTCATTTGCCTCAGAACTATATGAATTCAGTGGAACGATGTGAGTCACTAATTTCATGATATTTTGCTCACACCTCGCAGTGGTGCAGTATGTCGCAAGCGACACGATGCCTCAAGAAGCTCCGCATGAGATTGAAGAACGAAAGCCCCTAGCGCAATGGCCTGAACATGGTGCGGTCGAATTCAACAACGTTAAAATGGCATATCGGCCAGGCCTTCCCAGTGTATTGAGGGGAATCTCGTTCAAGGTCAGGGGAGGCGAAAAGATAGGTGTTGTGGGAAGGTCAGCTGGTTTGTCGGAGCTACACACGCATGCTAATGTGATGTTTCATTAGGACTGGTGCTGGCAAATCTTCGTTGATGCTCGCATTGTTTCGAATTGTTGAGTTGTCTGGCGGTTCAATCACCATTGATGGGTACGTTGGTAATCACTATTGACGAATATTGGGTTTCACCCCCTCTAGCGTCGATATATCTACAATTGGTCTTAAAGATCTCCGCTCCAAGATTTCTATTATCCCACAAGATGTTTGTAAAGTTACCATGCACTAACTAACACAGGAAGGACTAATGTACAAACTCAATAGCCTCTTTTATTTAGCGGTTAGTGCCGTAATTCTACATATTCTTGTTTGAAGTGCTTAAAGATTACCAGGGACCATGCGCTCCAACCTGGATCCATTTTCCCAACACAGCGACGCGGAACTGTGGGGTGCGCTGCAACGATCTTGTCTGTTTGATCCTAGCATCACTTCGGAACAGTCATCCTTCATCGATGGCGCCAATCGCTACAGTCTTGACAGCACCATTGACAGCGAGGGAGCGAATCTCAGTGTTGGGGAGAGATCTCTACTCAGTCTAGCTCGTGCACTGGTGAAAGACTCCAAGGTTGTTGTGCTTGATGAGGCCACGTTAGTCATATGCTCTTCTCCTGAACATGTGATGTTGATTTTTTCAGAGCCTCTGTCGATCTTGATACTGATAACAAGATCCAGCACACAATCCAAACCGAATTTCGGGATCGCACGCTACTTTGTATTGCCCGTGCGTTATATCATTTTTGCACTCGGCACAGTACTGTCATTAATGGATGATACTTCAGACCGACTTCGAACTATCATTTCATATGACCGGATTCTGGTCCTTGATGCTGGCCTTGTTGTAGTGGGTTGATGTTTAAACGCATTTCAGCCGTCATCAACTCACATCCTCTCGAAGGAATTTGACACACCATCCAATCTCTTCAAGGTGGAGGGTGGACTTTTCCGCAGAATGTGTGAGAGGAGTAATATTTTATTGAAAGATATAGAGACGAGTGGAGGGGTTTGAATAATGCTGTATTCCGACATAACTGCACCTAGGAAATCGAGTGAAGATCGTTAAAGTAATCGTACAAAGTTCCTGGACTACCCGAGGATAGTAGTGTTGTAGTATGGTATTATCGTTTGGGTCAGTATTAGTGTAAGTAGTACTGCGTACAAAACCAAGCTACCTGGTCCAGGCTAGTCAATACAAAATCATGTCTGCCATCTTGCTAGCTCTCTCCCGACTTCCCGAAGCCAAAAGCGATTGTCTCGTCGACCAGTAAGGCTCTCCTGTCGTTGCCAGCGTCAATCTGCGATCGAGTAATTTGGGGTGTATGTGGAAAATGTGAGCTTTGACCCAGATAGTCATCCCACGGCTAATCTGTCGCACCCATAGCTGGAACTTTGGATTTCCCTCTTTCTTGCAGGAGTGGACATAGACATCGCCGGTCTTGGGTGCTATACACTCGCGTGGGTACCGAAGCTCTGATGAGTCCGTGGACTTGTACCAGCCCATGAAGAGATCCTTGTTGTTAAGCTTGCGCTCTATTCGAAGAAGTTTCGAGGTATTCGTGGCTGGAGAAACGCGTGGCTCTTTCTTCAGTGTCTTTGCCACCGACTCCTGTCTCTCTATTTCCGATTTCTCTATTTCTATTCGTTCGATTTTCCTGGTTTCTGCTTCCTTGGTTGGTAATTCCATGTTCTGTATTTCCATTCCTTCCATCTCCGAATTTTCTACCTCCCTGTTCCCTGCTTCCCTTCTTGAGTCTGCCTTTCCTTCATCTATTGCCGTTTCCTCTTCCTCCGCTGTCGCGTCTATCATTGCCGATCTAGATACATCAGAATCAAACATAAACGACGCGTCTGATTCATCGGCAGTGACGATAGGGTCTACATGAGTTCCAGACGCGGAAGGCTGCTCATCAAGGTTGGCAGGAGCAAGGACACTCATGGTTTCGTCGTTTGTAGCTCCAGAGCTAGAGTGTCTAGAACTGTTGTCAGATTAAGTATGCGCGTGAATAATGGCACCTACTTGAACCAGAACTTTCGGAGAACACAGGATCTAGAACTGCTGTCAGTTTGACTATATCATGATCCACATGAATAACAATGCCTACCGGGAAGAGAGTATTTGTGGAACATCGGGTCCTGATCGTTTGTGATCCACAGTTGCAGCATCGTGTTTAGGAGCTGGCATGGCACCTAAATTCTCATCTGTATAGCACGAAGACTTCACAAAATTGGCATGCTCTGGCAGAACCTGCTGCACGCATGACTGGGGATGGGTCCTGCAGGCCTAATCAGAACTCATAAGGACCTTTCATCATGATAGACCAACCTCAAAGTAGGTGACTGGATATAACATCCTCTAGAGTCCAGCACCTGTGGGAATTGCTCAAACTACGATGTGGCGCTTTAGCACAAGGGGCCACCAAAATAATGCGTTACTGACCACTTTGACATCTAGTTTCCATCTTGGTTTCCACTGGCTGGCGGAAGGAGTGTCTAAGAATACGTCAAGTCCAGGATGATGTAGCGGCTCGGGCGTCTGAAAAGTCAAGGGTGTTAGTGTCATTCAGAGGTACACCACACCACGCACCTGTGATCGGACTTGCACATACGGGTTTTGAGATGGATCAGAGTAGCGCGCAAGAGTTTCCTGGAGACTAGCGTCGAACATCAGTACTCGACGCCAATGGATCTGTTATCGAGAGATTTTATAGAGCAAGAGGGAATGGCTGATTCATATCGATTTATACTCGTTGCCTCATGTCATTGTGAATCAAAGAACCATTGAGCATGGTAGATAAGGAGCACGTTTGCACTGGACAACACTACAATACTTACTGCAGATCAACGATACCAAAAATTTTACTCCGTTTGGTCACTCTGAGAAGATCAATTTTCTGAAGTTGCAAAGTTTTCACTGAAACTCTAAAATTTACAGACGACAAAATACGAGCCAAACCTACAACACGTTGTCCACGACTCCACTGTACGATGAAAGGCCATGCATCTAACAAAGGATGAATCAGAACCAAGTTTCCAAGAGCACAAAGAATGTCAGGGGATGTCAAGTTGTGGAGCACGCCCTAAAGAGGTCAACTCCCTGAAGAAATTCAACGAAAAAAAACCAAACATCATAAATCAATCAAAACGAAGCAGTTACTCACCATAAGATTCAAAACCCATGCACAAAATCCAATGGGTCGAACGGCGAACGTTCAGAAGCTCGAAAAATAATGCCCAAAGGCAGGAAACCGCATCGAATGAGAGTGAGCCCCATTGAGTTGATGACATGCCAGAAGCAGTGTCGACAATCGCATAACTATGTCTATGAGCAACGAAGCGCCAACCGTCTTCCAAGATACTCAAACACGACCAGGCTCGTATCTTCGCATAGCCGTGCAGTTGGAAGAGTACTCGGAGTCAAGAAAGCATCAGGGCAGGCAAGCGGAACTGGTCCTGAGCCTGATGGCAACAGGTCCAGTAAATCGACCTTCCCGACCAGTCTCGTTCCCCGCAGCGCTCTTGGAGCTGGGAGATTTCCATTGCGAACGAGAAGGCATAACCCTGTTTCTCCGGGGACTTTCCCCGCAGCCAAAGAAGAAAGAAAAACCTTTCCGTGCGTATGCTGCGACAGCGAATCTTCAGACGATGCGGTCGAAGGGACAAAATTTTGTGACAGCTACTATTATGGGCATAATTGAAACTCCGAACCTAACCTCGCCGAGACGCCGACGCGGGGCAAGCACCAAAAGCCCTTGTTAACCGACTTTCACCCTGTTCTCCTATGAGTAACCCGATGGACTCTTCAGACGCAGAAAATAAGGATTCTACTGGAAAGGAGCTGCCTCATAATGCTGCCGCTCAATCCACCACGCGCAAAGAACAACAAAGCCGCTCAAGTATGTGGCCACTTCCCTCTATTTCAGTGACTCGGCACCCCTCTGGCAAGCTGCCAATCTTCTCTATTTCTCAGATTCGAGTTTAACATAATCCGTGCTTTTACAGGAAAGTTCTCACCACAGACCGATGAGCGCTGCTTTTCGTACTGTTCTCAGACTACCCGCGGACGCACTGAAGGCCGTGAACCGACGTGTCGTTCGTTGTGCTTCCGGAGGGTCTTCGCTCATGAAGTCAGAACAGCGATCGCACATGATGATGCGCTAAAGGAGAAAGCTGCTCAAAAGGAGTACGGTTACCCCCTTCCACCTGAGGGCCAGCCTAATACGGACAGCTTATCATCGCCCAAGTCTGATGACATACGATATTGGGAGGAGGGCTGGTACCTCTGGACGAGTAGGAGTCGGTGGGCAACGCAGGAGAGATTGGACCTCATGATGTGGGACTTGGATCACCAGGATCATTGGCAGCGTCACAAAGACGAGGTGCAGAAGCAATGGGACGATTATTGGGCAGAGCATCAGAGACAGTCAGGGGAGCAGTTTAACAGCACGCCCACAGATGGAGACAACATCCAGCTCGAGGGTACGCCATATCCGGTCGATGGGCAGCTGTTCCCTAAGCAAGAGACCAAGCATCCGTGGTGAGTCACTTACGGCATTAGTAGCAAATCGAATTTAATCAAGTTTGTTCCAGGCAAGAGTCTACTCTAGTAAAACTACCGCCTCCCCTTACCCCTTTGTTGGAACCAATCCACGACCTTCTTTCACCATCCTTCAAGGTTCTGACCACTTTGCACCGAAGTTTTGAATCAGGCGCCCATGCTGAACTCGCTGTCCGCATGTGGGAAAAGGCAAGGACGCCCGATCCCTTTGTCCTTGCGAGCACGGTTTGCAGGAAGATGTGGGAGAAATGGAAGGAAGGGCCTCCAGACTCTGACACCACTTCGGACCTTTGATAATTTTGTATATACCACAACTAGAATACTACTCCGACTACTCACCATACAATGTTTTTGGCTCACATTTATGTATTCATGTCCATTTTTAACACGGTTACTTTGGTGTGCTCTAGTTACACGACTTGTAGCTCCATCATGGAACAAAATTATTTGACTAGAGTGAGATTCGAACTCACGCCCTTTCGGACTGGATCCTGATTCCAGCGCCTTAGACCGCTCGGCCATCTAGCCATACAATGATGACTGTCCCGATGAGTACTAGGCTACGTAGGCCCTGAGTGCGGCCCCCGACGTTAGACAACTCACATAATGATGCTTCTTTGTACGAGATCCAGTACGTGCATGAAACGAGATGGATGGGTGACTCTTTTACGAAATATTTTCGTGGACGAGTTGAAAGCATGACCAGATCCAGAAGGTCAAATCAATTTCCAGGGATTTTACATCAATGAAATATGTGACCACTGACAATGCCTACCGCCTCGCATGTCCAAGGACTATACATAGTTGACTGAAATGCAATTTCAACGCCGTCAGAGCAAATGAACTCAAAAAGATGGTCTAACCGTAACTATCGCTCGGGGAAACCGGTGTTGGAGCATGTACTCTCAATCTAGGAAGCGGGAAACGTCCGGGGAAGGCGGATTTGAATCCTGGACGTGAATAAGCGCACGTCTGACGGCATCCACAACAGATACTTATCTGTGCAATGCCCAACTGGGAGCCTGTGACGGATGTCCAGGTCAGCAATGCCATAATAAATTGACTCGGAGGGTTCAGTTGCAGCCTATCCATGCTCCCAAATTACTCAGGTTATCGGTGGCATCACAGATATGACTGATCAGTTTGCAAATGAGGCGAGCTGACTGAGAGGCTGAAAGTCACTTGCTACCTTTCTGGAATAATTTTTATTTTAGCAGTGGCTGACGGCCTTTGGCTTTTCATGGATTCGAACGACTCGGGTAGACATAAATCAATATCAATCAGTGTCACGGCGGTTGACTTGGCGTATACATACATGATATGAGGGGCTTGCCAGTGAGACCTACCTAGCGAGAGCTGTCCAGCAGCTCAATCGCTTGTTTTAATAACAATCAAAGCGGGTGGGAAGGATCATAGGCATGTTCTTCTCACCGTGACCGATTAAACCGCTTCGAGTTTTTCCAGTACTGAGTCAGCATCTAGTTGCCACGTATAAGGTCCTTTGTCGTGTTTCATGTTTACATACGGCATCCTGACAAGTTACCATGCGCCTCTCTCTCCATGGCAGGAACTCATGGTAGTCCTTCCAGTAATACTTGGTTATCTCGCTCTTGTATTCCAACAGGCTTGTTGTATATTTCTAAATTCATTCGAAACTCATCGTTGATCACTGACCAACCGGTTTGCAGTAGCCGCCTCCGTCGGAATTGATATCCTATCATCCGAGCTAGCCTGAAATTCAACCAGCCGACATTCGGACACACTGCAACCTTAACAGAGTCAGCAGACTATCGATCATCGAGATGTTGGACAGTCACACTGTGTGTCAGAGAGTTAACACCAACAATGGTATCTCCGTCATCGAATCAGTGAGAACAGATAGTATTCATAGCACTTTGCTCACAGGTTATCGTTCGTACATTTCTAGATGGCAATTGGGAGTCTTCTTAATGCAGAGCCGTTCAACCACGTCTGACCATGTAGCGTAGCCGCAGCCTCTAGCTTCCAATCAACTGCTACAATTCCAGCAACCGCTGGAAACTCAAGTACTGTTGGCAATTCACGTTCAGAACCCCACTCACTTGCTAAGATATCGAGGGCGTAGGCTTGCATAATGCATATCGAACAGCCACCCATGGCACTGCAGCGGTAGACTGTTGGAGATCCCAGGGTCCCGATGATATCTCACCAATTCTCAGGAGAAATAGAAACAATTCACGCATATCAATTTTTGGGGTGTACGCTAACGAAATCTGCGAGCCCCATGCGCGGCCGCCTCATGGGGATAGACACTGTGCGAAGGTTTGCACCTTAAATCTTGCGATAAGCCTTAGAACGTGTGGAACTTATTTGGCTAGATGACCGGGGTAGTCACCTCCTGGGAGCATCAGAAGCTTTCGGGCTCTTACTCATCTTCCCGTTAGAAGGAGATGTCACATAAGGGAAAGCTTTGAGAAGTACAGCTTTCAGTCGCTGTCTTATGGAAAAATATAAAGGCTTGCAAATTATTTGCTCAGCCCTTTCATCACCTCTTCCGCAAACACTTCACAAATACTGCGACGATGGCCAACAAGGCAAAACTCGAGGCACTCCTGACTCTGATCAACACATCTGCACGAGATGCCATTGCGTTGTATGAGAAGTACGGTGATGTACCCGCCATAGACCAGGCAGGACCCCACCCCTTGGACAATGCGGTCGACCAGGTGGCTTTGAAGAGTGCCGTTCGTACTCTTGAAGGTGCTAGTGCTCAGATATGCGCGACACTTGCTCCACCTTCCCATACTGCTGTCAATGTGAGAACTTAACTGATGTAATGCACTTTACTGTTGCTCATCAGATTGCACACAGCTTGTTCAAGTATATGATTATGCTTGCGTGCGAGTAGTTGCTCGGGAAAATGTTTCGGATATTCTTTTGAAGTACCCCAAGGGTCTTCATGTCAATGAGCTCTCCAAAAAAATCAACATCGAACCAAAGAAACTGGCCAGAATAATGCGCCTACTAGCCACGAAAGGTTGCTACAACGAAGGTGAGGAGTCACTCGTTCCCTGGTTTTATCTCTTCTCAGACTCCGCCAGTCGACACGGACGTTTTCGCCAACAACCGACTGTCCCTAATCCTACTCGATGAGAATCCTGTCAAACACATGATATTACTTCACGTGGAACTAATTTCCAAGGGAGCATCAGTTTTCTATGAGACGCTCAAAGATCCGAAGATCGCCTACTCGTATGACCCAACGATTGCACCTGTGATGTACTCCATCGACAAAGATGGAACCGAAGGAACGGTCTTCGACTGGATGGCGCGGCATGTATGTTTTCAAACATTACTCATCAGAAAGCCTTGCTTATGTGATTTCATTGCAGGACGGTCAACGCGAGGTAGGGATTCTGGTCCCTTCGCACAATTACTCTGACATCTTTAGTAGTCCTATCATGTCTCGATGAGATCTCTGAACACCATTATGGGCTCCCTCGCTGTCCTGGCTCGTAAGTATTCAAGCACGCAACAGGGGTGATTTTGTGCTAACTTGACAATAGATTTCCCATTCGGAAAGTACTCGACAGTCGTTGATGTCGGAGGAGGTATCGGAGCATTTTCTCTACCTTTGGCTAAAACGCACAAAAACGTCAAAATCACAATCCAAGATCTTCCGGAAGCATTAGTTCAAGCGAGAGACGTAAGTCAGTAGGACAATGTGCTTGTCACCAAATTGATGGGATCTAGATCTGGGCGAGAGATTGCCCTGAAGCCGTGGCAGAAGACAGAGTCGAATTCGAGGACTTGAACTTCTTCGAGCAAGTGCCCGTCAAGGGTAAAGATGTCTACTATGTAGGTGCTAAGCTCTGTAAGCGACAAGCTGCGAAGTTAAAAGTGACCGCAGCTCAGGAATATCATCCACGACTGGCCTGATCACGAATCTACGATCATTCTTTCAAACGTTCGCAAGGCGCTCGGTCCACACAGTCGTGTCCTCATTCGTATGTTAAATATAGCTCAATCATTCCGCAATCTGACAAATTTCAGATGACTATGTGCTTCGCCAGGTCAGCCGCAAGCAGACAGCAATAGAAGATTCAAAGCTCGGAGTTGTTTCGGTATGTTACGTCTACTGATCTATGTTTATTTTTGTTCATCCCCGTACCTAGGCTCCTGAACCTCTTCTTGCAAACTTTGGTGTTGGAAGCATGCGTTCATACCAGCAAGACATGACTATGTTGTTTGTACACAACGCAAAGGAGCGAACATTACAAGACTTCCTGACACTCACGTGAGTAACGTTCGATTACTGCCTTGGTTTCACCTGATTGGTTCGGAATAGCACTGCCGCCGGCCTGAAACTAGAGAAAGTCTGGGACCTTGCCGAATCATGCGTCTTGGAGTATTCTGCCGCATAATGTTTCGCGAGCTGATTTATGTGTTCATCCACATATATCATACTACACGCCACATACTTATCAGATCCGCATTGATGATACGCCCCCTTTATCCTCAGATGCACGTCTGGCCTCACCCTCCCTGACTGCTAGTCGCGTTAACCAAGAAAGAATTGAACCCTTGCAATGCGCATGAGGGAAATCCTCCCGCTCTAAATTTCTCCTCATCATGTTTGATCTGTGATACTACTTCGTGCAATGCCAGCAATATAATCCATCAGCTCAGACACTTCATCATCTGGGAAATCTTCAAAACAGCTTGTCACATCAGGCCATTGAGGTGCTCGTCGCACCATACGGTCTCTTCAAGGTCCAGACAAAGCCACTCATCAGCGATCTGAAAAGGTTCAGCTAATTGTTCAGAAGATAGAAATTGATTGAATTCACCTCATTCTCCCGGTTTGCTGCTGCCAACAAGAACTTGAAGAAGGCTGTGGAGAAGCAGGCATATAATTCCGCGAAAAAATGCCCATTTCCCAGGTGTTGTGCTTGATCAAAAGCAACTTACACAATTGAGTGAACCAGGTGTGCTATATGAGGAAGTCATCGTAAGTAATTGGTAGAAACAACAACTATAAGGTAAGCCAGAAAGATGCAAGATCAAGGGGGCTTACTTCCTCGGATGATTCAGATCCATCCTACGAAAAAAGCCTGGGTTGACACCGGAAAACAGTTTAAAGTTGGGATACTAATAAACACACGAGCTTCATTCCCGTGCGTGCACGCCTTCAAGAAAGCGGTCCTAATCCTCAAGGGTGCCATAGCGTGCATCAATGTCCTCATAATCTGAGCTGTGGTAGTTGAAGCATCAAGTACCGGAATCGAAAAGCGACAATTTGCGCTCACATATCATAACCCATGTCAGCCGATGGGCTACGTTAAATCGGGCTAAGCCATATAACGTCCACACCAAGATCCTTGAGATAATCAAGTTTGGAGATGATACCTGCGAGATCGCCAGTCCCATCATCGTTCGCGTCAAGGAATGATGCTGAATAAATCTGGAGACGGTTATGGATTTCCACCAGCGATGTGGTGATGGGGACATCGTGGACAAGGATTAGAGTGAACATGCGACGGGCTGAAGCGAGGTTTAAGAAGGATGCGTGATATGAGATATGAGATATAAAATATATGAGTGTGACCTTACGAGACTATGCATATGTCTATCGATTAGCTTCTGCGTGCCCACCCGTGCATGAATATGTAAACACCACACATAGTGGCACTTATTGGCTTCTGATAATCACCGTGACTCCACAGTGCCTGTAAGAACAACTTCGGAGTGCGAAGAGATACATTGGGAAACCCGACAAGCGACAAACTGCGTTGGACTTTGAGTTTCAACTTGAAAACATATGTTCAATTGGTAGACATGGTACCTGCAGTGATTAGTGAGCTGCGAAGTTCATTATATGTTCGAGTGGAACAAACGGTCATCACCAAAAGTCCAGAAAACAGGTATTACCTTATTAGGCTGACGGTCACGAGATTTTATGGGTCATGGGTTATGGGGTCTGAGACGATGATGCCAGTGCTCGATCATCATGACGTCGAGTAGTTAGTAGCTTATCATTGTTCCCAAGTCTTATCCGGTCTGATATTCCATTAGCATGTGTCCTAAGTCTGACAAAGTGTGATAATATAATGTCATTACAAAGCTCCATATCCCTCCTGCACGAGAATATCCTCATCAAGCTCCTCTTCCTCGTCAGCTACAATTGCATCTTCCTCGTCTGAATTGTTATTATTTTCATCCTCACCATTCTCACTGCCCTCGTCGTCGTCCTCATCAATCTCCTCGCCAATATCTTTGTCATCCGCTCCCCAAGGTTGGTTCAACTCTCCAAAATTAAGGTCTTTGTTCTCATCAGCGTCCTCCACATTGCCATCACTGCGCAGAAGCTCATATAGATCTTCGGGCATCTTGTGGCCCACACCTCCTCCTCGAAAACGCATGAACATGTCCCTATCTACGAAACTAAATAAATAATTAGTTTAGCGTAGTGATAGCAAAGGCAATACATACTGATTCACATAATAATACATGTAGGTGGACGGACAAATGAAGGTCCGAGTCGAGTGTCAGTCTGTCCATATGCGAATCCAGGAATTAAATGGACTCCCCAGATCACTTGATCAGGATCAACAAAACCAAAGCTGTCCGGATCATCTCGACTAAAAAATCCAATGCAATGGAGTCATTTGGCACACCACCCAGCTTTGAAGGCAACATCTCGTCCGAACCAACGCACAAACAACACATGCACACGAGTAGGTGCTGCTTGAGAACTACTGGGACCATAGTACCACACATTGACATGGAAAACCTTGATAATACGAGCATACCAATAGGGATGTTGGTCCTTGTCATCCTCATGTGACAACATCATGATGTCAGCGTGATTTTGTGGATTCATTGAATCTTGCTCTCAGCAAAGGTCATAGGTCATATAGTTGATGTGCAGGATACTGTGTTCGTAGAGCTGATTGTTAGCAAGAATCACCTGGCTCCTGTCTTCATCAGAGAATTCATCCCATCGCCAGAGTACTCAAGACCACGTAATCTTGCCAATAGATGGTTTTTCAATCTCAGAATGAAGTCCTATGACACCATATGAATAGATTGAAAAATACTTGAATGAACTACTTACTTTGACTGCCGGGTCTTCTGCCGGGTCACTGAGCCATCCAGTCGCATCATATGATGCTTTAGGATATTTGGAAATATGATAGTGCACAGCGGGTGAAGTACATTCATGTGGTACGCTGGGTGCCTTGAGTAATTCCTCGTGTTGTTGGACAATCCATGCAATAACCCATTCACGGGCTTCGAGGTGGGTCATTGTAGTGCCCATGGTCTTCTTATTCTTGGCTGTCCTAGGGTACCAGCGCTTAGCTTGCTGGTGTTCAAGTTCTCCCTTAAAATAGGATGTTAGATATTTGAGAGTTCAATTTGAGATAATCTTACCAGCTGTGTAGAAAAACTGTCTGTAGTACCAAAACGTCGAATTGTATTAGGATAATGTCTGAGAGCATGGAACTTGTATGTCAACAAATTGAGGGCCTTGAACTTGGGACCGGACTTTTGCTTCCCTTTACCTGAAGATGAAGGCTGCTTTGCTGCTAATGCGGCCTCTCGATGTCCACGCATGGCATACTCATGAGGGAGTTCTATTGTGTGGTAGTAGCTACACGTAGTCTTGAAGAATTTTCGAACCGATTGGCCCAAGACTGTGGTTTCAGTATCAAACAATGCAAGCATGTCTTCTGTGTGCATTTGAAGTTTGGCATATGCATGTCAAACAGAGAGATCAAATAGAAGATCGAGCACAATCTTGTTGTGATCGTCTGGCAATAGCTTCTCGAAGACAGGTATAGCGCACTGGAAATATTAAAAATAAATAACTGATGGCTATTAAAATCAACTAACCTGTAACAGGTCCTCAAAGTCATGAGCTGCAAGTTTTTTCATAGCAGAAGCATTGCTGTGAAAGCAACATATAGTTCTCCTGCCAAATGTTGGTACTTTTCGGTATCTAATGTAAGACACTGTGAGCTTGTAAGACAACTGATACGCAAAATCAGACTACCGTTTGTTGAGATCTGGAATTGCGTTCCCTCCAGCTGCGTGAAGTATCCGCATCAAATGGGTAAATTTGGCCTTCCAAGTGCCAAGCTTGAACTCATGAAGCTGATCGATGAGGAACATATCAAACATGTTGAATGTGTGTTGTCCAAGTTTCTCGGAAAACGCAGACTGAATCTATATATTAGTTGACAGAATGCAGAGTATATAGTGCTGCTTACCACAATTGGAACATATGAGGCTTCATTGAGTATCACCTTGACATGACTCCCACCTACAGGGACTTTGAGCTGAAAAATCAATGCACGGGCTTCTTCAACACTGCACCATTGTTGGAAGTCGTCAACATGTCTGTGAGTCACATGACCCTTCATGTCAAGTTTCATGCCCATCTGGTGGACATCCTCCTTCTTGACCAGGCAGCGTGGACAGGGGCGCCATCCTAGAAACTTTATAGTAGCGAGTAGAACCCTGTGCAGTGAAGAACATGTTAATGCCTTATGTCCAATAACACGTCAAATAAAACATGTACTTACTTCTCAGGATAGTCTGCCGAATATGAAAAGAAATGTGGAAATACTCTTTGTGTGATCCCATCAGAGCACCAGATTACTATTCTGTGTTCATAGGCTTCCATAAACTTATCATCCAGAAGTAACCTCCATATTGCTTGCATCAGTTCACATTTCAGATGTGTATGTACTTCACTTGTTGTAGCCTCACCAAAGATATCCACATAGATTTCTTGTAGATTATTTGGAAGCTGAAGGAGATAGTGAGATAGTGATATTAATGAAAATGCTGAGTGGTACATACTGTTGGAATATATGCCAAATGATGCGAGGCATGAGCCATGGGCTTGCCTTGCATGTACTTGGACTGATTCCCCAAAAAGATGTAAATTGGCCAGAGGGAGGCATCCCCAAAGCTTGCCAGGTGTGTAGCGTCGGACCAGACCATGAGTAAGACCACAACACGCTCAAGGTCATCTCCAGGGTCACAAGGAAGGGCATTGACCTCTGTGTAAGCTTCCATCAGTGCAGGGGATGCATATGCCTCCCCAAACACTTTTACCATCTGACGATTCGGTGTAGTCCAAAACTGTTTGAACGGTGTCATATTGAATGACTGTGAGATGTCGCTCTTGAACACATGTGTGATGATGTTGGTCAAAGACCGATGATGAACACCTGAGATCTTGAGTTTGGGAGCATCAGCTTCTGATAGAAATTTCTTAGTCTCCTTCGGTAGTCAGATCTTCACAGTCAATTGGTCCATCCATATTCTTCTCGAAAGGGGTTAGACTTATCTTCGATGTACTTGTCCAACAGCTTCATTTCATGCGTGAAATTGAATCCACTTAGGTGCACAAGGGAACAACAAGGATCTGAACTTAAGAACTCTGCAAGACAATTGACATTGACTGCCGAGTTGCTATTGGTGCCAGAGTAATGCCACACTATCAGAACTCCAGAAGTGTGGTTTGAGAAGCCATCAAACAAGTGCTTGGCACTAATTTCAGGTGTTGAGAGACCAGGGTGCCCTCCATGAATTGGTGCTTGGTCACTGTCCAGAGTTGGCGCATCTGTCACTCTCTCCAAGGTCAAGAGACCCTCTGGAGCTAAAGTGGGATGTGTTGGGTACACGCAATAAAGACCCATAGTGTTGGGTTCAGTCTGAAAAGGAACGAGTGTGGGGCGGAGATCTTCCAGCTCAGAAGAAGGGGCTGGGGATGAAGAGGGTGTTCAAGCTTGTGCAGATTGATCAGCATCATGCAGAACACGCCCTCGTTGTTGCCAGTTAGTGGGAGGCATATGTGCAAGATGTGTTGCTGATCCAGGAAGGTAGTCAATAAAGTGCCAAGGCATATGCACTATGCGCCCAGAGTGTTTCGAGGTGACTGGGGGTGTTATGGACTTGGATAGTATCTGTTGGCGACGCTCAAACAGAGCGTGTGTTGTCAATGGTTGAGGACGTCTCTGGGCTAACCCAAAGTTAGGAGTCTTGCTTGGCAAGGCTTCGGCAAGCAAGGTTTAACACCTATGTCCAAATCGGGTAGCTTATGTCAAGTGGGGCTTGACGATAAGTGTGTCTGCCAAGGCTTACGACACCCGAAGGTTAATTGTAAGATCTGCGTTAATAGAAGGACAGAAGTCCAACTAGTAACAGGGGCTTTGCTCATTGATGAAGTCGATGAGTAAAGATTGAGACTAAAGACTTATCTGCGATGAGCAGATAAGAAAGTAGAATATAGACTGCTGGCTAGGCAGAAGGAATCACTCTTGTTGAGAGTAGGAGGTCAAGAACCAAGTAGATTCAAGTTAAGGAACTAGATACATGGTAGCGAGTTTATATAGAGGAGAGGAAACATATTAGTGGATGATAACTCATACTACTGGAAGAGGAACTGGTCAAAGGGTGATACCAGAAAAGGAAGGTACGTTCAAGGTGAGTCATAGGCGAACTGGAATGTGCAGACAAGAAATGAGTCAAAGAACAGAAACAGGAAGTGAAACAAGCAGGGGCACGATCATGCAACTGTGGAGCTAAGTATAAGTACAATGTGCGACTGCACACCGAGTCATAGATCAGAAAAGGAAACAGGGCAAAGGGGATGCGGTGTGCATCATATCATAGGTTACTGTCCAGATGGTAAGGGTAAAGGGGACTGTCCACAGGATCAGTCATCAGGTGAAACAGAGCATGGGTATGCTTTGTCAGAGAAAGGGTCCGGCCAGATGTATTGGCTCTGCTGAAGCGACAGGTAGAGAGTGAAGGGAAATGCAAGAATGACAAGGATAACAAGAGCAAGGTCAGGGTAAGGGTGTGATGCAAGGGCTGAGATGAGGAGAATAAGGAGAATAATGGTAGGGGCCTAAGCGTCTAGATGTTCTTGTAACAGAGGGAGGTGAGGGTGAGCACAGAATATTTGGGATATTCGATGGTCCTGCGATATCCTCGACCTTACTAAAATTAGCATAATTTGATAGATTCATTATTATGATTCACCTGCTCGGAAATGTCATAGTCTATGTCCATTCCTCCATAGTCTAGTTGTTCTTCGACATCTATCCCTAACTGAATTACCTCAGCATGCTCACTGCATGCTTGTTTGGACTTCTTGCCATGAGTCTTTTCCAACTTGCATTTCTTTTTGCTGCTGCGTTGGACTGAATCTGCCAGTTTCAGCGATTTGTTTCTTGAGCAGCGAGCAGCATGTGCCGAGAGTGATTTTTGAGCTGTGAATGTCTTACTGCACCTGATGCAAACAGGCAAGTCCATTGGGCAAGGTAGTGATAGTGCAGGAGGGGGTGGGCTGCATTTAAAGGCTGACACTTAGTTCAGTCAGACGTGTATGGTTGCAATTAGATCCAATTGCACAAGCTGAATACAGTACATAAAATTCTATAAGTAAGACCATCTACACAAGTGAGTCGTCGTTCAGAGGTTTGGGTAAGAGGAAGAACATACCTAGACAAGCAAGACCCACTTACTCCCAGCCACTTGATCAAAGATACTACCCACATGATAGTCACCTGGGCCAGTGACTTCACCGGTGCAGGAAAAGAGAGACAGTTTTGCTGTGAAGGAGATCAATTGGTGCCAGTGGTGAGTTGAATGACAACTCATGTGTATAAGGACCACAAAATCACTCACCCGGGCCAGCGACTTCGCTGGTGCAGGAAAGGGTAGTGAGCTCGTCCATAATGGAAGGGTTCCATTCATGGAGATGGTCCTGCTGTAGATGTCAAGACGGTCCTGCTCTAGATATCATAGGTTGGTCAGTAAAGACAGAATAGGTTGCAACTCACCTGGTAGTCACATGGTAAGTGCGCAGCAGATGATATCATATGAGTTCAGAACAAGTGATTGAAATGGTTGATATTGATTTCAAACTCTGTCTGAATCGGTAACTTGCAGACATAATGTCCTCGACTATCCCCATTTTATCCACTTTCATATTGATCACTCTAAATATGTCTTCATCGTCATGGACCTCTGTTGTCAATGTCCTTGGTGATGTGATATTCCTAGACATTCAAAATGCGGTTACTTTGGATGGTACCTACTGCTTCAACTTGCACATTGACACTTTTGGCACTAAGGTAATGTTGTCATGTTCAAATTTCTCTTCAAGCTTATTTATGTTTCACAGAAAATCGTTTTTTGCATTCGAGAACAGATCGAGGAAGCTGTGCAGTCCGATGAGTCTGTGAATGATCTGAATCTGCCTCAGTATGTTACTAATGCCTTTGTTTTCAAATTTGAACTAATCTTGGCAGGTCTGTCATTGCTTCCCCATGCAACCTTCTCACCAGGCACATGAGTAACTCTGATCCAGACCTGGCAAACCCGACTGCACCTTGGAGTTACTATGTAACTAGAACAGCCACTGAAGTGCCGGAAGCTTGAATGGTTCACTATGTACTGTACTACATACTGTATTGTTGTTAGATGTTCTTGCTCAGCTGTTACGACTTGGATGGTATCTGTTGGTGATGCTCAAACAGAGCGTGTGTCGTCAACGGTCGAGGATGTCCTTGGGCTAGCCCAAGGTTAGGGGTCTTACTTGGTGAGGCTTCAGCAAGTAAGATTTGACGCCTATGTCCAAATCGGGTAGCTTACATCAAGCGGATGCTAGACAATGAGCTGTATCTGCCAAGGCTTACGACACCCGAAGGTTAATCGTAAGATCGTCGTTAATTAGAAGGACAGAAGTCCGACTAGTTAACAGGGGCTTTGCTCGTCGACGAAGTCGATGAGTAAAGATCGAGACTAAAGACTTATCCGCGAAGAGCAGATAAGAAGATAGAATATAGACTGCTGGCTAGGCAGAAAGGATCACTCTGGTGAGAGTAGGAGGTCAAGAACCAAGTAGATTCAAGTTAAGGAATATGGTACATGGTAGCGAGTTTATATAGAGGACAGGAAGCGTATTAGTGGATGATAACTCGTACTACCAAGAAGAGTAAGTGGTAAAGGGTAAGACCATAAAAGGAAGGTACATTCGAGGTGAGACACAAGTGAACCTGAACGTGCAGATAAGAAAGTGAGTCAAAGATCGAAATAAGAAGTGAAACGCGCAGGGGCACGATCGTGCAACTGTGCGGAACTAAATATACATGTGCATGTGCGACTGCGCACCAAGTCATAGATCAAGAAAGGGAAAAGGGTAAAGGGGATGCGTCGTGCATCGTATCATAGGTTACCGTTCAGATGGTAAGGGTAAAGGGACTGTCCGCAGGATCAGTCAGGTGGTGGGACGGAGCATGGGTGTGCTTCGTCAGCAAAGGGATCCGGCCAGATGTACTGGCTTTGCTGCAATGACAGGTAGAGGGCAAAGGGGAATGCGAGGATGACCAGTATGACGAGAGTAAGGTCGGGGTAAGGGTGTGATGCGAGGGCTGATACAAGGAGGATGAGGAGAAAAATGGTAGGGGCCCAAGCATCAAGATGTTCTTGTAACATCAGCTGTATTTTGTCGCATAAATTTTGCTCAATTGTATTGCACGTTATGTCTGATTATATGTGTGCACATTTGTCTGTTTACCATGCATGACTTTCCTAAATTTATGATATATTTATTTGGTGTTGATCAGATTATACTATTGTTTTAAATTTCCGATATCAATAATTAACATTGGATAACATGTAATCACGACACATCTTTCTTATCTCTCATTTCATCTTCTCCATTTGTTTTGTCATGGCCCGCCACCACAAGAAATCCTCCAGCCTCAGCCTTTCGCAATCTGAGCCGAAGAGTAGCGATGATGGGTCATTGTCCTCCGAAGAGTCGTTTGGGTCATCTTCAGATGAGCCGTCTTTGGGTAAGAATCAATATTTTGCAAAAGGATCGCTGATTGCGATGTGTCTTACATATACCAGGGTCCCATAAGGGGTTGGCTAAGCCTAAAAGGCTCGAGAAAAGGTATATTAAGTAAGTCGTCTTCGATATTTGGTGTATTATTCTACTTACAGTGCATATATCCTTAGAAAAGCTAATGACAGGTAAGTTGATGTTGACACGCATTTTACACGTGTTTTATGCATGATTAAGATGCTAACTACTTTTGACTCACATAGGAAAGGACCAGGATCTATTCGGAGTGGGAGGGAGGAGTGTATGCACGTTGCATGCTGGATCCCTCATGGTATCAACATGTTCATCATTCTGAAGGATACCTTTTGTATTGCCAGGTACATGGAAGCAGAGGAGGCTGCCAAGACCTCAACTGAATCTGAGGAAGAAGATGTCAAGAGAGAGTGAAAAGAAGCTCTCAGTGTTGTGTAAGTACTTTGCTTTGCTGTTGTTGTCCGACTACTAACTAGTAATATATGTACAGGACTAAAGACGCTCAAGAGTGTCAAATGAAGACTTACCAGAGAATCATCTCCTCTGCCCCTTACCTCCGCACTCTCGTTCGAGGACACCATAACAGGAAGAAGCTAGAAGCAGAGTTGAACAGTATTTTGTCAGAGGTACATCTTCTAATGAATATTGACTATCTTACAATACTTACTCCACAACAAGATGCAGGAAATCATTGGCCAAATTCGGTCCAAGGACACAAGTCACCTCAAACCATTTATAGGTAACTACGTGGTTGCCCAACCTGGGATCAAGGGACTGGAACCTCTGATTTTTTTGGAGAACAAGAAGTCCTGTGCTAGAATGGGTGTGAACCACCCGCACCTGGCGGGCATGTTGTGTCCGGTCAAGCACGTGAAAGCATATCACGCTGATCCGAAGAAGTAAGTGCCTTCCCAACTGACATAGCGATTCCTTACTCATGTCTCTCAGGGTACAGGAAAAACTTCAAAATGGTGAAATCAAGATGGTTGCAGGTGCTTGGCCGGCACTTGCAGTACCCTAGTGATCCTCCAGGTATTGATTTTGACATTGAAGACATCCAGGAAGGTCTCCTCAGAGGTCACCTGCTGAAACACGTATGTTTATATTTCTTTTTCTTTTTGCTATTTTGTTTGATGATATATCATATACAGGTACTTTGACACATATACACCAGTCCATCATCTGCTCTTACCAACGATGGAGAGCTGTCTGTCATGCACTCCGGCAATGAAAAATTGCATGGCATGTATAAGGTCGAGGCCAAGCACATTGCCTATGTCGGAAATTTTTTACCGGCATCATAATGGTCACATGTTACAATAAGGCTCAAAATTATTTTGACCTTCATTATGACCTTCATTACAATGCCTTAAGCGGAGTTTGAATATCATGCCAATGTGATTCTGATTGGAATTACTGATATGACTTATGCCTAGGTGAGGCGACACATGCTGCATCAACGGTTCTGACTCTGTCCGCCTCTTCTTCGATTCTGACACTGTATAGCTCTTTTCCAGTCTCGTTTATATTCTCTATTCTCAACTGAGCCCTTGACCGTCTTCCCACTTTGCTTTAGATCTATCATCTTATCATTCTCTCGCATACCATCAATAACAACGCCTTTTCCTTTCGTCAGTTCACTCCCATTGTCTATCCAAAGTCTACAGTCAGTCCAAATGTCTTCTCATCCAAAACTCATTGTTCTTCTGCTCACAATTCTTCCAAGCATTTGCAATTTGTTTAAATGAAACATATTATTTCCTCAACAATTGTCTGTATTCCTGATGGACTTTGACACTTGGTCCTTGGTACACACTCTGTTACTTGCAGCCTTACATCATAATAATATATCATTACCATTAGCTCACTCATTGCTCGTTTGCTACTTGCATCAATGCCTAAGTCAAAACAACAAGCATCAGACCTTGTGACGTGTGATCAATGTGGAGTGAGTGTCCGTGCGCGTGGGTTAGGATCTCATTCGAGGTCTTGCACGAAGAAGGCACAGGAATGGCAGGAAGATGAGGAGTTCGTTAGCATACTTCAGAAAGCCAAAAAGAAAGGTGAGCGCTCAAATCAGTTGTCTTCCAATGATGTGCTTGATAGATAGTTGATAAATTGTTTTACAGAACTTTGAAGGCAGCATCACAAAATTCGCAAAAATTTACAACATTTGGAGGATGTGCAATCATCTGCAGGTGAGTATTCATATTCTAATGATGGTACTATGGTTTAGAATTTTCTTCTCGCAACACAGTGAATGCCACTGCGATATGAGCAGCAAATTCAGACATTGGTATGTTTCATTCAATTTGATCAATATTATACTGAGACTAACTGTGTCAGTTATGCAAGGGTCTTCACCTCGCCAATACCCACTGGCGGACCCATTACCTGACTTCCACCAAACTGATCCTGGTCCCAATGAACCTGATCCTGATCCCAATGAGTTCAATCCTGGTCTCAATGAGCCTGCATACGAGCTTGACGATATCAAAATCAAGTATCATCCCCACAGCCAAATTCCTTCTACCGTGCATAGCTTCTCTGAGTTCTCCCACAGCTGCCCAACAGAAGATTATGTGCCTCATAATGACTCGCCATGGGAGCCATTCCACACACAGCTTGATTTCAAAGTAGCAGAGATTGCACTTGAAGCTGCGATGACAAAGGATCAGACCAATCGCCTTCTCAATCTCATACATCGATCTGCTAGTGGCAATGATACGTTCACACTGCAAAATCATGACGAAGTTCACTCCCTATGGGACCTTGCTTCACAATGTTATACCAGAATAAGTGTTGTCTCATGTAACTACTACTACATCACAATAAGCTGATCATTAGTGCATAGTTTCAGAATGATACAGTATCTGTTCCCCTCGGAGATAAAGTGCACAAATTTGACATGCACTACCACCCTCTCTGGGATTGGGTCCTTGACTTATTGCGAGACAAACATCTCACACCTCATTTCATATTTAATGCTCAATGTCTCTCGAAATTCAACAGAGAAAGGTTTGTATGTTTTATTGATGAACCATGGACTGCCAATGCATTTTGGACTGCACAAGTATGTTTCGACATTTGATTTATTGTTTATTTCTTCAAATTCATAGTATGCTATGAAACTGTTGTAATTGTAGTCACAGCTTCCACCAGATGCAAAACTGCTGGCATTCATCCTCTATGTGGACAAGAGTAAACTATCATCATTTGGGAACCAAAAAGGTTATCCAATCATTGCACGCATCGCTAACCTACCAGTTCATATTCATAACAGTAATACCGTGCTAGGAGGTGGTCGTGTTGTTGGTTGGTTGCCCATTGTTGGTGTATCAGCAAGCTTGTTCAGTTCATAGTAATGCTGACTGTCATCATACTAATTCAGATTGCTGAGGATCAAGAACACGCGAAAAAGAAGAAATATGTAGACTTTAAAAATGCTGTCTGGCATACCTCCTTCTACCAGCTTCTTACCTCGGTTGCGAAGCACTCACATACAGGCTATTGGTTTGAATGTGGAGATGGAATCCAACATTATCTCTGGCCCCTTATTTTGATCTTAAGTGCTGATTATGAAGAACAGTACATCACAGTACTACACAAGTTTGCTATTGCAAGCTGCTCATGTACAAATTATAGATGTGTCATGGCGTTGATCCATGGGCTTAAGGGAAAATTTCCATGCCAGTTTGTTTGGTTCTGCAAGATGAGCAGTCCATTCTCCATGACCATGAGCTATGCACAAGCCATCAATCTGAAGACATACTCCGGACTGCGAGATTGAAGGCTTTCTCACTTCGAAACATTGAGGTGTGCATTTCCCTCCCATTTTATTGTTTCTGCTCTGATATCCAAGCTTGCTGATGTAATTCAAGAATATCTTCTCAAGAATTCTTCATGTCAATGTTCATCGTGCACTTTCTTTTGACCACCTGCATACAAACAAGGAAGGTTTATGGGGTGACCATCTGTGGAAGGAAGTAAAGTTTTGGATTATGGACCTCAGGCGTGAAGCTGCTGTCAAACTCAATAAAAAGTATGTATTGTGGTCATAATACATTGACACTACTTCTGACTCAGTGTCTTAGCTTCGACGAACTTCCATGATGGCCTAATTTAACACACTTTTCATCTGTCATTGCAGTCGATTTCACTGATGGTTCTGTTCTCGGCAATCTGTCCAAGGTTTGTCTGCACATCATAAATGATTTTAGGTACTAACACAAACTTAGATGATTGTCTTTGCGGCACATGATATCCTTACTTCATCCCACTGTAAACTGGGACATTTACTTCTTCGCTGTATTTGCTACTACATCGGGTTCAATATTTATGTCTCATTAGAAGTACATACAGAGGATACAATCACAGCTGGAAGGTTGGCACTGAGAAAATTCTCAGAAATGATGGATGTAAGTTGTTCCGATGTTTTCGACAACAATGGTTTGATTTTTCACTAGGAATATATTGTGCAATTGCAGCCCAAAACCTCCAAAAATTGGAACTTTCCGAAGAAACATCTGATCTCGCATGCATTCAATGATATTTTAGCAAAAGGCGTGACACGTAACTACAGTACCAAGCCAAACGAAAAAAAGCATGGCACTTTGCAAAAGATTTATCTTCAATGCACAAACTTCAAAAATGTTGCTTCTCAGGTTCGTTGCTTATAACTATATTGTTATGCAGACCAATAGTTTTAATTGTTACAGATTTTACACTGATGAATGGCTTCTAACTTCGACATCCATGCGCACTAAACTTGACGAACTCGACAAGCACAATCAACGAGACATGTGTGACCCTGAGACCAATGAAGCCCTGGATGATGCTGGAACACCCAACAGTACTATTCATGCACATCTAGGTTTGAGGCAGGGCAATCACTCTTTTTCTGACATCATGCACTTGCACAGAGCCAATAGGACCTTCACTGACTTTTGGATGAAGCTAAACAGCTTCCTAAATGGCTTTCTGCCACAGAATAATATTCCATTACCAGATGAAAGGTGCATTCACCTGCAAGCAGAGGACACGGTATGTTTATTTTACATTCAATTGATAATGCTGATGCATTTCTGTCAGATAACAGAGTTTAGGTTCTTGCGGATCAATTATGAATTGCTAGTTGACTGGTGCATGCACCGAGACTTACTCCAATGTAATCCAAAGTTCTACAGATCGCCAAGGTACAACTGCATCATTGTGAACACTTCAAACACACCATTTTTCGCTTGCCTTGTCTACATGTTCAGTTGTTCGATTGGCGGCACTGAATTCCCTCTCACACTTATTCACCCTTATGACATCGGTATTGCCAATAGTTGTTGGAGGCGGGATAATCTTATGGGATTGTGGCATGTGCGAGCCAAACCTCGCTCATCTTCTGAAATTATTTCTGTTCGGTCAATCATTCAGGGAGCTGCTCTCATCAGAAATCCTGAAACAGATGGGGATTACTTTGTCATCCACACTGTGGACACTGACATGTTCTTTCAAATCATGGCACTCCAGGCTAGTGCTCAACCATTGTGAGGCAAGCCATTATCAGTATTATTGGTATGTTTTTGTCTCCTCATCTTTTGCTTGCAACTTTTATTGATATGCTAGTCCTTCGCAGATCAATAACATGTACTAGTGGTAGTATTACATATATTTCCCATGCCCTACCAGATGTGCCCATTTGCACATTCTACACAGTTCTGAATGACATCCAGGACCTAGGTTTGAACCCAAACCTTTGTGGACTGGACCCATGGATCAGTCACACGTCCAGAATTTCTCTTGGACTGAAACCCTTGGTAGGTTCGAGGTTCCGTGTGTTGTCGATAAATCTGGACCAGTTCGAACTCATCATGTCACTGGCCTTCAGATAAATGTGCCGTGAATGGCCCGTGATGAAGGAAAGTATTCTCTAACTCAAATAACGATTCAGCATGACTATTCAGCTTGATCAGATAAGTATTCCCATGCACAGCAAAATGGCAAGCCCTTGTCAAACATTCACTGTTATACAGACATAAGTGACCTTTCTTTATCTGAATTGTAAAACTCAATCTGTCCGCATGTTAGTGTGTAGACTTGCAACGTGTACAATCACACACTGACCTGCATCGTGCTGTGATGCTGATTATGTATGTCTTCATTGGGTGTAATTTACCATTCAATTTGACTTTTTTGATCACAGCCTCGTGGCCTCAATGAGCTAATCAGCAAACCTGGGCCATGTGTATGATTACCTTGAGGTCACTCCGACACCACCTGACTTCAAGATTGTATAAAATAGCATTAACTGCAAGACGGATTTGACTCGACACCCTGCAACCCACCCTCTCGGGTTCCAGCTCGTTGAACACACAGCTCCTCCCATTGCACAATAAATGTCTGACTCTGGCTTAAATTCAATATCCTCGAGTTCTGATTCAGGCTCAGGCTCGGCGGATGAAGGTGTCCAACAGCCTGTGGCTCCACCGGGTGGTAATGCTTCTATTGATCACTACAAAGAGGTATGCTCTTGCATTCATTGAGATCGTATATACTAAATTCTAACATACACCTTGATGCATTAGTATATTAAATACCTCCAGCTTCAACAAGAGTGGCTCCAGAAGCAGAATATGTCTCTGAATGAGAGCAACAATGTTCTTGCTGCGCAACAGCTGAAATGTTCTCGCAAACACCCTCAAATTTCATCATCCAGGGTACCATCTGTATCACAAGGATCTGTAGCACTGTCTATGTCTTCTGCATCCTCCATCATAGCTTCTGACTCATCGAATATGGGTGACATTGACTGGGACAAGCTTATTTTAAGCTTGGCCAAAAAGTATGCACTCACTACCGAGATGTTTCTCCCTGACAAGGTCATTTTTCAAACAGACTGTCCTGATTCTCTGGTCGATTTCTCAGATCCAAATTGTTATGCAAAGAGGTCTACAGAAAAGGACACACTTGTCACTGAACTCTATGCATCCATCAACCATGTGTTGCATGCTCGGATGCGAACAAATCTGTTCTTCAACCAGGTGTGTAATTTTTCCTACCTCAGGTCATCAATACTAAGTATCCTTATAAATTCAACCAAAATTTCATTTAGTTTGGGAGTGGAATGCAGCAAGCTCGCTCTTCATTCCTAAACAGTCTGCGTACCATTGCAGGTGGCATCTTCAACATGCCTAACAAGTTTTTTGTTTCCAAATATGACCGTACTTCCCTCCGGCAGGTCACGGACTTGATTGGATGGGAAGCAGGCAAGGGAAAGATTTATGATATCTTCAAGGCGCCAATACTTTACCCCAACCATGTCGTGAACGAGAAGAAAATTTTCAAAAATTGGATCGTCATCGCAAAGGTAGTCTACTCATTAATAACTGACCCAGCTACTCATATGTTGTTTTGAAGGTTATCAAGGTCGCAATATGTGGAAAGGCATCATTGTATTCCAAAGTGCATGGTGGACCACCTTCCTATGCCAAGATATGGAAGCTTACAAGCTGCACTCCTGACCTGATTGCATTTGGTGTCACATCAGTAGGATTTCAGTACTCTAAATTTATACTGAGCTGATACTCATCACACCCTGTAGATCATATTTGTCCTATCTCCGGACCAGGAATTTTCGGGTGTTGGAGTTGGTGCTATTTCCTCATTCATCGTTAAGTGGACCCACCAGCGCATCAAATCTATTGTCGATGAAATCAATGGATATGTCTTCGGTAGTACCGTAAAGATGCAGCCATCCGATGACACTCAATGTACAGTGGAGCGCATTACTGAATCACTCAATCACATTATGGCTGCGCTAGACGCTAGTGATTCAGACTCAACCGATGACTCGGAATCATTGGAATATGCTAACTTGCAAGAGCAGGCTACTAATAAAGATGTACACCTTACCACTGCAGCTGCAGCTGCAACCTCGCAACCTATTATGTTCACCGTCGACACTCCTCAACTCGAAGTTGCAGCCCTGGGGCCTGCTATCATTCCACAGTCTTCTATCTCAACTCCACCTATCCAGACACCCATGACACCGCATGCAGAGACTTCGGCCAAGCCCCAGGATCAGAGTGATGATGCATTGCCGCCAACACCAGGCTTATTGGTGTTACCAAACCTCAGGCAAAGGCATCCAGGGGCAAGAAGAGCACTAAGTCATCAGCCAATGATTTCACAACTATTCACCACTCCTCACATCACACAACAACATGATAGAGTCCCCTACTTTGTAGTTGCATTCCTAGTCTTACTATCAAGATCTGATCTCACAATTCCTACACTGGCAGACACGAGATTTTAGCTCCATCGTAATCTGAGAATGTTTAGGTGTTCTTCAAATACATACATATACTCACAGAGATGTGGCAGGTGTGTGTGAAAGGTCGAGTTCAAGTCTCATTGTATCACGACAAGTTTGTGGATTCAGGTGTGCCAATAACCTTTCAGCAAGTTCCTAATACTATTATTATTATAATATAGCAATATATTTGAGCTTATTATTATAGCTGCGCTAATAAATTTAACTCTTGTTCCTGTCATTCAACAACAACACCCATTAATATGTTCCCATTTTGCAAGAACAAGGCCACTGCCACAGCTGCTAAGGACGGAAATGATCACCCAGGAGGTACAATGTGTTCAGGCTGCTCAACGAACTTCTTCACATCTTGTCTCAAAGACTGAGACAAGACTAGTACTACGCCTTTTCACATACCACCCATGTGTGATACCCCTTTGCACCTTTTTTTTTTCTTTCCAATACCCCATCGTATCTCTCATGTCCCAGCTCGCCCCCCCCTGTGCACCAATAAAATCATGGCCTTAAAGGTGACGAATAACAATATTGAGTATGAAGAGCTTGGGCTGCTGCCCACAGATATCCCACCTGTCCCTTCCTTTCATGGCATTCCATTGAAATACATATCGTGAGTGTCACATCTTTCTCTTGTGACATCTAGACCTGTCATGATCCTACCAAGTTTTTCTCTCTAGAACAGTGGGCAACCTTACTGACAACTCATGTCTACAGGCTCGTGACATTGGCGGTTCAGAACTCTCTTTTAACATTAATAATGCATTACTCTTGCGTGTCCATCTCTCCATCCCAGTCTTACTCTGCACCAACTGCTGTTCTTCTCAATGAGCTTCTTCAAGGGTTTATATCACTCGCCATCGCTTTCACCCGTATAAACCATGTCACACCTTACATGTCTGACACCCCACAGCTACCACTCACTGTCAGCCGCTTCTGGCATCCTGCAAAGGTTCTTTTGCATGTCCGAAGACTTGGCAGAGAAGTCTTTTCACCAGATTGCTGGAAGTTGTCAATACCCGCCATCCTGTATGGTATGTATTCCGTGCTGCACATCTGTTGCTCTCATTAATCTCGCTTCATGGATTTCAGTCATTCAAAATAATCTGCAGTATGTTGCTGCCACCAATCTGGCTGTTCTGGATGTCGATGTGGCACCTGAAGCTGACCCCGATGGTGACAAGTGGGACGATCTCGGTGTTGAGGATTTCGATGATCCATTGATGGTCAGTGAATATGTTGTCGAGATCTTCAAGTACATGAAGCAGGCCGAGGTGTGAGTTTCCATATATTTTTATCATTCTGTTGTAATTAATGAACCGCCTTCAGCTTATAACACTTCCTAATCCGAAATACATAGAAACTGCTACACCATCCATCTCACACTTCCTTCACTGCACAGACTCATCCTACACTGAATCCGATATGAAGGTATGTCTTGATGAGCTACACCTGCACAGTAAGTAAATATCCCTTCACTACCACTCACCCAGCACAACTGACAGTTAGCAGCAGCAAACAAGAAGGATGGGGGAGAGGGTCATTTTCACCAATATCATAATGTAGATTAGTATTTGTATTGGCATCTCGCAATAACAATTGATATGCAACACATGCTCATCACCACCTCATCAGGATGACATTAAGACTTGGTTGATATGCGTATTAAAACTCAGTGAGTACCATCAAAATGGGCATTAATACTTGGTAGATACCATTAAAATGGGCATTGATACTTGGTGGGTACATTAAAATGCCTATTATGTCATCATGTTGATGTGCATTTAAATGGGTCAAAACGCTGACTGTTTGATCATAATGTATTATAATAGGTCTGTGTCGTTAGGCCATTTTAATGGATTAAAATGCCATAAAAAAAAAGTTCCGACATATGCACTTGTGCAGGTACGTTTTTGGGTATGAAATTCATCAATTTCTCATTTTTATTCTAGAGTCACTTTGGAATCTCGTCGCATGACAAATGGCAAAAGATAGATGGGAACTATAACTACCGTGATGCATACTACCGCACAATCAAAGAAATCCGAGAGCCGTTTGATGATGTGTGGGCCAAGGAACTTCTGGAATGGTGGAACAGGTGAGTACAAATTTTTCTATGTGCTTACGATACTAATTATGCTAAGTGTGGTCTTTGGCAATAAACAGGGTGTCCCATCATTTGACATCAGCGATGATGACAAGGACAAGGACAACCTCGTTCTCATGAAGAAGCAATCTGCAAAGTGTGCAGTGGCAGCATGAGCCAAGGTTTTTTTCTTGTCTATCCTATGATATTTACAACTAATACAGCCTTATTTTCAGTCTGCCAACTCTGTCCTTCCCCCAGTTGAGGCCGAGCCTACTGGCAATCCCGACATTTCAACAATGCAGCCTTCCACGCCCACTACTTCCAAGTCCACACCTGCTGGTTCCACACCCGCCACCTCCACACCCACTACATACATGCCCACTACCTCCACACCTGCTACCTCCCCGCCAACTACTTCTCCACCTCCTGAGATAACTACTCTCTCTCCACAACAGAAATCCATCCCTAAACTGTGTCCTATTCAATCAGCTGGCATGAGCTCCTCTTCTGCACCTTCTCTGGTGTCTGCCCCCCCCTCCGAAGCCTGATACTCCTGCTCCTGCACCTGGCAAGAAACGAAAGTCAGAGGAGTTGGAGGTTGACAGTGACGGTGAAAGCACACTCAGCAAAGCCAAGTCTGTGCCTGAAGGCCCAGTGGTTCCACAGCATGGCAGGAAGGGCCGAAAGAAGACTACTGCCGCCGCTACTAGGAAACACAAAGGAGGAAAATGATTCATGTTCTCTGGTATGTACTCACTCTTCTTCTAGATATTTTTCTGATAGCACATTGCAGTCTGGCTTATTCATTTACATGCTCACGTCTCCCATCACTCACCGGTTGCTCTCACTGTATTCACTCTCACATTCGCATATTCCCTCTTGCCATGATCTCCTCGTTTGCAGTTCATTTTCTCCCATGCTTGCACAACAAGTCCCTAGTTCACTCACATTTACAGTAGCTCAGTGTATATAATCAATGACATGTACTATAAGAATGACATGTGCTTATAATACTGTTCCACTGCGATAAGCTATTATAAGGTGTTTGGAATTGCTTGGGCCTGCTAAGCAATCATCACATGTCCATTATGATGCATGACCCATCAGCTGATGGTCAAATGAGTAAAATTCAGTTTCATGATCCGACTGTCTAGGATGACCCGAGGCTGGTCTGAGCTGATAGGCCATGGTGACTGTGGTGAGGCTGATACCAGATGATAAGACCTGTAGTGCTGCCATGGTCTGGTTCGGTCCAGTTCTGCGAAATCGTCGAACCCAGAACCAGACCATTGAGAACGGTTCTCAATGGTCTGGTTTGGTTTTTTTGCGATCTGAACTCAAACCGAACCGAAATTTTTTCTGTAGGGACAGCAAAAAAAAATTGACGAAATACTAGTCTACACATTGAGTAACTACTCTAATAACATTTGTGCATACTCCTCTGCCTCTGTAGCTGCTGAAAGATGTCCATTATGGTAAGCAGCCTTCATGAAAATGATCAGGCCATGTGAACTCGCTCCCAGGGGACTGGGTTGGGGAGCAGCTGCCGAAAACTGTGAATAAAGGGCAAGTCTGTTTTGCGGTGTTGGCAACAGTTGTGGTAGGGGAAGGTGCAGCAGTAGGCTTTGGGATCGTGCTCGCAGGCTTCTTGCCAAAGTCAAACTTCAGCGGTGCAGGTGTGGATGGGGCAGAAGTTGGAGCAGCGTTGCTCAAAGTGGTACTAAATATTGATGGTGGGTTAGCTTGTGTTGATGTAGATGTTGGCGTCGAGGAAGGTAGTACACTGGGTTGGTTTCCGTGCTTGATGCTGCTGATGCAGAGAAGGGATTGGTGGACATGGAAGTAGGGCAGCAAACAGCAGCTGTGCAGGCATGGGACCAAAAGAAAACAAAGGAGCTGCAGGTGCAGGCGTCAATGGTGCAATTGGCTTAGCAAAAAAGTCCAGTATGGAGGGTGTAGATGACGTGGTAGGTGCGGTGGTGGTGGTTATTTGTGGAGTAGATGAGGTAGGGAATAGGCTGGGTTTATTGGCAACAGGAGCTGAGGGTACCTGAAGTGTAAGGTTAGTATCAAGTCAAAAACTTCAAAACAATTTGAATGAGACAGTCGATAGGAAGACAGCTTTTGCCAGTGACAAAAAGGATGCATGCACATAATTATAGAGCCTGACTCAAATGAGATTTTTTTTAAAAAAAAATTAAATTCAGATGCACATACCTGTAATTTGTGGGTGGACAACAGCAAGATGGAGCTGAGTGATGGTTCAGTCCGGATGATTGGTGGGACGCAAATCAAAGGTGCCTTGAAAAAGAGAGATAGAAAGTCATGTGAGAAATTGATTGATTAGTACTTACCTTGAAAAGGCTGAAGGTAGCCTGATTAACCAATAGTGCAAATCCCGAAGACAGCAGTTTGATGTGGAGACCGACTTTGTCGCAGTCGCAGTCGAAGTTGAAGTCGATAATGGTTCAGAATGGTTCGGCAAGGCCGAACCAGAACGGGACCGTTCTGGAAGACCTAGAACCGAGAACCGTTTTCCGGTCCAGTTCTGGCTGATGTGAGAACCATGGACCGAACTGCAGAGAACCGGACCAAAAGTCCAGTTCGAACCATGGTTCTGGACTGGACCACGGCAGCACTAAAGACCTGATCACGTCTTACCTAAGTTTAGGACTTTTGGTGATGGTGTCATCCATTAGTCTCGTGACCAGCCTGGAAATGTAGAAGATACTTATGTAATCGAGAGAGTTTTGCCCTGAGCCTGGTTGAATAAGTTGAAAAGGTCACTGAAACCAACCCTCCGGCTAAAACCTGTCTGGCGCAAAGTACGGTGCTACGGCGGATATATCCGCAGTCCGGCGGCAAGAAACGGCCAGGTAGCGGACTTTCAAAACACCCTATGTACGTCTAATAGTACGTGTTAATCTTATCACTCCTTATTATTTTTGTATGGACCTCGTATGAGTCTCAGCTACCGCTCCCCAATAGTTACTGTCCAGAGCCCCAGTGGGTGTGGGCTACCTCTACCAGTAAAGTTCAAGCAGGGCGGTATCAAAGGAGAGGGTGGGTTGCTAGTAATCACTCATGGCTAGCTACTAGGGCTTTGGATATGGTGGGCAGTGTGATCGAAGCAACATGGTATTGTCATGTAAATAGTTGATAAAGAATAGATTGTTAGTTAGGAAGCATTGAAGTGAGCTCGAGGTACTATCGTTGGGCCAGAGTTGCAAAATCTGACGACCACATTTTCATATCTCGTTGTTTGCTACACATTAAGACAAAATAATTATACGGACCTGTAGCTATGTGTGTCACGGGAGAGCTCCAGCTGACAGAAGAACGAAAAGTGTTCAAACGATGCTGCCAGAGGGATGCCGATGCAAAATGTTAGAAACAGTAGAGAGTTGCAAAATTTCTCATGGGCAAGTTGGCACAGGTGTCACACTGTGTCACAGTGTCGGTTTTGCAAAACTGAACTCCGCCACGGCAAACAGTGCAATGAAAGGTGCAAGTCTCGAATTTAGAGTAAAAACATTGATTGCGGTGCGGGGAATCATTCTACAGGAGGAATATTAGTGTACAGTATGTAAAATATATGGTAAAGAATATTTATGGGTGACTATAGTACGAGTAAGATGCTTGTGGATAAAGTGGTGGTGGTATTGTACTGGAAGATGGGTAGTTGCTCGTATTAAATTGCATTGGCGGGTATAACCTATTATGTGACGCAAAAGATGCAGACTCGATTGAGGGGGGAAACGATGGATCGATGCGTTGACGGTTTGTTGGTGGAGGAATGTTTTCCTCGTTCTCCGTGATATTGGCAACTTGGAGTGGCCGCTTCTGTCCGCGTGAACGGCCGTTAAAGAGACCCTCGAATCGCGCATCATTTTTGAGATTGGTGTGAGAATCAAAGTACTCTCTGATAGCCTTCAACAACTCAGCCTTGGTGCCTGTTGTCTCGATCGTCAGCTGATTCGCGATGTCAATAAGATCTTCCTTGCTCTTCGCAGAAAGAGCACCGGTGAAATGGATGTCTGATCCCTGCATAGCCTGTTCGAGCCAGCCTACTCGCCTGCCTCGATGCTTTCCTGCGCCGCCGCTTCTGCTTTCTTCTGAGCCTTGGCCTCCCTCGCCACATCCTGTTCCTCACACTGCCGCAGTCCCTCCGCAGACGTCAACCATCAGTGCGTTGATATTCCTCGCCCGTGTCTTTTTTTGGCGCTTATTGAGTTGTTTCTTCATCAAGCCCACCTCGCTCAGCGCCATTGCACAGTGAGCTTTGGCAGAATGCAGCTCGGACTCCAAGGATTTGACTTTTGCCTCCAGCGCGGCAAGCTGGGCCTGCATTGATGGTTGGTCGGACGAGTCGGAAGGTGGTGAAGTGCAAGTTTGGACATGTGAGTGTTGATCTTCATCGTCCTTATCCTCGTCTGTTTCTGACTCTTCACTCTCTTCGCTCGACTCCGAACTGCTGTCAGAGGTTTCTGACTCGCTCTCGCTGCCCGACCTATCACTATCGGATTCCGATTCATCCACCGCATCAATGTCGCCGGCCTCGACTGTGTCGTCACGAGGTAAGATATCTTGATATAGATGAAGCTGGCTAGGTTGGATGGGGAATGAGGGTGGGACATGGGCTTCTGTTGATGTGACCATACTTGGGGTGAAGTCCTTGTCAGTAAAGATGTGGGGATTGAGTGGACGTATGCCGCTGTTCTTCCATGCCTTTGTAATTGTTTCTTCTGTAAATGCCTGGGCCCGAGCTGCCATATATTGATTGATGAAGTCCTGTCTGGGAATTTCATCACCGGTTTCATCAAACACATCCTCACAGCGCTTGTACCACGCTCGCTGGAGAGGGCCAAAAACTCCAACATCGAGGGGTTGTAGCTCATGCGTTGTATGAGGTGGTAGACAAAACAACTCGATATTATGTCGCACAGCCAGCTCGTGCATTTCTTTTGTGATGTGGGAACCGTGACCATCGTAGATAAGAAGTATTGGCTTCCCGGAGTTATTTCTTGCCGTCGCCTGAGGAATGAACGAGTCTTCAAACCATTTCGTACAGATAAAGTCATCCGTCCACCCATTTGGTGATGTTGCAACACTGAGATAAAATTCAGACTTTTTTCGAAGTGGTGAAACATAGACATACCAAATGTTTGGATGTGCCTGGAACCAATTTTTGTGATATGACTTTCCGGAAAACACAAACCCTGGAGCGATGCTCGCACCATCCGCAGATATACATTCAATGGCTGTGACGAGCTCAAGGTTTGCACTTCGAGCTTTGTACTTCGGATATCTACCCCGAGGCACAAAATACTTCTCTGGAGAAGTCTTCTGGCCACCCCCTCTTTGACACCCTTTCTTGTCCATATTGTAGACATTTTCCCAAGGAATCTCCTTCTCCTCAATGACTTTCTTAAGAAGCTCAAAATGATGCTTGACATTGGTGCGGTTGAAACTCTGGCAACGATTTGGATCCAATGCGGACGGCTTTCCCAGAGTGATGTCAGGATGCCGGGCGAGAAAGCCCCTGATCCACTTTTCATGTGGCTTTTTTCCGGAAAGCACTGCAGCTTTGATCCAGATTGTCCATTTGCTGAGGGGATGCCCCATGGAGCTAAGGTGCTTGATCCAGTCGACAAGCACAGATTCCGATGCAGGGGACAAGAGCTGTTGGTGTCCATGAGCTTTGTAGCAGGGCTGAGTGAGACCAAGATAGCGCCGTCGAAGTGTGTGATATGAAACATTATGCTCCTTGGCAGCAGTACGAATATTTGGAGAAGGAGAAGCAAGAAGAATAGCACAGACATCCTGAATTTTTTTCTCTCGCTCTTCATTGAGTTTCTGAGCTTTTGTTCTGAAGACATGAGCACGGCGCGCTGGCATGCAACAGCACTATTGAGTACCCGAGCAGTCTCAAGTCGTCATTGAAAGTTTTGCAGCCATACACTGCCGCACTCAAAATTGGTTCTCCGCTCCAAGCCGTCACGCTTGATCATTCTCTGACATTGATGCTTGCATTGTCGATAATAACAGCAACTGTGCTTCGTTCTCACTGGAAAAATGCTCAGAAGGTGGGGGTAGGCATAAAGTGTGTGCGGGGAAAAAAAATCATTTTTCGGTTGTGATTTTTGCTTTCGCCTGACTATTCTACGTGAAAAAAGGTAACTTCGAATGATAGATTTGAAGCTGTATGTGTTCCTCATCTTTATTTTTATAAAACAAAAATACTGTACTATGAATATATGTTAGAAGGTCCTATATCCAAGAGTGGGGGACTTAAGATGTGATGTTGTGTGTGCTACGAGGCATTTTGCAACTCTCTACTGTTTTGCAACTCCGGCCCAATGATAGTATCGGGTATTGGTGCTGCAGTTGAATGTCGAGGGTGTTTTTAATGTCCGACGTGCCGTCTGTTAGCTACCAGCTTTGCCGCCGTTCTTGCCGCAGTGCGCCCCGGACTTTTATGCGCCGGAGGGGTGGTTTCAGGGATGTTCTCAATAAGTTCGAAGACTATCATTATCATGTTTTGGTACGGCGCCAGACTAAGGAGGATACGGAGACTCTCACGTCGCGTGGTGATGGTCATATTCACCTGTGCTGCTGTGATCTGGCTCTGGTCAACTTCAGCACCAGCCTTGAGACCCAAGAGCGCCGCCTGGACTGTGGCAGCAGAGGTACTGGATATCCTTGATGCTGCTGTAGATGTCTGTGTACGCTTTGCTATGGATCCTTCCGTGCAAGCTGAAGAGAGCTTTCCTGCTCGCCTCCTCGAACGAGATGCAGCTACTCAACGACTCTTACAATGTTTCTCTAGCCCTTCTCAATTTGGTTCACGCACTTTGTCACAGAGCGCTATTGACATGGCTTGTGGATCGCATGCCCTGCCATTGATAGTGCCCCCTTCAGATGACACTCATATCCACACCTTTTCTGGCTCTCGCATCAAGCCTATCTCGTGCTTGTGCTCTTCTCTCGCAGGAAAAAGACTGACGATGGTAGGCGGCGATCATGTATACCGCTTCCACAACCTCCTTCTCGATCTTCAGAGGAGATCCGAAGGGAAACGCTTTCCATGCCTCGGGGAGGAGTTCTGTACCCATCATCATCTATGCTCACGGGCCGCCCGGAATAATCCCATCCTTAAAGAGGAGTCTATGCGCTATATCCGTTCTCCATCCATCGAAGACCTCGTGCAAACTGGTTCATCATTAGTCAATTACATTTTATCGGATACTCTTCTCGCCTTGCCCGACCCAGAGGCGCCAGAGTATTCTGTACCATATATTCATGCCTTCAGTGGTGTAAGGTCTCGCGAAACGTATTGGCTAGCTTCAGCAAGGAAAACAGACGTCCTTATACTGGGAAGGGGACCGTTTAGCGCACCACCATCGACGTACTCAGGGAACTGGTCATTTCTTTCAGATTTTCCATCTTACACGCGGAGTCATCATGCTAATATCCCTTCAATACCGAAATCCCTCCAGATCGTGGACGCTGCAGTATATGCTACTCTTTCGGTGTTTCTCCCTGAGATTCAGCACACGTTAGAAGCCCTCCGCGCCAACGGATGCTTCAACAGAAAAAAGAAAGTTATTTGGTTGGTCAGCCAACCGCGATTTCCTGGAAAGGGCCGCGGTCAGACAAACGCTCTCTTTCGCACATATTCATTTCCCAGTGAACAGGGTGACCCATCCTTGGACGACCCGAAAGCAGTTCTTCTTCGCCACCTTGCGTCACTATCGACTGATGAGCGCCTAAAAGATCCCTGGACACTGTACTACAATGCTCAAGGTATGTCGCTTAATCGACTGAAGGTGGTATTGTCCGAGTCATCGAACTCATCTCTCGCAATTGACATGTATACAGTCTACTTGCAAGACCGTCTTCTTCGTCAAGTTCTGCCACGCTTCGGAATTCTCTTCTTGCAGTTAGGGACACGTTTTGTCGAAGATGGTCCTGGTATTGCCGGACCTCAGCTAAAATGTCAGAGTGCACACACATAACGGGTGGCACGGCTACCTTTTTCAGGATCACGAAAGGCGACAAGAAGTGTAGTATATTTCTGAGTCCTCCCGTGTGTTGCAAACCTTCTGAATATTCATGGAATTTTTTCTTCTTGCATTCGCTCTTTCTATGACGAGGATTTGGAAACAACAGAGCTGTCAGCTAATGAACATGGCGGCGAGCTACATAAAAGAATCCATTTATCTCGAACCATGAGGTTAAGCCGTACTGGGTTCTTAGCTGACTTGAGGAAGCGATGGAATTTTGGTCAGTGACCGATACTCATGTATCAAGCAGTCTAAAGTGACAATAAAATGAATAAATGTATTCAGCAAAGTAGAGTACTGCACGAATCATCTTCGTTGAATCATCAAAGGATGAAAACATGAATTAGCTCGCGAAACATTATGCGGCAGAATACTCCAAGACGCATGATTCGGCAAGGTCCCAGACTTTCTCTAGTTTCAGGCCGGCGGCAGTGCTATTCCGAACTAATTAGATGAAACAAAGGCAGCAATCGAGCGTTACTCACGCGAGTGCGAGGGAATCTTGCAATGTTCGCTCCCTTGCGTTGTGTGCGAATAACATAGTCATGTCTTGCTGGTATGAACGCATACTTCCAACACCAAAGTTTGCAAGAAGAGGTTCAGGGGCCTAGGTGCGGAGATGAACAAAGATAAACATAGAGCAGCAGATATGACATGCCGAAACAGTTCCGAGCTCTGAAGCTTCTATTACTGCCTGCTTCCGGCTGAGCTGGAGGAGCACATAGTCATCTAAAATTTGTCAGTTTTCGACGATAAGTATACTTTGTTTAACATACGGATGAGGACCCGACTGTTTGGACCGAGCGCCTTACGAACGTTTGATAGAATGAGCGCAGATTCATTGTCAGGCCAGTCGTGGATAATATTCCTGAGCTGCGCTCACTGTTAACTTCGCAGCTTGTCGCCTACAGAGCTTAGCACCTACATAGTAGACATCTTTACCCTTGACGGGCACTTGCTCGAAGAAGTTCAAGTCCTCGAATTCGACTCTGTCTTCTGCCACGGCTTCAGGGCAATCTCTCGCCCAGATCTAGATCCCATCAATTTGGTGACAAGCACATTGTCCTACTGACTTACGTCTCTCGCTTGAACTAATGCTCCGGAAGATCTTGGATTGTGATTTTGACGTTTTTGTGCGTTTTAACCAAAGGTAGAGAAAATGCTCCGATACCTCCTCCGACATCAACGACTGTCGAGTACTTTCCGAATGGGAAATCTATTGTCAAGTTAGCACAAAATCACCCCTGTTGCGTGCTTGAATACTTACGAGCCAGGACAGCGAGGGAGCCCATAATGGTGTTCAGAGATCTCATCGAGACATGATAGGACTACTAAAGATGTCAGAGTGATTGTGCGAAGGGACCAGAATCCTACCTCGCGTTGACCGTCCTGCAATGAAATCACATAAGCAAGGCTTTCTGACGAGTAATGTTTGAAAACATACATGCCGCGCCATCCAGTCGAAGACCGTTCCTTCGATTCCATCTTTGTCGATGGAGTACATCACAGGTGCAACCGTTGGGTCATACGAGTAGGCGATCTTCGGATCCTTGAGCGTCTCATAGAAAACTGATGCTCCCTTGGAAATTAGTTCCACGTGAAGTAATATCATGTGTTTGACAGGATTCTCGTCGAGTAGGATTAGGGACAGTCGGTTGTTGGCGAAAACGTCCGTGTCGACTGGCGGAGTCTGAGAAGAGATAAAACCAGGGAACGAGTGACTCCTCACCTTCGTTGTAGCAACCTTTCGTGGCTAGTAGGCGCATTATTCTGGCCAGTTTCTTTGGCTCGATGTTGATTTTTTTGGAGAGCTTATTGACATGAATACCCTTGGGGTACTTCAAAAGAATATCCGAAACACCTTCCCGAGCAACTACTCGTACGCAAGCATGATCATACACTTGAACAAGCTGCGTGCAATCTGATGAGCAAAAGTAAAGTGCATTATATCATTCAAGTTCTCACATTGATTGCGGTATGGGAAGGTGGGGCAAGTGTCGTACATAATTGGGCACTAGCACCTTCAAGAGTACGAATTGCACTTTTTAAAGCCACTTGGTCGACCGCATTGTCCAAGGGGTGGGGTCCTGTCTGGTCTATGGCGGGTACATCACCGTACTTCTCATACAACGCAATGGCATCTCGTGCAGATGTGTTGATCAGAGTCAGGAGTGCCTCGAGTTTTGCCTTGTTGGCCATCGTCGCAGTGTTTGTAGGGAGTTTGCGGAAGAATAGGTGATGAAAGGGCTGAGCGAACAATCTGCAAGCTTTTATATTCTTTCCATAGGAGGGCGACCCAATGTTTTACTTCTTGAAGTTTTTCTTCTTACGACATTGCAGGAAGATGGCTAAGTGCTCTGATGCTCCCTGGAGGCGGCCTACTACGGTCGTTTAGTCGGATAAGTTACACACGCTCCAACGGCTTGTCACAGCACCCGTGATGCAGAGTATATCCTAAAAAGGCTGCCAGACATGATGGTTCTGCGCAAGATGATGTGAGATGTGTGAATGATAATTTGCTGACAAGATGCTATCAAATGATTATCGGTTATTAATAATTCAATAACGGAGATATGAGGTGTTAACTCTCAGACATACAGTGTGACTGTCCAATAATATCCCGGTGAGCGATAGTTTGTCGTGTCAGAGGAGCTTGAAGCCTAAGTAATCTATTGACAACTTGAGGACTCGGCCGGTTGAATCAAAGACTAACTCGGGTGATAGTATATCATGACCCGCAGTGTTGTGGGTAGAACTGTTTTGAGATGGTTGCGCTGGTAGAACTAGCCGGACCATGTTCTACCAACGTGGCAGATGGGTGAATGAAACACTTCTTTGTTCATGGCTGGTTTTGGAGCGGCGATCAAGTCGACGTGTCCGTCCGTGACAATGCCACCTGGATAACTGAATAGTACTATTATTTGCCAGGGCAGTTGCAACTGGTAGAACTGGCAAAACTGGTTGTTGGCAGAATGGGGGCATCTATCTATCTATAAAGTAAGGGAGGATGGGGGAGGGAAGTACCGGACGCTCGCGTGGTTTTCGCGTAGGGCCATGTGCGTTTCGCTAAAGGTCATGCGTTTTTCGCTAAACGCCATGTGGTTTTCGCTTACCTCGCTTAAAGCTCGATTTGGAAACTCGCATGGCTGTCACGCGTCCGCTGCCCGTTAGGGCAGCACTCATTGAAAAACATTTATTATTTATGAAATTAAACATAAATTCAACTACATATTAAGAAAAGACAATTGAGAAATGGGAAATGGGAAAGGAGAATAGGAGAATGAGAGAAATGGGAAAACAGAGAAAATAGGGAAAATAGGAGAATAGGAGAACAGAGAACAGGAAAACAGAAGAGGAAAATAGAAGAATGGGGAAAGACAGGAGAATGGAGAATGAGAGAAGGGGAAAGGGGGAGGACGAGAGCGAAAGGGAGGAGGACGAGAGTGCTGGACGAGACGAGGAGGAAACGGGAGGACGCGAGGAAGGAGGGGAGAGGACGGGAGCGTGACGATCAGGACGGGAGGAGGACGAGGGACGGAGGAGGACGAGAGGACTGGACGAGTGAGGACGAAGGACGGAGGAGGACGAGAGGACGAGGAGGACGAGAGGACGGGAGGAGGACGAGAGGACGGGAGGAGACGAGAGGACGGGAGGAGGACGAGAGGACGGGAGGAGGACGAGGAGGACGAGAGGACGGAGGAGACGAGAGGACGGGAGGAGGACGAGAGGACGGGAGGAGGACGAGAGGACGGGAGGAGGACGAGAGGACGGGAGGAGGACGAGAGGACGGGAGGAGGACAACAGGACGGGAGGAGGACAACAGGACGGGAGGAGGACAACAGGACGGGAGGAGGACAACAGGACGGGAGGAGGACAACAGGACGGGAGGAGGACAACAGGACGGGAGGAGGACAACAGGACGGGAGGATGGAGCACAGAACACCAGACACAACAGTAGATGAGAAAATACATATATTCAATTGTACTTTTACTTTTGTCAAAATACTGCTCAAAGTATGTAACTTATTTTGAAATTTTGATCACAACTCAGTGAATAAAATATAATTTATTTCAAAACCTGCAATAATTATTAAGTCACCCAAAGTAGGATGAAGCCGAAGGCCAGGAAGCCAACAAAGAGCGTGAAGCGCTCTTTTTGCTTCCTGTGCCGAAGGCACAACGGGTGTGTGCTAGTCTATAAAGTAAGGGAGGATGGGTGAGGGAAGTACCGGACGCTCGTGCGGTTTTCGCTTGGGGCGCGTAGCGCCATGTGGTCTTTGAGTAGATCTATAATCTACTAGCACACACCCGTTGTGCCTTCGGCACAGGAAGCAAAAAGAGCGCTTCACGCTCTTTGTTGGCTTCCTGGCCTTTGGCTTCATCCTACTTTGGGTGTCTTAATAATCATTGCAGGGTTTGAAATAAATTATATTTTATTCAGAGTTGTGATAAAAATTTCAAAATAAGTTACATACTTTGAGCAGGATTTTGACAAAAGTCAAAATACTATTGAATATATATATTTTCTCATCTGCTGTTGTGTCTGGTGTTCTGTGCCCCATCTCCTATGGTTTACTGCCTGCTGTCATCCTCTTGTCATCCTCCCGTCCTGTTGTCCTCCCGTCCTTCTGTTGTCCTCCCGTCCTGTTGTCCTCCCGTCCTTCTGTTGTCCTCCCATCCTCTTGTCCTCCTCCCATCCTCCCACGTCTCCTGTTTTCCCATTCTTCTATTTTTCCCATTCATCTGTTTTCCCTTTTTCACTGTTTTCCTGTTCTCCATTCTCCTGTTCTCCAATTTTCCCCATTTTCATTTCCCATTTCTCATTTCTCAATTGTCTTTTCTTCTTGAATTTTTTTCTTAAATATGTAGTTAAATTTATTATGATTTGAATTTCGTAAATAATAAATGTTTTTCAATGAGTGCTGCCCTAACGGGCAGCGGACGCGTGACAGCCATGCGAGTTTCCAAATCGAGCTTTAAGCGAGGTAAGCGAAAACCACATGGCATTTAGCAAAAAACGCATGACCTTTAGCGAAACGCACATGGCCCTACACGAAAACCATGCCCCGCCACGTGCTCTGGCACAGCATCTTCATAATTCGCTGTCACGGGACCTACGTCGCTTGTAAACCTTGCTGACCCTTCAATCATCCTTCTTGGCTTGCCCTTTTCTCGTCGTTCGTCCCCTGCTTGCCTCTCTGGCTCCCGTCAGTCATGCTTTCCTGTGCCTTTGGGTTGGAGTCCTTAGGCTCCCTTCGGCACGCACCTGGTCATAGGCCAATCCTTGACGGATTTGACCTGGCCCCTGCCCAAACACCTTGGATTGAAGGCCTCTCTGATGTTTCTCTCATCGTCCCTGTCCTCGTTCCGTCACGCTGAAGTTTGTAAAGCCTTATTATTGCCTTGTTGATATTTTGAAATCGACCGAAAGCACTAATATTTTAGAGGAGTTTACAATTCATGTACCCTAGCCGTTATCCTTGGGTTTGTACATCTGACTCTTTACATAGTTGTACTTCGACAGACGAGAAAACTCAACACAAAGTTCAATCAAGTTACATAGTGCAACTTCTACCATCACAGAAGATTTATTGTACATGACTCGAGCATCTCTCATAAAAGATCGATACAGTACAAATTTGTCTCGTCCACCCAGTCAACAAAAATTAAACTTGACTTGGTAGGCTTACGACAAGTTAATGTCCAACATAGGGTCAATGACCCCAAAGAACTGTAGTCCGAAGTGAAAGATATCAATACAGATATCTGAAGCTCTTCCTTCTTTTCATAGCCTCCTCGAATGTAATCCCTTCCAATCTAGCAGCCTCTTCAATGCGTTTGCGGCCAGGGCCCTCCATTAACTTTTTCTCCTCCATATCCATGTTCTTATTCTCTTTGATTAACATCCACCGCATTACTATCAATAGGTGAGTACAACAGAGCAGTGAAGTTGTTGTTTTGCTTACGGAGGCTCAGGGATATGGACAAAACGAGACTGCACAACGCTATGATCATGGATTGATGGTATTCAGGACCCCACGAAGGATTCCAAACATACGAGCCCATCCTATGAAATCCTGTAAGCAATCCGACATTACACTGATCATAGAGGCCTCACAAATTGCCGAGGTTTCCAAATCCATTGACAAGACCCATGGCTACGGCGCGTTTTGCTGGTGGACGAGGAATTGCGTTTGAAACCCAGGCCAACGTCAAGGCAAATCCTTTCGAAAATGTGTCAAGCTTCGTTCAGCGTTCTAATCAGAACTTACCACAATATCCTGTGGTCATGAGGAACAGGGAAAAGTATCGCCCGCCCGTAGCCATGGTGGATAGAGAGATTATATATCCAACAATGACCACCCACATCCAGCCAGTGATATGGAAGAATCGCTCTCCAGACCTGTCTATTCATTCTGTCAAAATGATTGTGGTGTATATTACCAGGAATCAGACGTACCTGCATGCCATGCGCCGAGTACGCAGCAGATTGACGCGAATATCCATGGAGGACTAGCAATCAGACGGCGGTAAGCCATAATTGTGAATGTAGCAACAGGATGTCATGCTTACGCCGCCATCAAAAATGTAACAGTAGTGCCGAAACCAAGCGTTTGAGTCAAGCTATCCCGCTCGATGTCAGCGCAATAGTCATAAGAGTGTCCATGTACTTACGTGGGGAAAAAGTTGATGTAACTCAGACCTAGAAGTTGTGAGCAGGACATGAACATGAAAACGATGGTCTTTGGGTCCTTGATAGCCAGCACCAAGCCATCGTAAACGCTGTCACGTTCCGAACGATGCCGATTAACAAAAGTGAGATGAAGTAGCACCTTGTCAGTGATAGGAAATGATGGAACTCGAGCTGGACTCACGTGAGGTCGTCGGAATCCCTGTCGGCCTCCCCTGCATCTTCTGCAAGGCGAACTTGAGCCAGGCGGCATTCCGCTGCGTTAAGCCATCGAGTGTTGTGGGGCTATGTCGTGTCATGTCAGACCCGGCGAAACTCGTTCTAAAAATGCTCTGCTTACATAATCTGGGAGAAGCCACCTGGATAAGACCTTGGGTGTCAACTTTGAGTAAGAATAGGAAGTCGCAAAACACACATGGTCAAGAAGCCAAAGGTCATGGTGATAGCGCCCTATGCCGAGAAAGCAGCCGATTAGCATAAGAGATCCAGGGGGTGGTGTAACATATACCTCTATGTAGAACAACCTGCGATAGGAAACTCTGGTTAGGGCACTGCTTCTGAGAATAAGGACTTTGTCTTACCATCTCCAGGCCGCAAGTCCCAGTACGCCTTGCATTTTTGCGAGAATTCCAGCTGCAATTAACTAAAAAAGATCGTTATGAAGGCGTCATAGTCCTCGTGAAGACAGCAAGCTCACGCTTCCGAATGCATTGGAGATTAAAAGACCACAATAGAACCAGGCGGACCGCACGGCGAGCTCCTAAAATTTATTGCATGAGTGGCAACTTATGCTTCTAAAAACAGGTTCACCTTCCTGGTATACCAACGCGAAAGCAGGTACATGAGACCAGGATAGAACGCAGCCTGTGGAATGCCGCACTCGTTCAGACTACACATGGTTATTAAAAAGGAAATTTTTACCTCAGGAAGACCAATGAATACACGACAAGCCATGATACCCGAAAAACTAGTTGTGACCTGTGCAGCGGTTAGCAAGCACGAGATGCAGTTGCAACTTCCCAAGAAAGCTTACCCCAGTCAAAGCACTTGTAAGGCCCCATCCAACAACGCATCCCCCGATATAGAATGATGGTCTGAGTTGCGTTTCATTAGTATCGCCCAGATCGAAGTATTTGCAATCACAACCAACCGTAAAATATAGCTCAAAATCTGCCGACAATCAAAATCAATCTTGCATTCATAAACGATAGCACACTGACCATGTTTGAGGGTATCTGGTCGCAAATTAGATGTTGTAAGTAAGATCGCATGGTTTTGTGCAGAAGGAATGCTCACTTGTGCCGGGCAATAAGTGGCATAAAGAATAGCCAGAATGGAGTCATACTGAACGTCTAGTGGATCGATTCAGCATGGATCCTACGGTAGTCCACTTTACTCACTTGTCAATCCGAGATCTTGCTCTAAACCCTGCAGCCGCGCAGCAGTAACAGCGACACGCTATGCATATCACAAGTAAGCACGCTGAGGTTCATAAATGGATATTTGCATACATCAATGTAGTTCAAGAGGTATATGACTACAGCAGTAGTCATCAACCGGCTGTCCAATTTGCGCACGAGTGCCCGTTCTCCTGCCTTCCTCGCATCCGCAGACAACAGCTTGAAGTTATCATTGTCATTCGACACTGCGACCACATTTTCTGTAAAGGATTCAGACTTCTTCTCTTCCTGGATGGACTCGGACATGTGGGGCAAGGAAGATCGACGAAGCGCTACGCCAGCTTAGCGCGGTAATTTAGCCACGCAAACGGATGCCTTTTATACCATGGACCACTGGTAGGGTCACTGGAGGCGTTATCGCGATGCCTGGAATTAACTCGGTCAATCTGGTCGGGTCCAGAAGTGGAAGGCGACCAGAATACCACCTGCCAGGGGGAATATGTTTTTAGCGATGTGACACCGACTCCATGGCTTCATACCAGCTTCTATTAACATGTACAAGATTTGTTGCCTGCTGTGTGTCTAATTATACCGAAGATGACCAGAGAACGGTGTTTGTGGCTCACGTCGCCCGTCGTGGGAATGTAATTAGCTATCTGAAATTAGTAAATACTATCGTTGGTCCGGAGTTGCAAATCACAATGTAGCACACTCATCTTTCACTCGTTTTCTTCACACAACGATTCTAGAGGAAGATTAATACATAAATTGCTGTATGAATTTTTTTATTCCATGAAAAACGGACAGGAAATGTCTGCGGCAGCGAATTACTCCTCAGAACATGTATTTTCCATCAGAGGGAAGCCATTACATGCACAAAAAATTCAGGAATTTTACCAGAAATTGATCATTGCCTTTTAACACTGCCCTGATTTTTATAACATGAGAACTAAGATATGCTGGGAGATATAAATGTTGTACTATCAAGATGCATAGCGTGACAGGAGGAGTGAGCTTTTGTTCGGAGTTGTAAAAATTCAGCTTCTCCGATGGCACTTGTGAAACAGTTTTGACCGTCGGAGAGTCAAAGCGGCAGTGTGACATAGTGTGACACAATACGGATGAGAAATTTTGCAACACTGCTCAAATACTTTCATACCGGCTTCTCTCTGGAAACATACCCTTGACAGATTTCTTTACGTTTTGTACTCAATCATACGCTCTCCTGTTGTTTTCTTATTTTAATGTTGTGTCGTTGTCGTGTTCTCACAAACTGGTCGGAACGTTTTGCAACTCTAGGCCTCTCATTCGTTCTACGACAAATACCTTTCGTGTGATGTGTTGGAAACACGCTCAGTGTTGGGAATCAACGACGGTTGAGATAAACCAGACCGGTTCTCCAACATGATGTAGTTGAAATAGGATACATCGATAACTCGTGCTTTGAGTACCTGCCGAGCCCAATGTTCCAATTCATTGGCACTTGATTCCAAAATTACGCGGCTGCAGTCTAATGCCTCCACAATGTAGTCATGTCTTGCGAATTGGTAGATTGATGACCAGCCCATCTAGGAGGTCACGAGGTAGCGGGCTTGTCACAAGTCTATCTACTAGCTCCTTCTGCTGCGCTCCACTTCCATTCGCTGGGAATTCAATAGCTAAGGTCTTGTCCCGCAGGTCTCATGCAGTCAACGACTAGCCCGTCACCTGACATCACTGAAGGGGAGCATCACGCACAAGTGATCGCAAACAGCGCACCCCGTGAATACCCAATATGTCGAATAGGCCTAGGACCTAAGGGTGCCTTAGGACGGGTTTCCACATTTAGAGAAAGAGAGACGTACTTACGTTCACCGTGTACATTACTACACGGCGACATGTGGTGATCAGTGAGTTGCTGGGGCAGGTTGAACAAGATACAATCAATAATATTAATATTAATACTTAAAGCTTGGTCCTCCATTGGTCCCCAAAGATAGGGACAAAATCCGAAATTATCCTGGCTGCTTCGAATTACCACATATTATTTTTCACGATTGACCCAAGTGGTGCTCACGGAGAAACATTTCAGTTCATCGACCTTGCCACTCATCTTCCGCCTGTACTTTCAGGTCGTGCTCGCAGTCTTGGTGAAAGCTTAACACCAAATTCGTGAGCCACAGATATTAATAGATATTAGATTTTCAAGCACCTATCAGAAAGTTGTCGCGTGCGCAGAGATAAAGGAGCTGAAAGGAGGAGGAAAGTTACCAGACGAATAACTGTGTGGCGCAAACAACGCCCAAAGCATAGAACCACGGCTACAGTTAGTATCATCATATGTGAACCCACGGAACACTGCGAGTCTCCAATTCGGCGGAGGAGATGGAAAAAAACGGCGGAAATGAATTGGAATGACACCTGTGGGGTAAATCTTCCGTCAGATGGATCTACGTGTGTGCATGATGATGTGATGATCGAGTCTCATCGATACGTTTCCCCACATGGAGGTGGGCATAAGATACATTCCCCCAGGAACGTGTTATCGAGCATACAGGTACTTTCCAACGTACGGGCTTGTGAGAAGAAATTAATATCCAACGTGACACTGCATGGAGGGTTAGAAACAGCGAATTAAGGGGTTAATATACACCTACCAAAATAAGGGAACTTGCAGACGGAAGGGCGCCGGGTTTCATGATGCGATAATCATAGATTGATGTATTGTAGGCTGCAATTTATATTCTAGCTGCCAGTGTGCAAATCGAGAAGTAGCTACATCAAATGCTTACACATTTCCAAAGTTACCCCAAACCTGTTGCACAAACTCATTGAAACAGACCGTGTCGCAGATGGTTGGTTGTGGAAACGCGTAGAGCCAGGTCTGGCTATGGCAGTGACCTACCGGCAGTTGCCGGAACTGATATAGCCGACCTACACTCGCGTGATCCCCCACATCTCGTGCATCGTTGAAAACAACACTTCTCTACTACACGCATTCAAAATAATAAATACATATTAAATGATAAATCATAAGGACACCCTTCGAGCCTTAACCAATGTGATCTAAAAAGAAACAAAAGAGATAAAATTTTGGTGGTGACAGCGGCTTGCTCTCACTGCCGGCATTGCCGCAGCGGTGTTTAAACCTCGGACACGCGTCTGAATGCGTACACTCGAAACTGTTTGTGTGAAGTGGGAAGATCCGATTCAATGTCCCCTGAAATCATATAAACGGAAAGGAAATCTGGAAGTACAGCTGCCGGGACATTCGGGAGACGGGATCTTTCTGTGGCTCATCCTGACACTTTGTAATTGAGTCATCAAGCCCTTGTAGATAAGTAATTCTCGATTTTCAGCGCGAGTACTCTGCCAAGTCGCAATACACATTTGAGATCACTACAATATAGCTAGTACACTTCGTACCTACAGTCCTTCATGTCTAGTGCTGAATGGACTTTGAGATCGGCCACGCGACAATACCGTGACCTTCGGTGACATTTATGCGACTGCACGTACACAAACAGCACTAGGGGGAAAAGCTCCCTCGTCTATGAAGTGCAAGCGCAGAAGATCGAGGCAGTCTCAAGCTAATTACCGGCATGCCATGCTCTGACACGACACGAAAGTGCAATTAATCAGCGGATAAACACGACAAAATCGTCCGCTTACCTTTCGAGCATATCATCGAGAAAGTAGGTAAATGGCACCCGGTTAAAAAACTGCCTAGTCAAAATTAGTGTCGAGCTATGCATGTCCTTGAGCTTGAAAGTTACAAACCTCTGGGAGACGCGATAAGCCATGATGCCAACAAGTTATGAGGTACGTGATGCACTTATTCTTTAGTGGCGACGACATTGACATCCCTGTCAAATAATCTATTTTTCCTCTGCATAGTTGGACATAGTGATATGATGAAAACATTCCACACAATCAAACCCTAACGGTATGGTGTCAGCGATACATGTCATGAGGTAGTCACGAGGAATGGCTGAGGCTCCTCTTTCACTGGTAAGTTGATTGCTTGTTCACACCAACCGTTCAACCCAGCGAGAAATTTAGATTTGTCAATGTCAAGAAAGGGGTGGAATTAGCAAACGGATACAGGATACCAAATTACACGCCAATCAGCTGTCTCGTTTTCTATTTTTGCCAAAGACTGGAAACGGAGGCCCCTACAAAAATAAGTGGAGCTGCAACACATTTACATACCGTGCTATAATGATCTAGGAGTGTGTTATTGCACAAATATGGATAGTATATCCACTTACACAACAGTTGTTGGTCCGCTTGAACGAAACCATAGCAAATATATTGCGATCTGGAGTTCAGCGCTTTGAATATTCAATAACTGTTGCAATACAACGTACACGAACCGCTTCCGTGAAATTCTCTTGAGACGTCCTGAGCGGCAGCCATCTTCGTACCTGGTCCTTCCTAGACACATCAGAAGTTCCAGATGCCCGCTGTTGGCGTCTCACGATGAACTGCTTGTAGATAGGCTATGGGAAGGTTTTGAGAGGACCTTTCCGAGTCGAGGTAACGCTAGGCTATGAAAAGAAGCCAAGCCAAGGAGAAAGCATGGTCGCAGCTTGAGAACGGCAGCCACGCTCCTCTCATCTTTCAGGATAAGTGAGGATCAAAGGAGGAGTAATCAAATCTCACCGCTACCACCGGATCTGTGCTGTCTCGAGCCATTCTGTGTCTGTGAGGCTTATCATGGAACGATCTTCGTCCCGGACGAAGGAAAGTGCAAGGCTTTCCTGAGTATGACCACTTTATGACCTAGTATGATGAGCCACATGAGCGACGAGTGTCCTTCAATGAAGGCGACACCACGAAAAACGAAAAGAGCATGGCATTTGATTTATCCCACTGGCCGCCCAAATTAATATTGGTGGTTCGAGAAGCTCATATTAAACTTCTCAGGACTATGCTTGTTCTTCTGGTGCGGGAACTTGCAAGGGAGTAGTGCATCAAAAAAGAAGTGGTTTCCGCTGGTTAGTAACGGTGAGTAGGTGGCGTCGATTCATGACGATAACCCGGTTTGATGGTTGAAATTTAAAAAAACCAGGAACCTGCGGGTGATAAGGCTGAAGTCCTTTGAGTACAACCAGTGACTATTAGGTGGTGGCTACCGTAGACAATGCTGCAATTGTCCGCCTCTGAGTCATGAAAGACAACAAACAGGTACAAACAGTGGCTAATATAGTCACTATCAGCGAGTCCACTTTCTTTCAGCAACCACCAAGTACGAACAACACCAAGAAACCTATTCGGAGATCCATGACTCGTCATGCTAACCGTAAGCTGGCGGCATCGAAGATGCGATCAAGCACTCCGATGTGTTCCGTCGCTACCATCAAGCAATCCGCAGGCTCATCTTTGAGCCTCAAACGCCAGCACTTCAAGCAAGAACATCTCAAACGGCAGCGGAGGCGACTCGCTTTCGAAGTCCAAAAGGCAAAGCGTGAACGTTGGGCTCAAGCTGCTCGCGAAACACAACGAATTGTTCTTGGGGATGGCAAGTACGTCGAAGAGAAACTTCCTTCTACTCCTGTCTCATGTATCATACCCCCTACCCATGTCTCTTATCCTGATAACGCCTCCCCACAAGTAAACCCTTCTCATTCTCAAGGACAACACGCCATGACAGCAACGCATGTCACACACGACATATCATTACAAATCATCTTGAGCAAGCAGGGAACAACGTTCTTCCCTCATTGTTTGGCTGACTGGTGCAAGCCTCCCGCAGGCGCTCCTGCCCGAACCAAGTCAACTATATTTACGTTTGTTGCTGGCTCTACGCTCACGGCTGCTCGGCAACTTCACGGGCGGCGACCGGATCTTACTCGTAGTTCGCCGTATTCGCCCTCTACTACGTCAATCGGAGTTCTTTCCTTTGCTTCACCCAAACGTCCTGGCGGAGGCTATATAAACGGCGGTAATGAGCAAGAAGAGGTCCTAGCTAGGTCTTCATCGCTTGTAGCTAGTCTTCAGGCCGACCAAGCCAAGGAGTTTTACACCACCCACAAGAAATTTATTAGCGTCGACGGGGCTGGTCTCAATGATCACTCTATGATATACAGCCCAGGTGTCGTCGCCTTTCGTCAAGATGATAGCGATAACGCATCTCCGCTCACGACTGTGTCGTCAAATGACTTCATACCCCCTTATCTTATTAATGTTCTCTCAGCTGTGCCTGTTAACGCAGCTGCAATACGTCAGAACTACATCATCACACCATCAGACGCTCATATCTTTTTGGACGGTATACGCGACAAGATGCGGGACCGCATGGCGAGGGCACTTCGCATCTTTGAGGCACGCGGTGACCAAGCTATCGTCCTTGGTGCATTCGGATGCGGTTCTAGCGAGAACAAAGTTGAAATGGTCGCGGAGATCTGGGCAGACCTCCTTGTATACGGGGAAAGCGAAGAGAATCGTGAAGATGGGAAGACAACTATCCCGCACGCGGCGTTCAAAAACTCATTCGAAGAAGTTGTGTTTGCTGTTCCCGGTAAATTATTTGAACCGTTCAAAAAGGCATTTGATATGAGAGTTTTCGAAGCTGAGGTGTCTCGGGCAGCTAGTGAGTAGGATTCGAAGCCATTCCTAATATTTATTTTTGACGAGTTTTCCAGCCTAGTATATTATTTTTCTCATTAATATCGTGCTCTGTGAGCTTGACATCAATACTGTACTAATCTTTCTTACCTGTATCGTTCCATATCCTCTTCCTTCTGTGCATTGTCTGCGTGTATCAGTAGTACTCTTACATATATGCCCTCATGCCAGCGCGTGCTGTGGGGCCGAGTAGCAGTTGAGTAGCGAACGTAATTTAATTCTAGAATGCTCAAATTGAATGCTTGTCGTCTCATCATCGGACCGTTTAATGTCTGCCAGTAACTTTCATGACGCCATCCAGCGATTGTTCATAACGATGACTCATCCCATTAGGACAGCCTGAAAAGGTAAGTATATAAACGTCGCACTTACTAGTTCCACTTCAACGCTCAGCCTTTCTTCCCTGGAATCCGTGCGTCGAGCACTAGTACTGCAGTTAAAAAAGTCAACCTCGTCAGTCAGCAATAGATTCGTGCTATGATGCGTGCCAGTGCGTGGGGAATAAAGAGGCGTTGCTAGTAAGCCTGAGGGCGCTAGATGATGTGCACGTACGAAGTCTAGTAATTATTACGATTTTGCTAAGTGCTTATCTTTTCCCTAGCTTTCGTATTTCTTCTGCCGTTGGGTTGATGTTCTGCGACGAACCGAGTGTGAACCAGGGTTATCTCAGAGATTTTTCTCAAGGCTCAGAAAACCTGGTGGTTTTACCGTCACACCGCACGTGGACTCCTGCAGGCACACGGACCGAGATGAAGATGGAAGTTCGTGGACACTCTCGTATTTCATACGAACTTAACCTAAGGCTAGTGCTAGCCCGCTATGCCTTAGTCTCCCTTAGCAAGTTAGTCGGGCCTTTATAAAATAAAGCCAGTCGTTTAATCCTGATCTCATTAAGCTGTTACCGTAGGTTTGCAGACTACCCCGTTATCTCGAGTGATAAGCCAAATATCGGGCATCCGGTCCGCAGCTCCGTGACCTTCCGCACCACCTCCTTCATGATCAGTTGACCTCATCAATTTCGTTATGATGTTAAAGTTCGAGTCTATTCTCAAACAAGTACCCATCATTCCCTGGCACCCTTCTAGTCTTCCCCACTCCCAATGTCGTCTCGCCAACCTCGTATATTGATTTGTGGTCAGTCCTGATCCGTCGCGGCCACATTTCATATACTTACAGGATCGGTACTCGCAGGAAACCTGGTTTGGGCTCATGAAGACGCCAGACAGCTTTTTGATGGGCTCGCAGACATTGTTGTACGTTTATCATAGTTATTTCTCCTCGATATTCACATCTAAGACATGTCCTAGGTTATGGATTCCCCAAATCGCCCAGATTTCCTTGCTGGGCTAAAGACAGGAGGAAGGTACCACGGAATTGTGGGCATCTACCGGCACAACACCTCCGCAGACCATATCGGCGTTTTTGACGAAGAGATCATCGATGCTCTGGCTGAGACGGGGACTGTCCAATGGATCGCGCATAACGGTGCAGGTTACGATCAGATTGATGTTTTGCGATGCGCAAAGAAAGGTGACTACGCTACATTTTCAATGTCCTGAATCCGTTGGGTCTTTCACCCAATGAGCTTACATCTGATTTAGGCATCAGCGTGTCTAATACTCCTGGAGCTGTTGATGATGCGACTGCCACTACGGCGTTGTACCTTGTCATTTCTTGTCTCAGAAACTATGCTTGGGCCGAACAATCCCTTCGCCAAGGGACATTCAAATCGGTCCTCAATCCTGGGCGGGCTCATGATGTTACGGGACGCACGCTGGGTATCTTAGGCCTCGGCGGTATTGGTCTTAGGCTTGCTCATCTGGTACACGCATTCCCTATGCGCGTTGTCTATTACTCGAGGAATAAGTCTGCCAATGCACCAGAGTGGTGCGAGTACATCGACAGCTTGGAGGGGCTCTGTCGAGAAAGCGATGTTCTGAGCGTGCATGTTCCTTTACGTAACGAGACGGTTCATCTGGTTGGCGAGAAGGAGATTCGGACGATGAAGAAGGGCAGTATCATCGTGAATACCGCGCGTGGAAAGGTTATTGACGAGGAGGCGATGATTCGCGCTCTTGCAGATGGTCATGTGCGTGAGATTGTTTTCTGCTCTCTTTGCCACCTCTCAATTTACGACCGGGACAGCTGTCATCTGTTGGCCTGGACGTATACCCAAACGAACCTTTCATCAACCCGCGTTTACTCGAATTCCCGCAAAATGTACTCCTTCCTCACATGGGAACAGAGAACCAGGATTCCCAGCGTCACATGGAGGTTCGTGCGCTCACTAATTTGAGAGACTTCCTTCGCGATGGTCAAGGGAATGATCTGATCCCTGAGTTGCGGAGTAGATTGTGATGGTCAATTGTGGAACATTACAATATTCGGTGGGTCGCCATATGTGTGCATATGAGCGGCATTCCATCAGACATGGCTACCTAGGACATACGTACATAGTGTCGATCAAGGATAATCATTTACGAGACTCTAAGGCCAAGATTAGCACGAAAACAAACTTCTGAAACACTTAAACGCCCGTCGTTGAGCGCTGAATCCCACCTGAACGACGGTCGACAGGTGATGGTTCCTGGACTACTACCATCGTGACCACACAAGCTATCGAAATACCGAGCGGGCTGCGGTTGGCAGTCGTCGTCCAAACTGTTCAATGTAATTGTCAGTACTTGCTATTTGTGTTGCAGTCTAATGAAAACTGAACTTGCTCGTTTTCAGAACGTTGACTCCCGGTTTGGACCCACGGTGACGCTAACCTGTATTTAAATTAGTACTACACTTGGCAGCGCTTCAACTGACCGTTACTGATGCTAGTGATCTTTCCCCATGGTCATAGGAATGAAGTTGACAGATATCGTAAAAGCCGTTTTGCCGCTGTTAATCGCGATTTCAAGTTGAGAACTAGTGCAGTGCTATCCCGAACGGGAACATTGGCTTTTATTGGCGCAGCTCTAGTTTCACTCCCACCTTGAGCACAACGAGCAACACGATGACAGATACTATCTACACGTCGTCCTACCCATCTGTCCCCATTTGTTCTCGTTCTATCTTCACTCATATTCTTGGTGTCTCTTCCTCTTCCCCACGGGGCACAGTCGGTGGCTTCCCCGCTTCATCACCCGCATTCATAGATGCTCTTTCCGGTACAACAATTTCTCGCGGAAAACTTCGCTCATATGCTCTTCAGTTAGCATTCTCCCTTCATAGGCTTCCATCACCGCTAGAGAACCACACCAAGACAGTGCTCATTTTCTCTCCCAATTCAATCACATGGCCTGTCATGATGTTGGGTGCGGTAGCCGCTGGCTTCTGCGCGACGCTTGCAAACAGCGGATACACGTCGAATGAACTAAAGTATCAATACATTGATGCAGGGGCTCATCTTATATTCGTCCACCCTTCGTTGGTTGGGACGGCCCGGACCATGCTAAGATCCCTTGGATTATCTGAGCAGGAAATACGGAGCCGTGTCATCGTGGCTGAAGTTCAGTGGATCACGGGTATCAAGGACGCATCTATTCCAGATGACCAGCTGAAAGACCTCGTGACTATATCGCAACTACTTGGTCGCGGAGAGCTCAAAGAAGAAGTCAGCTTCGACGGCGAACGGTCAAACGAAACTGTATATCTCTGCTATTCCTCTGGCACAACAGGTCAACCAAAGGGTGTCGAGACCACCCATTACAATCTCATCTCCGTCCTCGAGATAATCAAACCGGTCTGGCCCAATTCCAAGCCATGTCTTACTCCGTCCATCCCTGTACAAGGTGGTGTAGATGTGTTCTTTGGGTGTCTGCCCTATTATCACATCTATGGCGGAGTCAAACTTCTCCTTTTGCCGTTATTCTTGGGTGTTCCTGGGGTTGTCATGGCAGGGTTTGACCCTGATGGCTTCTGTGCCGCTATCGCAAGATACCGCGTGACAGTCGGCTTTGTTGTACCTCCAATGCTAGTAGTATTTGCCAGACACCCAGGCAGGTCTTCTTCCTCATTCTTTCTCGCATCACCGCTTAAATTCCAGGTCTAACTGCGTATGGTACTATATATCAACCTATCTCGCATCATTATATAAGTGCCAATGCTCCTCGTGGATCCAACTCCCTTTAGGGTCTGTTGTGTGCACAAACACCCACTTGTCCTTTTCCCCTATCATATATCTCAGTTCTAACTTCTGACTGACACAATCCTACGTTTAGCTATTCAGAAACATGACCTCACCTCCCTCACGGTTCTCTTCTCAGGCGCCGCACCCCTCGGCGCCGAGCTTGTTTCGACCGTCATGAAGCGCATGAAAAGCGTTGGCGCAGATGTGAGTATTCCACAAGGTGTGTTTTCGTCTCGTTTTACTTTCCTGGAGTGCTGGGTCTCAAATCTTTGCATAGGCTATGGTCTCACCGAGACCTCACCGACGGTATTCCTCCTCCCTGTTTCTGACGCCAGTAGTCATATTGGGGCAGCAGGAGTACTTCTCCCAAACTTGGAGGTCAGGCTTGTTGGTGAAGCTGAAGGCGAAGTTCGCACTTCTTCCCTCATGTTTATCTAGGATAGGTCAATGATGAATCTCCACAGGCTCATACAGATATCCCAGGCGCTGGTGAGGTATGGGTGAGAGGGCCAACGATCATGAAGGTATTCTGCTTGTCAACATCCTTCAAACCAGTTTGATCATGCGTTTCATGTTAGGGATACCTAAACAAACCTACTGCAACTGCTGAAGCTATTACGCCTGATGGATGGTTCAAGACTGGTGATATCGGCGTACGGGACAAGGATGGGTTTTTCACAATCGTGGACCGGAGAAAAGAGTTGATCAAATATAAGGCGAGTCAGTCGCTGCAATGCGTCCAATTGTTATTTCTCATTTGGTCATGCACATAGGGTTTCCAAGGTGTGCTTCTATCCAATTTTCTTCAGGGTGACCACTCAACTGATAGCTAATGTATCAGTTCCTCCCGCCGAGCTGGAGTCAGTGCTATTACAGCACGCTGAGATTGCAGACGCGGCTGTAATCGGGATTGAGAGTAAGGAGGAAGCGACGGAATTGCCTCGGTGAGCCCATGATTATCTTCTCATGAACCATACCAATAGCTTATAACTCCCAAGCGCATATATAACACCTTCCCGCCCACTTTCACCCCAGGAAGCATCTTCATTCGCACTAAGTGTCCAAAATTGGGTTTCACAACGTGTAGCGTCACACAAACGACTGAGGGGAGGAGTTGTCATCATCGACACGATACCGAAAAGGTCCGGTTACATTGCTGCCTCTTTGCTCTATTGTCTGGCTGATGAGGCGAAATGACAGTGCTGCTGGAAAGATCCTTCGTCGTGAACTTCGCGAGCGCGCGAAGACTGATGTTGCTGAGGGACAATTGAAACCTCGTGCAAAGCTCTAGTCCTGGAATGGGCCAACCTCTGCTTGCGGGGTAAGGTAAACTTTCAATACCAAAGGACTCTAGAGTGCCCCATCTATTTTGCTGCATACTAACTTATAGAATCTATCGAATGTTTATTGTATATTACATTGGTGCTCACTAGTACTGTTGGTGCTGGGGCTCGGATGCATCACATGACCTCGTATATACCCCTTTCTGATGGCTGGAAGCACTTACGGTTCTTTCTTCTGCCTGAGATCCTCAGATCGGTTGACCTACATTTTGTCTCCAATGCCATACCCTCACACTCATGGTGATTGATCCGAGGGGCAATCATTAAGAAACAGATATAAACTTGGATTGGGTAAACTTCACCCTCGTCCGGTTTTACATTTATGACCATGCCTCTAAGGTCCGGAGTGTCCAAAATCGACGGGCTAAAATAATTCATTATGTAGCCCTAATATGTAGGTTTCTGAGATTGCCCTGAGAACGCGTTCTCCATGAACCATGGCGCTCGACATCGATCAGATCAAACCCCAACACAGCATCGGCTGAAATTTTACAAATCGATTCTTACAATAAAACTGACGGAAAATTCCAAGATCTAAATAAAATGATCATACTATCAGATCTAGCCAGGTAAGTGTGCTACCGACTTCAAGTATGGGCTTCATCAAAGGGACTATGCTGCACGTGACCGAGGTCTGTCCTGAGGTGCGGTAGGTGCAGAGGTATTCGCGGCGGGGGCAGCACTGAGACGTCGTTGGAAATAGTGGACAGCGGGTAATGACATGAAATACAAGATTGTGAAGCAAATGGCAATAGGGATAGCGATGAAGCCAATAATAAAGGTGGAGTAGTTTGTTGTTGACACGACAGAAGCGAGCATGGGGCGTGGTTTCAAATGTCTGGACGTAGGAACGCTAGCAGTAGCTTCCTCAAGAGACAAGACGGTTGCTGAAGGCGGCAGAGTAACGGCTGCCACGACTAAAGTTTTCCGAGAGGTGTTGAACTCCATTCCGCGGACCCCAGCCCCGACGGTTCGGAAAACTTGTTCTGGCGGTATCGGCCCGAGATATCGATGGTCCTCTGTGCTAAGAAACGTGTACTTGAACAATGCGCACTGAGCCGATGAGAAGCCGCGAAAAGAAAGCAAGGTCTCAGGTCTGAGAACAGTATTATAGATAGATGTTTGATCTTCCTTCGCTCCAGGACGCTCGACCAGCAGACTCTCGCATTTGTGAGATACCGAAAACACGTGGGGAGCTGAAGAAAAGAGATACAAGGTGTCCCTATAAGAATTCACAGTGATATGCATGTGCTTTGCGAGGAGGGCAAGGTGAAAGGTCGACCTGCACTGTTTAGCAAGCAAACAGATACCATCCAGATACATGTGCGTAAGACTGTCCCAGCGCTTGATAAGAGCTCGAAAAGCACCATGGAAACCAAGAACATGAATAGGTCGAAGTACTGATGCTGCGGTTCCTTCTATACGTGGGCCTAACTTAGATTGACCCGAAGAAACTTCAGAGATCCATTCGAAACGCTGCGGCTTGAGACTTGATAAGAGATCGAATAATGGCGAATCCACTCTTAGCCATAGAGCGTGTGAGGCTGTAGCCGTGGCAAGTTGTTGGTGAATCTCTGGAGTTGGCAGGCTCGATTCCAACGGGACTCCGATGTTAAAGCGAAACCTGAGCGTGCGAAGGTTTGGAAAAGGGGTAGCAGCGCTGAGCACGCTAGGTGCCGCAAAGCTCTGTTGCTGGGATGATGGTAAGAAATTAACTTCTATGCACTTGACGTATTCCCTATCGGCAGCTGTCAGAGTCGTCTGACTCGGGGAAATACAACGATGTATGAGGTGTAAGACTGACAACTCCGAGTGTAAGATGATCGTAGATAGAAATATGGGTTTTGCCAATAGAAAAACATGCCGGTTGATCATGAGCGCGTTGATAGTGCATTGGATGGTATCGTCAAAAACGAGACAGAGAATATGGCTCAGAATAATGTCTGGGAGAGTAGTAAGATGATCCGAGTGCCTAGGAAAACGCGAGATTAGCTTATTGTTTCCACTATAATTTGGCTTTTAAACCTGCTGTTTGGACTTTCAGCAGTTGCCATCATCGAGAGAGTAGATGTAATTCGATCAAGGAGTGTGCAAGAATCTGGCAAGAATCAACGTGAAAGTTCAACGCTCGGCGAAATGTCACGTGATGTTCATTTTCAATAGCAAGCAACTTGACTAACTTGTCCTAAACCACAAACAAACTGAGTCAAAGGACAACCAACACTGGTAACTAGAATTTTTGAAAGGGACGCCAGACTCAGAGATGTGTTCGGAACGTACGGAGCGCCCACTTCACCCTAGACCTTGACTCATAGGCTTATCCATCAATTATATCGAACATCTGCACCGGTCATACGGGCTTGGTCCAGTGGATAGATCCATCCGAAATTAGCTGCTCACAAAATTAGCAGTAATTGATTAAGCACCTACGAGGTCAGCTGACGGCCCAGCATATAATGATCTCGTCATTGTCTGAATGCTCTGAGCTCCAAACTGCATTGTCTGATATCCTCTCGACTGTACCATGCGTGCTTATTACTTTGACAACCTTGAGGGTGACCAACGTCTCCCGCATGACTCTGGCATGGATGTCTCAGATGAGATCTTGAAGTCCATTGGTGTCTTGCACTGGCACATTCCCATCGATTCTGAAGGCAAGTATGAGCAGGAGATTGCTGCTATCGCGAAGGAAAGGAATTACAAGAACCACGATGTTGTCGCTATCAGCAAAGAGGGCCTTGGCGATGAATTTGAAACAAAGATCAAGAACTTTTACCACGAGTGAGACTTGATATTTTCGTCCATTCGGAGTGTACTCACTAGGATATGTATCCAATAATCTCAGGCATATGCACGAAGATGAAGAGATCCGATATCTTCTTGAAGGCACCGGCTTCTTTGACGTTCGTGGTATGTAATAACCTAAACTCCAGAGCTTTTGATGGAATTTACGCTATGTAGAACACTCCAGTGAATCCTGGATTCGTTGCCACATGAGTGCTGGTGACCTCTTAGTACTCCCTGCGGGTATTTACCACCGCTTCAGTCTCGATATGAGCAATCGCGTCAGGACCATGAGACTGTTCAAGGTTTGCTCTCAGTCTGTTTTCTATTTTAGTATTCTGACTGCCCTTGCGCTCCAGGATGAGCCCAAGTGGATTGCGCATAACCGTGGCGATCAAACGGATGCTAACCCCTACCGCTTGGAGTACTTGAAGAGCATTCAGGTCCAGTAAATCAATATGTCTATTGTGGAGCATGTAATGTATACTATGAATGAAATATCCCAATTAACATTGCAATTTATAGTGTTCCGGCTTTCGCAGGCTGGAAACCGCTGCATCCCCCCACCTCTACTAACCTCCCTCTGGCCCAGCCAACAGACCCTCATCCTAGAGGGCAGTTGCCTGCTGCGGGTGCTAAGGAGCGGTCAGACTCAATGGTGCTCTGCCACTGAACGCTTCTGACATGGGCTTTGTTCCCCTGCCAGTTCGCTAATCACCTAACGAATGCACCACGTAACTGATCGCGGTCCTGAAATATCATTAGGTGTTGACGCTTTTCGCTAATTCCCTGCAACAGTACACATTCCAGTTCGATGTCCACACTGAGCATGAAGGCGATGAAGGTGCCCAACTTAAGTTATATGATGAAGTTCAATGCACTCGAATATCACGCGTCAAGAATTTTCCTCATAACATCGAGGCACGATGTAATAAGAGATAGTTTGAAGTAAGTACCTAAGTACTGTATACAGCAGCTACGTTGAGCGCGGGACATTCCATATCAGAAAGCGTACGAAAGCAAAAAAAGGAATAACAATACAGCGTCATCTATGAGTCAAGGTCAAGTAATACAGTTTTTCAGAGCCCCTGCCGATTAACAAAACAAACAAAAGTCGTAACGTGCGTAAGAAAAATGGGAATCCAGAATATTGTCCGGAATGGTCATCGGAGAAGGAAAAAAATTGCGGCTGGGTCTGACGACGGGTGGTCCGCATCGAGCTGGACCCTCAGAAAGTGGTGCAAATGGCGGAAATGACAGTGGGGGCGCTGATAAATCGCAATAGCGCGAAGAAAATATGGGAAATGGGGATGAGATCATAGGCAGCCGTAGCGGCACACCCTGGCCTCGACGTCTTCTGACTCTTCAGGAGTAGGTTCGCGTTCAGAAAAGACTTCTGCTGCTGGCATGGCCTCGCGCTGAAAAAATAATAATACATAAGCCACTTGTTCGTCTCGTATCAAATCCAAGACGACTCACAGCAAGAATCCCGGTGTTGGCGAGTGCAACAGCTTCAGGAGCTGCAACAGGTACAGGCGATGCAATTGCTGAAATGACATAACCCATCAATAAAAGAACATATCAGGAAGAGAATAGTTTAGACTCACCCAAGGTAGCAAAGCATGCGATCACGTAGATGGGAGTGAACTTGACAAACATAGTGCTTTGGGAAGTTGTTTTTTAATTGTTCTGTTTGACTTTTTGGAAAAAGCAGATCAGATCAAAAGCGGATGCGCAGAACAATAAGAGGTGCTCGTTGGAGTCATGAAACCTGTACGATAACATCTTTATAGTACCTTGTATGAGTCCTTCTGTGAGTTTTCAACTCCAGTCGACTCCTTGAGATTGCCAAAGGAGGTTGGTTCAAAAAGCTAACGACCAAATTTGGGTAGTACCTTCAGTCCGGATTGGGACGTTAGTTTGTTCGTCGCGTCACTTCGGTTTGCACACACTTGCACAGCTCCGCACGCATGCGGAGATAATCGATAAACCATGATAAAGAAGCAGTGATTGAAGACGTATTTGGATGTCCCCTTGTTAGCTGTCAGGAGAAGCAAAAATTACCGTCCTGTCTGGTCCCGCGCCAGTTAATCTACAGCGCCTGCCTTTTTGGGATGAAGGGGATGACATCAACTTGAAGTCGGTGCACTCGAGAGAACCTTTACGATTGTGCGTAAACGCTCTGCCCTCAGGGTCGACTACCAATCAATCGCAGAAGGGCATGTCATTTCTAAGGATACCATCAAAGACATTGGTATATACAAACCAAACTGAGCTCGTGATGATACACAAACTAGTAACGAAGACAGTGAGATATATAATATTAGTCAGTCGCATCGAGCGAAAGTCCCTCCGTACGAGATCAAAGGATAGGCTATCAAAATACATAGCAGAAGGACAGAGGAAACCGAGAAATGAGCGGACGGTGAGACGACACCAGCTCTCCAGAGAGTACTAGAAGACATAAACGCAGTGCATATACGCCCATAACGCGAGGGATGCTGCTAAATGAGCTAGGAAGCTAGCCATATATAAAATAAACGTACCTACTAGAGAAATTATAGGCATCCATAACGACATATACGGGCCTCCAGACCATTGTCAGGATCATCGAGGAGTACGGAGGGTTCCGCGATGGGTCCTCCGTCTTCGTCTCGTACCAAGGCGGCGGCGGCTTCATGCAGCTCCAAAAGCAGAGCAGGCTCGCGTCTCAATAAATCAACCTCGAGCAAAGCCTCGCGCTGCACGTCTTCTCGTTCAAAAACTTACAGGATACAAAAAGATGGCTTACAGCAACGACATCCTTGAAAAGAGCGATGCCCTCACTGGGTGGAAGAATGATGGGGATGGGACTTGCACACGCAAGGAAGGATCCTAGACAAAGTTTGAATCAAATAAAACTAGGGCAGACGATAATTCAAATACAAACGGCAAGCAAAAAGGAAGAGGGCGAGGACCGAGAATGGGATGGATTTGGGTGCCATAGTTGGTGGCTTTCGAAAAATGAATGTACCAGGAGTGGTTGGAGAAATCCGAGCCACAGAAAGAGGGGCACACGGCGATAATATGTGCGAGGTAAGGATGACAAGCGATACTGTGCTCGCACTTACAATATAAAGAGATTGCCTACGTTTGAAGAGACCTTTATACTAAGACCTTTTGTCTTTGTGTCTGTGATACGGATGTGGCCGAGGAGACAAGGCTATCGCGTTTTGCAATATCATCCGGGACCTGAGTAGAGCTTGAGCGACTCCATGTGGCCGATACCGCAACTCGGACTGGACCTACATTTTAGCATTCAGGCGTGAGCACATGGGCCACTCCTGATCCTTCCTCAGATTCTTGCGAAATTTGTACCTGTAACATGTCTCGTACTTCTATGGTAGATTTAATTCCATGTGCACTTCATCGAGGTGGCCGGGACTGTCGATAGCGAGATTTAAATCAAGCTAGGATGAGAGATGCGTTTGTGGTAAGATCAAGAAGTCGAGCAAACTGAGAAAAACAACACCTTCCGTAAAAGGCGACTAGTAGGAACAAGAGATCATCGCCTGTAGTGCAGATTTAGCAAGCCTGAGCTTTTGATGCCATGATGCGGCATCATGATTACTTCACTGATGCTATGCTATTGAATATTTGTGGTTTGAACGATAGGTGTCATAGTACAAGAAGGATGTTATGGCGCAAACTTTCTGAGCATATCAAGTGTAGTGACTGCTTGGCGATATATAATTATGGTTGAGAAATCGAGATGGATTTGTGAAACTTGAAGGAACATTAATATTGGGCCTACGCGCCGCCTTTGATAGCCTGAGTGCGCGTCACTTAGTCATCTGCTCCCTCATTAAAAATTTAGAAATTTATTGTAAACTAGCTGGCGTGAAGTTGTCAGACCTTTTACAGACGTCTTTTCTGAAGATTCCTACGGGCAGTCACAACATATGTGAGGATCTCTGCAAATATTTATTTAGCTTCAAAAAAGTCGTGAATCATTGAGTCGTATTGTCGTTAATCACGTGGCCAAAGCACGTGGTTCAGTACACCATCGCCCACACACAAGACAACAAACTAACACCTATACAACTTATCGAGAATATCCCAACAACCCGCCGCAGTCCAAACCATGCGTATGTGGCGATACCAAGAAGCGCCATGATAAAGCCGGCGCCACTCAGGACCAAAATTGTATAATAGCACCGAGTGATGAGATCCAGTGGGGAAGTGGACGTCCTGGATTGAAGCCGAACCCCAGAAGGCATCTGAAGGAGAGACTGTACAAGATACAAAGGAGGGACGGCTTTAAGTAAGAGCTGCTTTCCATTATTGATTTCTTGACGTAAACCAGTATCAGGGAGTTTGCCCAATGCGTCGGCTTTCGCATTGGAAGGGGAGGCTGCATCGACGGTCTTGTATCGGATGAGAACAAAAGACGTAACATATCCCAGAATTGCTAACACCGGCCGTAAGTGTCTCCTCGTGCTTCCAAGATGATGTCGGCACTCACAAGAACAGACATGGAAAATGAGGGCACCAGTCAAACATGCATAGACGAGTTCCCGATATTCCAAGCTTGCATTAACTGTCACCTGCGACGAGGAGGAGGTGAGGGTGAAGAGCTCTCCGTCGATGGAAGTAAGGAATGTCGTCTGATGGGTTGTTCCAGATTCATGTAATGAGAGTCACTGAGTGATGGCTTACTATAACAGTGAGTGTCTGAAGTCGTTGCATCCATGCTGCTATAAGTGCTGAATCGTCTCCCGCAGTTGTTTGTGCATCCTTTTGAGTCATGTTGTGGACTTGTTCATCACGTTGACCATCTGTGGCATTTCTCGATATTTCTGCTAGATTAACAGAATGTTATCAGATACATACCGAAACTAGGCCCTGGGTCGGCTCGTTCGAGGTCTCGTTGAGTAGACATGACAGTCATAAATTGCAGATTTATGTGCAAGAACGAAGCTGCGAGCCGGGCGCCTGCAGCATCCAGTTAGTGCATGTAAGAAAGCTACATTAAGATTCCTCACTGAGGTGCAACGAGGACTGCGTGCGCACTGGAGTGACAGACTTCTTGGAACTCACCTTTTATACCTGTATTGCGCCCAACAGCGTGGACTCACGGAAACCGATTAATCAACCGATTGCGCCAATACGGATCTCAAGTTGGCGTCGCCAACGTTGTTGATAACACGGAAACATTATAATTCCAGACATGGAACAAATTTCGTCACGATCCACGCCGCCATCAGTGGCAACTGTACAGGCAGTCGCCAGCGGCAGTCACGAATTGATTATGGAATGGATGGTTTGCTTATCGCTATAGCGCTCATCCATGGCGGGTTATTTTTTAACTGTCAAACCGTGTGTTCCAGTTCGGAAGCTAAGCACAAAGTGCGAGATCCGGGTTATGCATTAGTCGCTGTCTCCTGGTAGAGATCCACGAGCTCGAGCTCGACTGGCATCTGATGATGACAGACCGTGATGCATCGTTGTCATGAAATTTGCTAACAACGACCAGGCCATATATGCATGTCTGCCTCTGGACACTGATTAGTACATGTGAATACAAGATGTTAATTTAGAAACCGGAAAAAAATAGTTGCGTACCGTACATAGAGCGCTTAAAGTAGAAATCCTATCCAGGCCAGCATGCTCAGCCGATTAGTGAACATGATGCATGAGTTCAACGTTTGAACGCCTATGCGACGCATTCACAGCAGCAGAGGAAATGAAAACAACCTGCTTCAAATTGCAGACCGGCAATCCCCGCGACTGTCGCTCTAGGCCCAGCTGACAAAGCAAGTCCCCAGGACAGAGCACCACCATGACAGAATAGACTGCCAACTTCCGCTCAAGCGTAAGCGCTTAAGCCCCAGACGATGACGGATTCAAGACGCCTTGACCTGTGCAATAATGGTTTTCCTACGCTCCGATGGCCATGAATTTTGCATTTAATCTGTTATTGGTCACCCTTTCAGGCTAGATCTATTATCGGAGAAGTCGACTGTCGGTGCCGACACCTACCAGCTTCATCAAGCTTGGGAGGATCTACACTTGCAGCCAAAGTACGTATTTTACTGTATGCTCACGCAGATGCCACGCTAACACCAAGACAAACTGCCGTGAATATCCTCGCAACCTGCTGCAGTGTCAACCACGCGTAACCGGCGATACCAAGAAGTGCTAGAATCCAACCAACATTACTTAACACCAAAATCGTAAAATATTAGAGTCAGGAGATCCAGCGGAGAACGGACGTCCTATATCCGAATTTCCGGAGCAAATTCAAGGGCGCCGAGCTTTCAAACACGCCGGATGTCGATTTTACAACGACCCCATTATGATTGGAAACAGAACGCGGCACATTGCAGCTGTGCAGGAAAGGCAATCGCACGGAGGAATCTTGACTGGCATCGTTGACACGAATAAGAGCATGAATATAAGCGAACGATTCAAAGACTTCATAACAAATGGAAGACAACAAAACTACTGCCGTAGCGAGAATCATGATCTACACGAGCGCGAGAGCCGTTATTGGGAGAGAATAAATTCAGACTATCAGGGAGGAGAAGGCAGGTCTACGTTATCCTCCAAGCGGACTACCTTGGATTTAGGGACAAAAACACGATGCTCTTCAACCCAATTCAAGACCTTCTCAAAGTTTCTGCATCGGTGAGGAATGTTGAAGTTAGGGAAAGGATCTTTGACTCCCTCCACCCAGTCGTAAGTGAGCATCGTCACGTCGCCACGACACATAATGATCTGCCTGAGCATTTCGATGCAGTGATCTGGGACACGCCATAAGCAGATGTGGTCCGGGCAGGAAACAATATACCTACCGAGATGAATGCGAAAGTCTTGGGGGGATTCGTGGGCATCATGAACTGAGTACTCATCACCCCAGCTGACTCTGCGAAGCATATCCTACAGGGGAGTGAGTAAAGATTGACCACCCTCCCTGTATTACAACTGACTATGCAATGGAGCTGGTGGATGACTTCTACTGTGGCCATGTAACCTCCACCGTATTCTTCCGGGTACCTAGCCATGACGGGAGAAGGTTTCTCTCCTGTTCTGAGCAGTTGCTCAAGCGTCATACGTATTGGACGCGCTGGGAAATATCATATAGTCAGTGAATGTCTATGATGTAAGCGAAGCATAGGACGCAACCATCAAAAGATATCCTATCCCATGCGGCGTCAATCTCTGGAGACGGGCTGCCACGATATATGGAAGGGGTGCCCAGAGTTCCGTTGAATCTTATGATACCAATGGACTCAATAGCCTCGTTTGCTGGAGCTATGACGAGTAAGCAAGGTCCCGTGCGTTGATGCTGTCTGTCCACCTACAGTACAAAACTACGTCATCGATAGACGGCGACCGTGCCCATAGCACGAAGAACATCATTGTTATGGACACCAGCACACCATGGCTTACCCATGGTGACCAGCGAAGGAGACGGAAATTTGCAAGAGGTCTTGTTTCTGTATAGCTATCAAGGAGGTTCGTATCGTCACGATCGTCGACTCCATCGACAGGAGAATACGATGCAGAATATTCCTTACGCATAGCTGGCGCAAGAAAAGGATCTGAAGTCGGTAGGGTTTCAAGACACTTGGAATGCACTTGAAACAAAGTTGTACTCGGGGGCAAGCTGGAACCCAGGACCTGAGTACATAGAGGGGCTTGAATTTTGACTGATGGAACCCACGTTGGTTCTTGAACTGGCGGTCAAGCTGGCAGTACTGGTGTTCCTGGATTCAATCAAACTCGGGCTTCTCACTTCTCCGATCATTCAAAACCTGTTGCTTCCCATTGAATACTTTCCAGCGCTCCGCTGAGGCATGTGGCTTCCACATCAACGGCATGATAACATAACACGCCTGAGATACAGTTGATCGGAGAACATGTTCGAAATCAATACACTCCTAAATATTTCTCGCATCTACCCTCGTTTGTTCCCAACTGTCCCTACAATCCCCGAGTTCAGCAAACGGAGTTCACCCAGGGTCATGGTCAAAAAATTCTCGCAGTACTCTCCTGTCGATGTTATTGACAAAGATAATGTGGAGGAATCATTTGGTGATGCAGAAATGTTCCGTGCAGAACTTCGTCCCAAATTGCACATCCTTTGCATGTGGCCTATATTGAGCCATGGCGCGTTGATATGCACATCGATACTCTTTTTCGTGCTATGGATGGGCACGCCTTCGCCCCGTCTGCATGACGACATTCCTGTATACTGTGAGTGAACAGACATCCTCGGATAGTTGACTAATAGTGTTGATGATTTTTCACAGCTCCAGCAAGTGGTGCTGTTGACTCCATGATCGTAAGATTCAATGGGACTCTCGACTTTCCTTCGATCTATCGTGGTCCCTCCTTCCCCAGAAGTTGATGCCGCTTGGGCCAGGATAGCTCACGATGGTGCGTCGCCTAATTTCCCCCTCATCCTAATCAGTAGATGTTTACGTCCATGAAACCTCAGTGCTACCAACTCGGATGTCACTCGAGGAAATTCTCAAAGCCGGCGAAGTAGATTCACCTTCAAAGGTCAAATATCCAGCCGAATTTGGTGGGGGTTTCATGGTATCCATGGAAGCCCCCCACCAACTCCACTGTCTGGTGAGCCATACTACATCAAAAGTCTAGTCATCCTTGCCTCATGTTTTGTAGAATTTACTTCGTAAAGCCTCGTGGCCCAAGTATTACGGACCCATAGATATTTCGTTCCAGGACACGCCCGAAGTAGTCCGAATGCATCTTGGTACATCTGCTTTTTTTTATTCATGCACCTCCTGCTTATTGTATACAATACAGATCACTGCATTGAAATGATCAGGCAGAGTATCATGTGCAATGCCGATGTGACGATCATAACATGGGACTGGGTCCAGGGACACGAAATCCCATACCCCAATTTCAACACCCGCCACCAATGCAGGGACTACGAGAAAATCTTGGATTGGGCTATCGAGCATGCTGTCCATATTCCGGAATCGGCGATGACTCGTTTTGAAGATACGGTTGATATTCCCTTACCCTTCCATCTGATGCACGATGATGTATGACTTGCTGTTTACTTACTACATACATTCACGAGTATCTTGCAAGAGCGGAAATGATTGAGAGCTCAGTAGAATTAACGTGCTGTTTGTACATCAATGACGTAGAAATGAATGAATAATATATTTTGCAATTTACGCGCTCGATGGGTCAAGCTTCGAGTACGAAAAAGGAAGTTGGGTTTTGGACTTGGCACGGGATGTTTGTTGTTGTTCTCCAACTTGAACGTCGTGCTGGTCGATTCTTTCAGGTATCTTTAGTGCTGTTTATGTATCGGTATTCAAGTACTCATTTTTTTTAGCGTGTAGGCTCTTATTGTTGTCTGAGTCGCGCCTGAGATTCTGATAGCAAAGCCACAAACGGACAAGCAGTGATGAAAGTTTTGATTAATAGCTCGACACGGCTATAATCCACCTCCACGGGACATCGGTGAACTGACCTAGAACTTGGCTATAGATTTCCCTATACCGAGGCATTCTGAACGAAACCTCTTTCAAGTTACTCCTCTGCCCTGACCGTGTCGAGTCCAGCACGAGCGGTGATTAAAGACATCAAGTTCTCCGTTTTACTGTTGCGATCAGAAACTGGATCCCGGAACCGAAACTCGTTGCAATTTTTATCAAGTCCGTTTTCAAGACTTTGATGGTGCTGATAACGACTGGGAAGACCTAGGTTCACGCTGACAGGACTGCCACCACCTGACGTTAGTGCGGGCCATTAAAGAACCGAGGTGCGCTGCGTTGATTGCGGGGCCCTGACGTCGTAATAAACGACTTTATATTTCTTTTAGCAACGAAAATAAAGGACATGCTCTTTACACGCTCTATCCATATTGTCATATAGTGGTAAATAACTTTCTCAGGCTCAAAAATATTCTGATGTAGTTGAGGTTTACTTTGTTTAGCCCTAAAATGCGTACCGATAGTGGAAAGGGCTTGAACGAAGTTGGTGCTAGTGCATAGAACGGCACGTATCATCACCTCATGGGTACCAGTCAAAGATCAGGAAAAACTAGCCAACTAAGGTAGGCTGAGGCTGATATTTTTGTGTTTAGTATCGTCTTGTTCCAATATGGCAGGATCATCAACAAGAACTACTAGTGGAATACTAATAGGACCCTCTTTTCACTTATCAATGGTTCGGTTGACGACGTGCTATTCACAATGAGGCCTAACTAGACCGTCGCACACCCAACTTTTCACTCCGCTGCATCACTAAAGAACGAGGGCCAGACAGAGTTCTAAAATTAGCCACAGTACCACATGTTCGTCCTCTATGTCTCAAAATCAGTAGTTAGTCAAGTCCAGGCTCACCGTCACATGTATTTTCAGGCACCCTGCTCCGCTCACGTTGGATCAATTTTGTTGCGCTGATACAAAAATGAAAGAAATCATCTTCCTTGTCACCGACAATCTTACACATTCATGCTCCCCGAGGCACCAAGCTAAGATCAGCACGTCAACTGTATTGCGGATTGCGCGAGGACGCTGTTCTTCTTTTTATTTCCAGATGAATTTTGCCTAACTCATGCACGCGTGATGTAGCCTTTTCAATCGACTGAGATAACGCTATTTGATTGCGCGTGGACAATTTCAGCGTACGTACTACTCGGGCGAAAACATAAAAATTCTCGATGTATGCTAAAGCAGCCTGAGGAACAGATACTGGCAAAAGAATCACCAGACGGAAGCTACTGGACAGCAGGCAAACACCCGAAATACTTGTAAAATGTACGATCGTACGATCGTACTTGATGGAATTTCCATCAATGATTAAACGCTACCAGGACACACAGAAGCGTCAAGGTCAGAATGCGAGGATGTCGATGAGCCTCTGGCTATACATTTCAAAGATCCGGCATAATCGGCGGTACCCTTTATGAAATGAGCAAACTTTGCTCATACATGTATTTTTGGCACTCAAGAGACTTGCGCCGCAACAGTCCTTTAAGGCCTTAACCGTGTTTTATAGACAAATCATGTCTTACAGGCGTTCTTATCACTCTTCAAAAGCTGATCAATGTTTCGAGAAGATGTGGGGGAATAAAGGTATTTCCCAAGTTCAAGTTCGAGGCGTTTGCATCGCCGTAAGGTGAAGCTTTGAAGATCTGATCAACTGTCACTGTCACTTATCTCCCTAATCAGCGTGATTGACACTTGAACGTGCCGCGCATCATCGAGTACGGCGGTTCGGGTCATAATCCAATTTGCAGATGTGAAATGAGGCTGTTGTCCCTCTTTCTCGCATGAACTGAGCTGATCCGAAGATGAGAATTCGGGTTGGCGGTCTTGCCTCGTTGAGATTGTTAGTGATTTTTCAATGACTCTGATGGCTGATTATGTACGCTTAGGACAGCCCCTCACAAAAGTTCTGAGTGGATAATGCTTCAGCCAATTCAGGTGACCTGAGTCACGAGCGGGCGTACGAAAAGGTATAAAGTCCTCTTGAAGATCCCAATGTAGCGCATCGACAAAGCACCAGTCGCATTTCTTAACTCAAACATGAAGCTTACTCTCAGTGTCTTCAGTGCGCTCGCATTCATCGTGGTTCTTGCTACAGCACACCCCGTGCAAGATGCCAACGCTAAGCGTTCCTGTGAGTAGTGTTCAAATCACGAATCATCACTATGCAGAGGTTGATAAACATAACTTGCTGCCAGCTGTAGAGGAGCGCAAGGGAATTCACGCTGATGACTTCAACTACCGCAACTACGAAGTCAACGCTGATGACTACAATTACGGCTCGTACAAGAACGGGAAGCGCAAGGAAGTTCATGCCGATGACTTCAAATACAGCGATTACGAAGTCAACGCTGATGACTTCAATTACGGGTCGTACAAGAACGGGAAGCGCAAGGAAGTTCATGCCGATGACTTCAAATACAGCGATTACGAAGTCAACGCTGATGACTACAATTACGGGTCGTACAAGAACGGGAAGCGCGGGGAGCTTGATGCCGATGATTTCAACTACAGAAATTACGAAGTCAATGCTGATGACTTCAATTACCGCTCATACAAGAACGGTGCTGGAAGGAAACGCGAGGAACTTGATGGATGAATCCAAACATCGCCATTACCAGTGGACTTGGCGACAGGTTCTACGCAGGTGAGTTATCAAACCGTATGTCTCAATCTTTTGTGAAAGTCATCCATCGTATTAGATCTGGCATCCGAGTCACTGCAGCCTCACCCACAAATAACTACCCTGTAGTACATCCATCTGCAAATCTTGACTCCTTTATCTGATTGCTTGTTTTCTGACATGTTGGATGGCCATGTGATGGGATCTCGGTTGGCTCATGCTCTATTTACATTTCGACTCAAATACAGACCCGCTGAGCGTTCTTGCCATTAAGCTAATATCTGCTGACATTGCGTATTGCATTTTCCAACTCGTGTGTCGTCATCTCAAATTCTCTCAGGTTCCCGCTAAAATGAGATTAATTGTAACTTGCTCAGTGTTAGCTGGCTTTCGTCGAGGTAGATGCCATCGAGGAACAACTATATCTTCTTAATTTTGAATGTTCATACTACGGGAGACTACGTGTTTGGAGGTCAATGCATAGCATTGCCGCTACACGATTGAGTACTAGAGTACTAAGCACCCACCAGCACGACCGGCACCTGCTGAAATTCGACCTCCGTGCTTCACCTGTTGAACTTCTCCGAGATCAGCTTTCGCCACTCGACTTGTCCTTGGTGTATGATATGCCAAAATTTGTTCGGAAAACGAGCTAATTTTATTCATCTTGCAACTGGAATATTATACAAACAACCTCATATATTTGAGGATCCTCGTCCCATGCATATGCAAGGATTTAGGATGGAACAACATAGTAAGGGATCTGTAGACAATTTAAGGACTCCAGGACATGAATAAACTATATTAGCGGCTTCAGAACCTACTAGATTACAAACCATATCCACAAAAAACCCTCAGCATCGCAACTCGCCTCAATTGTCATGAAGCGAAGCGCCGAGCAGTCCTGGTTTCATGAACGGTACAGAGAAAGGCGGAAGATCAAATGGATTGGTGATGGTGGCACCCAGGGCTGTTGGGAATTCCTCCCCACTAGATGGAAAGAGTTTGAGATATGCACGAGAGGGCGTTCCAAATAGATACCAGGCAGGGTCAGTGACTTCTCCTGTCTCCTCAGAAGTTGGGGTTGAAGGCAATAATGGCAGATCGTATTGAGAGGGATGGTCATAGGCGAATGGATCCGCATTAAATGGGTCATCTAGACACAGAGAATTGGCTAGCGGCAGTGGTCGAGGCGTAGGATCATCGATGAAATCTCTGAAGTGGTTAGCTTGTCCAAAAAGGCCAACCGGGGAACATAGTGGTTTGGGATGCTTCGTATCAACAGACGTGATGAATATGGTGGGTGCGACGGCAACGTGTACTTTGGCTGATGTGGAGCGAGCAAACTTGCATAGCCACCGCTTCTCCTGCAGCTGTTGTCTTAAATTCCCAAGGTATCCAGACGCAAGTGAGTCTTTGAACTTGGGGGGACAAGAGGGAGCAGGGAGAGACAATCATATCAGAAGATGTTGGGGAGCCCTGGAAGCCGGACATCACGGTTAGCACCGATTCCGATTTTGGCACATTGCATCGTGTACTATTCAGGGATCTGATTGGAATGACGTTCTCCTGAAGCTTAGTATACTGGCTCTCGCCCAGCGAAAGCTTTTCCAGGGTTGCACCAAGCTGTCGCACGATGTAATCGCCCGTCGAATGAGAACGTAGGTTAAACATGGACGGAGATGATATTAGGGTAGGGGATACACCAGAGCTGTCTGAGAAGGGGTCTACAGGGGCCTTCGAAAGAAGAGCTAAAGTGGACTTCGAAGTGCGCATATCAAACAGCGATGAATGTGACGACTGCTCCGACGGGGCTATGCTCTGTTCAGCAGTGGTGAACCGGGTAGCAGACTCTGAGACAATGCGCGCATTATTGATTCCTGACAAGAGACTCGAATGGTCGGTGTTCCATTCGTAAGGTGGATGCCTGGAAGGAGGTGACAAGCTCATATCAGACTCAGGCTGGGGTGATGAGGCTGAAGTAGTCTTCTGCTCAACCGCGACCTTTCCCTTCAAACGATGGTGCCTAATGGACTTGAGAAGGTGGCTAAGTTTGATGGGCGAGACTTCAGCACTTGCACCGCGAGTCTTGCGATGGCGTTGCTGGTTTTTACCAGTCTTGAGCTTGCCGAGAGAGAAAGAAGGATGTAGCATTTCTGAGGATGTCGTAGAGCACAAGATCAGTAAACGTAAAAGCAGTCACCTGCTCACCCTGATTCACCGTCAAATATTAGAAAGATGACTGGCCCAATAAACTGGTCATTCCAATGATTTTGGGATGGTCTGGATGTGAATATTCACATCTCTGCGGCATAGAACGGCTGTCTTCCTGTGCGGCGGTTAAACCCAAACCCCAGCTTTCCACTTCAAGTCGGAGTGCGGACTTGAAATAAATTCAAAGATCGTTAAAACTGGCGACGTTGAGGAAATCTCAGTGTGAGTAATGGTGAGCTCACTTGATGGGACCAAGCTCTACCATAATGATACAAGCATAAAACCAAAAAGCAGGCGTTACCAGGGTTCGAACCTGGGTTACGGGAAATCGTATTATCAAAATCCCAAGTGATGACCACTACACTATAACGCCGGCGGTCTTCGGGCAGAAAATTACGTAATTGTAGACATACATCACTCCTCTATATTTTTAATCTTATTACTGACAGCTGATAGGCTGAAACTTTCACCGCATTCCCATGTGCTCCACACGCGCCAAAAATTGTGCTACCCCCAGAATTAAGCTATTTCAGTAACCTCTGCACTCGCACCGAGAACCACAATGGCGCAACCTGCTGGCACACCGGTTGATTTCCCAATCAACACCTTGCGGGTGTTGAGGCGTTTGCCGCAAAACATATAATAGGTGCGTATGAGAAGTCTTGTCGACTGTAGGCCCAGTCAAACCCAGTGGACACTCAGGCTCGTGAGGATTCTTGTGGCTACTAGGTCATCATTCGCTGATCCGATGCTCCAGGCACTCGATTCTCAAGGCCACGCCCCAACTGACCTGCAAACACGCGCACAACGCTGCAGGTAAAGTCTAGTCAGCTGAAACATGAATGAAGATCTCGAGCGAGCAGAAGCTGGTCCTAGTGTTCAGCACACAGATAATGGTATACACACCACACCATTCCATCAATACAGCAGAGTAATTGAGAAATGTGACAGATGGTCAACGTGAAGAGCAGGTCCGCGTCGCGACTAGAAATGGTTTAAATAATGTTGCAACGACACCAGGAGATAGCTCAGCGCTTGTGGCAGTGTGGATGCAACGACTTCAAATCCTCACCTTTATAGTAAGTCATTACTCGGTGACTCTGATTGCATGCCATTCTGGAATAAACCATCAGACAACATTTCTCGCTTCGATCGACGGAGGACTTTTTGAGCTCACCACGCCGTCGCAGATGCCACTTCAAGAATTTGTTTATGCATGCTTCGCTGGCGCCCTCGTTTTCCATGTTTGTGCTTGTGAGTGCCGGGATGCTTCGAGGAAGTGCAAGGCGCTCACGAGCTGACCTAGCAATTCTGGGATATATAGCATCATTTGCTCTCATTCGATATCAGCTCAGTGATGTAGCTCCTTCTGATACAAAGAACACCGAGGTGGGTGAATTTCTAATTCTGGTTTGCACCATCCTGAGATCATGCATGGGACGCAGCGAACGCTTATGACCATCCCTCCTTTTGATGCTATGAGCACCTTTTTTCAAGTTGTGCCCTTGAATTCGGGGCTCCAGATTACATCCAGGACGTCCATTCCTCCGCTGGATCTCCTGACCCGGTGCTATTTTACGACTTTGGCGTTGAGTAGTATCGGCTTCATTTTGGCTCTTCTTGGTATCGCTGGTTACGCGTGGGTGATACTGCAGCAAGTTGTAGGGATATTCACGGTAGTTTGTCTTGGTGTTAGCATCGTGGCATCTGTGTGGGCGGTGCTGTAAACTACGTACTTTGACTGCAGGTCTAGATTATCCCAGATTTGATAAAACTGACAGGTGTCAGCAGACAGTTCTAGCTTCACCTGCGAACATTCTATTCCCTACAGTATTTAAGCTCACGTTAAACTATTAGTAGGGCAGTTGATCTTTTCCCCCCGAATAACACTTGAGTTCGACCAGTCAAAAATATGTGACATTTAGAAAACGCACACACTTGAGAGTCGAAGTTTGAACATTTAATCCATTCGAAGTTCAATTCTCCAGTGCGCGTTACACAGCTGGCCACACAGTGTAGCAATTGTTTCGTCTTCAAGTTGTTCAACACAAATGCAAATAAACGCCAACTTTTAAAGTTGAGCTCAATCGTGTATTTGTTGCCTTCAGCTCCATGACTTTCTTCTTGCGATATTCATTATTAACCCTTCTCAAACTATTACAATGGGCACCTCTGCTGGCGACCCTGGATCCGTTCAGTTCTGTTCGGACCATCGACGGAGACTCTGCGGTCCTCGAGAGACACAATAACTTCCTGTGGCCAAACCCTCCAGCAAATTATCTTGCCGCCGGATTTGCCTCAAGCAATAGAAGCAGTCGTATTTCCGCTAATGACCACCATTCTCCCCCGTCTTCCTCCACTCTCACATATGCACTCTTGATCTCCCAGCACAAACACTATTTTTCAAATTTTGTGGACTCTCTAGGTCAGGCTATATGCTCCAGACTGTGCTTATCTATGCTGACATCTACATTAGCTCTGTTGTACTCTGACCAGTTGACTTATTTTAACAGCGGTTTTTGCAGCATCCTGGTCTTGGTTGCCCTCAACTTTGGTCTCATATGTCTCTATCCTGTTACTCGCCTCCAGTCTAAAAACAAGATTCGACCGGTACTCCTATCGTGTGGTAGCCTCGAAACTATCTTTCCTAGGGATAGCGAATATCCAAGTGCAGCTATTTCGCGCGAGCTATCTGGGACCGGCGAATCTACAGATGGGACGGAGAGTGTATGCGTCACTCCCGACCAAGAAGCGTACAACGGCGATCCAGGTTTTCTTGCTACACAACAATACATTTTGCGAGCTCCCAACAAACGTACCTTACACGAGGATCTGGAGAGTCCCAAACTTATGGGTGCAGCCTCACACCTATATAACAGTCGATATGTACTGCCACATGAAACAACTAGCAATCATAGTGATACCGAACGCACACCGAGTCAAGAGTCTGAGTCCTGCGATAATCCAGCGTCCCTGGACGTCCCACCTTCCCTCAAATCGTCGAGCTCTGCGGGTTTTGAACTTAACATCCACAATAGTAAGCCCCAGGACCCACGCCAACCCTCACGCCTGGCGCATCTCGTCCGTAACTTCCCGCCACTAGCTGAGGCTGTATCTCATGAAAAAGCAATACCCCACGATGCGCATCGGCCAGCTCGCAAGCATGATGGTGCAACTCACCATGGCGACCTCCAAATGACTATACCTGCAAGGCCCAATCATGACGAACACCTTTCCGTTTCAAGTAGCCAAGCTTCTTTTTCATCGATGGTTTCCCGAAAGCGAAGCTGGTCTTATGCGACTGGGATCGGTGTCGATTTCGAGGAAGACAGTGATTCAAGTTGCGAGGAAGGATCTTTCTGCAGCGAGTCGCCAGGGGATCAATTGGCTCTCGGATTATCTTCACCACAATCCATTGACAAGAACGAGAATCACGTCACATCCTGTCTTTCACAGTCAACGTCCAGACGCGATAATATACTAGGGTGCGGCTCTTTTTGTGATTCGGAACCCACAGCTATGCCATTCGATATGCACCGCCGCAGTGCCAGCACGCCGGTCCCTTCTAGCCGGGGCAATGAACATTCATCACATGGACTTGTCGCCACCGAGGTTAAACAGGGCGACAATCCGTCAAGTGGAACAGAACATAAATTTGATGGACCAGATTCATTCTGGGAGGCAGCTGTGCAAGAGAGATTGAGAGTCACCGCCACCTTTACGACTTCAGAGCCGCTCAAACCGAAGGGTGCCAGGACAACATTTGATCTGTCTCAAACTGCCGTCACTGATAACGACCAACCCGACAAAAATATTTCGAGCGGGTCCGCGGCTCGCTCGCCCCCCTGGTCTATTGTTGCGCAAAAGAAACTGTGTGTCCAGACTTCACCGCAACAGTTCGATTCCGGCGAAACACAGGATCAGCCCCCTGACGACAATGTTGTACCAAAGTCGGGGACGTCGGGGTTGGCTTCCAATCAAGCTGACAGGTATGTTGATCCGAACGGATCATAAACGTTCTCTGATAAGCGTCGATACAGCCTCACTAGTTTGACCCTACGTTCAGGCGCTTATGCGAAGTATGTTCCCCCGCAACGGCGTGTGGCCGGCGAGCTTGTCTATACTGTCTCACAGCAGACAAAACCCACGTCGCGTCGTTCGGAGCGCATGAAATTTGGATTTTCGTCGCCTATGTTGGAAACCAGATCTCATTCGTCTACCTTGTCTCCTTGGAGTCCGTTCGCACCACACGAATTTCTCTCTCCCACTTCAGAAGCAATCGCGTGGAAGCGTGGTGCGCTTTACTTGGCAAATCCTCCACCAAACGAATTTGCACATATTGATGAAATCGGAAACGAGAAATCTTGGTATGCAAAAACTAATTTGAAGGCGGCAGACCCAGACGACTGGTTGTTAGGCAACGTTACGGAGAAGCATGTTGGGGGAAAACGAACAGTGAAGGAGGGATATCAAGTAGATGCTCATACATCTCCGCAGCAGCGCTGTCATGGCCTGTGGAAGAACGGTCACCGTCGATGTGAAACATGATGAAGATGAAGCTTTCCCCCTTGAATGCTACGTGAATTTTAATGTTTTTTTTTCTACGTATTTGATTTGTCCAGTGACCATATGGTAGTTTTGATAGTTGTGGACTCGTGCTGTGTCATAGGTGACATTCGGCTATAGGCGTTTCCATTCTACGTCATTATGCCATGTCCTACGTGTATCGGGAAGACCCAATGTGTGCTAGTAACGTATTAGGCCCAAACTTCTATGATTCATGCGTTGAGTTTGATGTAAGTCCAAAGATTTCCATTCGGCCATCACCATGTGAGTTTCAATTCTGATCCAAAAGCGAAACGCTGGGGCTCAGTGGCAGACTCAGAACGCTTCTGTGTGCAGCAAGGATAAACCAAACCTACCTAAGCTAGTACTTGAACTCAAAATAATGATCAGGTGGTTGCGCCACTGCTTATCGTCATCTTCGCCACTTGGCCATCCGCGTCTTGGATCTCTACTTCTACATCCTGTGCAGCGTCCACAAGACCATCTTCTTCGTTATCATTCACGTCATCGTGGTTGGTTTCATCGAGCCTCATCTCCTGTACAAACCACCTTGCGCCCTCATCCCATCCAATCATCTCAGCTTCGCCCAGGGGCGACCTTCCAGCCTTATTTTTGATATCAATTGCATCGACCCCAGTAAATCGAACCAGCTTCTGCGCTACTTCGAGATGCTGGTTCACCGCTGCCCAGTGCAAAGCAGTCGAGCCGGCATTATTTTGTGCAGAGAGAATAGAAGGGGAGACAAGAGGAAGAAGATAATCCAACACGTCTACGAGATACCTTACGCGAATCAGTCCTCATGGTATCAAGAACGTTATACAATGAAATCGCGTCTCACCTATGTGTCCATTTCCGCATGTCATATGTAGCACGGTGTTTCCGTTGTCGTCATGGACGCTGGAGAGAGCACCTGAGCCGAATTTTGTTACAAAATCTTTGACTTCGTCGAGATCATCGTATCGACATGAAAGGAGGAGGTTTTCCTTGTCATCGTCTGTGGGCAGCGGCCATGTAGCCATTGTGAAAGATTTAGAAAATGATATGAAATCAGATTTGTTCGTCTGCATCTACAGCCCGAGATCCGACGACAGCCCGGTGGCAGTGTACCCTCTGCGACTTCCCGCCAACCTGGTGCTACGGATAAATGGAATTGGTACGAGCAAACCAAACTAGTACCGTATGGCTGTAATTGAACCTGTGCTGATTGCTCCCGGTTTGTTCCAACTACCACCATGATCTTCTCAGCAGGAACGTGCCACAACGGGTATTGTTGCGATAACGTCCGACTATCTCGAGGTTACTCCCAAACAGACTCGCTTCTGTTTCGCGACCCGGTTGGGATTCTACCAGTACTATATAGTTACGTCTCCATCATTGCTTCATGCAACTCTCAAACTGCTCTCCTCTTCCTTCCACTTTGCTCGCCTTTAAATCATGGCCCACATGAGTCCAGCCGTCACTCTTGTATGGGCAGCGCTTACAACTATGGTCTGTCTGATATTAGATTGTTCTATGGAAGAAATACTGATATCCATCTCCTTTAGTTTGAAGTCTTTCTAGTCTATCATCTCTGGTCCTTTGACCGTTTCAAATCTCTGAGGTTGGCGGATTTTCTACACATAATTTCGAGTGCCCTAAGCCCATTTGTACAGGTGGAATCATGGACCGCGTTCCGGTACATTCAAGCGGGTCATGACGGTGTGTCAGGGCTTCCTTCTTTTCCATTGTATCAATCACACTGGTCTCACATAATCTCACAGTATTCCTATTTGACCAGCATTCCGTTAATTACAATCTACGCTGTGGGCTTCTCCATTATCAAATACAATAATGGTTTCACTGTCATCCCTGGGATGGGTAGTGAGTGAGCCCAATCCACAATATTGACGTCTCTCGCTGACGCCAAATTTTCAAAGTCACGCCCACTCCGTACGAGCTGTGGAGTGACAGTGCACAAAGCGCAATCCTCCCTCTGTACCTGTGTTATTCATTCGCCTGGGCATTAGAGGTGTGAGTATGCTAAACCGATATTCACTGATACCGGCTCACATTTCAACCAAGGGTAACACACCTAGAAGGTTCATTTTTTATGCCTTGGCATATAAGTTCAGGCTAAATCGCGACCCGTAGAACTATGTTTTTGGTTTTTCCTGATTCGTTCTGGCTCTGCGAAACAAGATTGGTTCCGCAGCCTATATTTCAAAATATGGGCAATTGGGTCCATAGTCGCAATCATTTGTATGCCTCTTATAACGGTTTTCACACGGGAAGACCCCTACAAGGTCTGTCATTGCATGTTTGAACATCGGACAAAATTTGTAAACTCTGACTAGTGCGAGGCTTACACATTATTAGCCGGGGGTCTCGGAAGCTTGTCTTTAACAATATGGTTTCTTCCAATTTTGTGGACATTCCCCAAATTCCTTCAGAGCCTGGTAAGTTCATTCCGATCGGCAAGATTCTGATCTGGTCTGACCAACCCTATTCAGAAAAAAGCCGATGTTGATACGAATACAATCGTCAGGCTTACAAAGTTTCACGAGCTCAACGTAAGTTTTGCGCAGATGTGACATCATTGCTCAACTCATGTGCGATACATGGAAGTGTATTCGGGTCTTATTTCGTTTTCTCTTCACAATTCCGTTAGTGATATTGGGCATCGATGGCGTCAGACCGCATCAGCACATCAACGATAACATGTGCGTGTGTTACGCGCCTGTGTCTAAAATATGTCAACTGTCATGCTAAATTTGTCGTTTAGGTTTGCCACTGGTATGCAACTCCACCGGATGGGCTTGAGTCATCGACTCATCTTTCTAACTAGACTTATTGGGGATGATTTCGGGTATAGGCTGTGTCGTATCCTCTGGGATCACTCTTATCGTGCGTCATTTATAGGTGCTAGTCGTGCAAGTTGATTCGAAACGGTGAGCCTCAGATATTCTTCCCGCGCTCAATCAAGGCGGAAATGGCAAGTAGGGAGGCGGCTCGCGAGCTCCGTCGGTTCCCCCGATCAAACGCATTTGGAAAAGATCCTATGAATATGCAGCGCATATATCAACATGTGTCCTCAAATAAACTGCCTCCCTATGAAGTAGTAGCTCCCAGCCACTCAACACAGAAGATACCATTCGAAGAAATGTCGGACGAGGAGAATCAAAAATATTGGCCAAGCGAGATGTCACCTTCACTATGCATGCAACCAAATCGCAGAATGAAGGATGGGAATGTGGAAATGGGGACTGTCTTCACTCTCACAGACGATAATCTGCCGAAACGTAGTAAAGTTATGCGGAAGTCGGATATAAATCATCTTGTGTATAACTGGCGATCACCACTTGGTAGGGACTCCTATTAGTTCTACTGTTGTAGATGGGTGCTGATGGAGAAGTAGAAATTGACGAACCACCGCTTTGGTGCCGGTGATTTGGCGGTAAAAATGCACTGACGACATTGTCATCCTATTCGCTACATTTGCGGGCTACTTTGCTAACTCTGACTCGACACGCCTAAAACTTCACCGACGGGCGGCTACTTATGTACTCAGGCTAGCTCAGAACTGAACGAACAAATATGTAAATACTGTAAGTACATGCTGATCATATTCATAATGGATATGCACCGCAACACTGTAAATAATTATCATATTCGCATGGCGTCAAAATTATCAGATTATAGTGATGATGTCCCATTAATTGGTGCATGTTATTATAACATTGGAATACATCAAGATCAATGAGGGAACAATAGTGTCAAGGTCTGACTACAGGTACACTAGTGCTATGTTTGTGTTGTTCAGACTTTTTTTTATTTTTTTAAAATCCAATTTATGTCCAATTGGGATATAGTACCCTATGTAGGACAATGCTAACTAGGAAAAGGGGGACACCCATGTCCCCTGCCACATCTCCGGTTCCACAAATGCCCTGATAGAGGGGTGACCTCTATTAGTCTGCTGTTCCCACCAGCTATTTTAGATGCATGAACCTTCCAATCCGATGTCCTGCATGATGTGGGAATCATGCATGGACATGAATACTAGGTGACCCTCAAAAGACAAAGTCTGTTAGCTTAGTCCTCAGACTAGTCGACCAAGGACCGTGTTTCAAATCCTGCCAACCGCATTATTTTTTGAGACCATGTTTCAATTCCTGCCAACTGCATTATTTTTGAGACTATGTTTCAAATCCTGCCAACTGTATTATTTTTTACCTACTTTTCTTTAGTGTATCTTTGCTAGTAGTATTTAGTTACATAGTCTTCTGTAGTGTTTCTTTACTTTACTTTTTCATTAGGAAGCTTTGACTCACCTGACACTTCATAAAATTATACCTACAGTTGCGGACAGGCGAAGTCCACAAATTTTGTAGGGCCTGCATGTGATTTTTTCAGGCCAAACTGAGGCCCGATCCAAACTCAGGCAGTGAAAATACAGCTAAAAACACTGCTCCGAGGTTTTTCCCACGACATTTTTGGCACGCCAAATTTTTTGATGTCTCGTATGATACTTTCTTCATGACATGTCAATAAAACTATGACAGAACTGCTTTGATTGCCATCATCGCACGCTGCGAAACCTGACGGTGCTGTCTCTGTTTGCGCACAGCCCATTCTGCTGCTTTCCCAGTCAAACCTATTCTGTATGCACTCATAAAACGGTACGATCTGTTGATAAACCGCCGGATAACCTCGACTGGACAGGAATCAAGGATTTCCCGCGCCACTTTCTTGGCTGTTGCAAAGCTCGGTTTTGATGCCTCGCGGTAACGGTATTTGCACCAGCCCCAGTACTGCCTCAACAGTTAAGGCTATGAGTTAACTTCGGATATACGGACCACTTACCATCTTGATCGGATTCAGTTCACAGTGAAATTTTGGCAGAAAAATACACTCGTGACCCTTGCTTCTAATCAACTCCTCGAGCATCGATGTCTGACACGAGAAATCATCTTGTTGACTGAGGAGTCGTGCCATACAGCAACTTTTGTTATCGATTGGACAAACAGGAGAGCACTTCGCACGCAAGCCTTGGACATTAAATCCACGCTCCTCGAGAACAGTTTTCAGGCCCTTTGGTTCATCTTTTGCATTAGTCATCTTTTGCACGAGTCCGCGCTTCGAGATATCAGGATTATTTAGAGGGATGACTGTGTCGCGCTGCCGACGCTGCTTGCCACCATCAAACTTGTTCATGTTGAATGCTTTGAGAGCATCGGGAGGAAGAGATGCGTGGGCTGATGAGTTATCGAAAATGAAGAGAGCTTGGCAACCTGGGCTGCTGACTTCCTCGTGGATTTCAATTGCTGATTTTATCTGTTCGAGCAGGTTTTTGTGTGTCCACCAAGGGTCACCGTTGGCACCAGGATGAATGATTTTTCGGGCATCTTTTAGGATTGTGCTGTCAGAATCTTGCAAGATGAGCCGACCATGTTCCTCATTGATGAAATCAGACACGTGAATCAGACGTCCACGTCCCTTCTTGCGTAGAGGTTGCTTGTCGGGCTTTAACCTTGTACGAGAAAAATAAGCTGCAGTATCACCATGACCATCACAGAAGGCTCACCAAGCATTTCGAGCATTGTCGTTGGCGTGAAAACAACATTCATCATGCCAGTATGGCTTGATCTGACGTTCTCCTTGATTTAGTATTGGATCAATTCTCGTCAACTCTGGTCCTTCAAATCGAACCATCCGTGCCTCAAACTTTGCCATTGCTGGCAGGTAAACCTCCTGTCGATACTTCACAACATCTTCTCGCTCGTGACCATCCATGTAAACTCCTTTCCTTATCATAGTTTTCCGCCACCCAAGCTTTATCAACCACTGTCGAGCTGTGCGTTCGCTAATCGGGTTCTTGGGAACAATACCCAGTTCAGGAAAGATTGTTGTCGTTACTGCACTTTGCAGAGCTTGTGGTGTTACAGTTCCTGTTGGCAAATTTGATAGCCACGTTCGTGCACGATTCTGCACTGATTCGTCATGCAAGAAGGACCGAGCATTCTTGCTACCACCTTGCCTTTCAACAGGGAGCTGTTCGAATATTTGGTAGTGACGGGCCAGTGCACGGACTCGACGTGCAAACCAGTTGCCATTCCCGTCATGCCACTGACGAGCAATCTCTAAACTGGCACCAATGCGGGAGGCACCTTTGAGACGAAGAGTAGCGAAGTTGGATAGAATAAGAAGCTGATTGATACGAGAAAGGGGTAAAGCTTTCTGCCCAGCTCGAAGATCATTCTGGATTTGATTGCGAAGTGTTTTCCAGTCACGAATTTCGGTATTGGATGCAACTGTGCTGTCGAGCTCTTGTTCCCACTCCTCTGCATCACCCTCGCCTGAGATATCTTCCGGATTGTCATTTTCATTTGTCGTGTTGTCATGCACAGCATTGGTCTCGTCCGAATCACTGGCAGCGTCTCGATCATCGACAAAACTTGGATCTGACATCATCGAAACACTTCATGCATGAGGCAGGATTATCAAAGGGCTTGACTTGAATGCCAGCTCTGCTGGTTCACTAACTGGTGCATCTGATGAGTCAGAGAGTGCACCAGGAGCAATGGAGCCTCGCGTTTGCTGAAATCCGAATGAACTGAGCAATGTTTGGCCCCTCCAACTTTTCTGATAGCGTTGCTGTGTCCGCTTGGACTTGCTCATGACATCGGGGCCCTTAGCATAGGTTGCAGGTCGTGCTTCAGGGAGGTGAGGTGTATGGTATTTTTTGTTGCTTTTGCACTCATGCTTGCGCTTCGCTGCAGCTTTTTGCATCTTCCTTTGCAGCCTTTCAGGAATCCAGTCAGGATCCTTCCCATCTTCTGTTGCTGCCATCTCTGCAAGCTTCTTCCCAAATTCTTCGTCATTCAACACATCCAGTTCAACCTCTTCATCAATGTCCGATTCATCCGAGTCTGTTGATCCACGGTCAACATATTCATATTCTTGCTCGAAGTTGATCTTTAATCCATCGAAAGCCACTGTAAGTGTCTCATCCTCCAAATCAGACTGCCAGCCTGATTCCGTTTGACAAGGACTTGATTCTCGAGTCGAGCCCGCCGAACCCAATGCAGATGCAGGAGAAACACTTTGCGATACTTGATGTCGAAGACCGGTGATGTTTCGTGCTTTTTTTCTGGGACGGCCGCGAGCCATGATGAGTTCAATTGTCAATTGTACAGGTTTTTTCCCATGCCATTTTTTGACGGACTCATGTTTTTCTGATTATCGATTCAAAGACAACTCAGCGAAAGCAATCGATTGCACATTTTTCCATATTTTTAGCGAATTTTTAGGGGGCACGCCAAATTTTGGACACTGGAAATGTCAAAATGGCAGCCATGAGAAATTGGCTCGTTCAAATGTATTCTAGATGTCCATTAGTCTATGAAAACACTGCTTCTAACACTTTCCGTTAAGTTGTGCGTCCCAGAAAATTCGGTCTGTAAATTTGCGGACTTCGCCTGTCCACAACTGTACAGGGTATGATGTCATAAGGCTCCACAGATACTCCTGCAGGTATTCTGGTGAAAGATATTATGTCATCAAGCTGTAGATTATTCTACTCCAAAATGACTCACTCTGACTCATTCATGGAAAGTTCTGGAATCTTTTGCTCCACAATGATGTCATAGCTCCCTATTTTATTCTTTTATTAGGGTTTGACCCAATATTTTGATTGGTCCTCCTTATTTTTTGTTGTTTGTGAACCTAGGTTACTTTCCCATGCTAAATGTATATAAGGAGAGCCAATTCTCCACCAAAATAATATGATTTCCCATTTGTAGCTATCTGCCTATCAGATATTTCACTTGCAAAGTTAGTCCCTTTGAAGTGAGAACAAGTGCAGGGAAAAGAATTCCCTTGAGATTATAAGTATCTTACCTTAGAAACTTATCTAGTGCTATAGACCAAGTGTTCTCGGTCACATATATTATCTTTGAGACCCCTTTGTCTCATTGCTCTGTGCCCTTTGACTAAGCGATCTTAGTCATCTATCATATTGTTGAGACCACGTCTCACTAGTTGTCCCATAGACCAAGTGATCTTGGTCAAGTTCCAGTCCCATTTGTTCAAGCAATCTTGAACATATAATATATAGTTGAGACCGTTATCTCACAGTCAAGTGCCCATAGACCAAGTGATCTTGGTCATATTTTGTATATTTGAGACCACGTCTCACTAGTTCCAGTAACCAAGTCCAAAGCCTAGAAGGAGATTTCCTAGGCAAATATGTCCCAGAAACTGAATTACATGTCTAGAAGCTTATTCCTAGACAAGAGATTTGAGTTTCAATAAAGAAAATTAAAGCTCCAGCTAGGTTGATCTTTACAAAAGATTAGTTTAGTGAGCCTCCCAAGAACT